CCTGTAATTGTGACTGTAACGAAAAAACAGGCTGGAACAGATTGGCCTCATATTTTTCTTCAGGGTCACTGTGGGCTTATCTCAATATTTAGCGTCTTGCTTGATTGAGTTATCATATCACATTTGCTGTTAAGAGCTGAGTGATGTCAACAACTGTAACCAGAGAGCATAAAATGTTGCTTTAAATCTCAAAGAGGAAGGTTCCTGTTTGAATAAAAGCACACACATCAGTGTCAGTGCGACCCGCAGAGACCTGACTTTTTTAAATGCATGACATTTAAGAGATCTTTGGAGATGTGAAACAAAGTAAGCCGTAAAAATTCCACCATTACAGCGTGACCTATCCTAGATCTGAACCCAAGCTTCCCTCGACCCATGTCACACACACTTTCTCTCTCCAGCACACACACACACATAAGTCAAGAGCACTCTGCTCAGTTGTTACTGAGGTGCAAATGGTTTGTCTTGATGCGTCAGTGACCCAACACTGCTCCTTCACCTCCTCTCTCCTCTGTCTGCTCCTCCTTGACTCTGTCCATCAGTGCTCCACCTCTGTCACCTCTTTACACTTCTGTCTCTGCACCGTCTTCCTTCTCTCCCTCACAGTTTGTCTCTTTGTCCTCTGCTGGTCGTTTTTCTGACTCGGGATTTGTTTCCTCTGCTGCCTCAGCCCTCTGGCCCTTGCTCACACCTGCTGATGAATGAGTAATCTCATTGCATGTACCCAGTCATCCTTGTCCATGTTCAATAATGGCTCATTTGATTCTGTCCTACCAGTGTCAGACACTGAGAGCTGGAAGCCATGCAGTTATCATAAAGAGCATGTCAACTGCAAAGCCACAAAGCCTACGAGTGATTAAAACCCTTCAACTCGGGGGTTACTCCATCACAATCATTAGTCTTTTCTTGTCCCACCTTCTGGCTGTAAAACCCACAGAGTCGAACCCTCCCCGTCCGTTAATAATATTCACTCTGCCTCTGATACATTAGCCAGTGAATGATAGGGCAAAGCCCTGGCCTAATTGCTTTCTTCTTGTAAAGTCTCAATTCATTTTTGCTGAGGAGACACTGAGACGTGTGCCTATAGCACACACACATATGTGACACACACACACAAACACAAAACCTGACGAACACACTTTCACACACTCGCACTTACACTTACGCACAACCTCACCTTCCCATTGCTGTTTTATGATGGATGGGGCTGAGGATGCATGGGGGAGGAGGAGTGGAGGGGTGGGGGGGGGGACCGTAAGACTGCATATATGTGTGTGTAGAGTGTGTGAGTGTGTGCATGAGCAAGTGTGTGTGTGTGTGTTGGTTGAAAAAGAAAGAAAAAAGGGGGAGAGAGAAGGAGAGGGAGAGGAGCTGAGCTGAGAAGCTCTGATTAACGACACAGAGAAGAGGTCCCAGAGGAGCTGGGGGAAGAGCAGAAGTATCTAGGGCCAGCTAAGAAAGAGAGAGAGAGAGAGAGAGAGGGGGCACAAAAAACAGAGGTATAAAATGGGGGTGGAAGGGGAAGATGTTTTCTTTTCGTACGTTCATTAAAAAACACTCACAAATACATCATCACCATCATCTGCATAGAGGAGTATCAGCTTGTACCCCTGTTAGTCTCCATGCTACATTGTGTGTTTCCTGTCTTCTACACACCCAAAACGACACACACCCTTCAGATTTAATCTCCTCGTCTTACGATCCCGGACCCCGCTGCCTCGGGCTCCTGTCCGCAGTGCTGTCAGGAGGGGAAACAGGGTGTGTGTTGCCAGAGCGCAGGCCATCACCTCTCCCTGATTGCACATGAGAGTAGAGGTAATGGGAGTGTAATAGCACCTTAAGTACCCTGCTCTTGCTGACACTGGCTGTATAGCATTACCCCTTGGTCAGACTCTGGTAAAGTGTGTGGATATGTGGATGAGAAGGGTGTGCGCACTGGAATATGCGCAAAGTTTCTTGTGTTTCTTTGTGTCGATCTATTTGTCTGCTGTGGATAAGTGTATGTGTATGTGTGTGCGCACTAAAAAGAGGTCTGTCTGAGGTTTGAGTGTGTTGTCTTTTCCCTGAGGGTCGTCTGAGCCACAGCGATCAAAGAGAGAGATGGAGGTTAACTGACCAGACCTGAGAACCTCCACAGAGGGACCTGTGGGACTCCGCTCTGTTAGCCCAGGTACCAATCATCAGATACAAACACACACTCACACACAAACACACAATCAGTGGAGCGGTGAGTGCAAAAGGGGGCAGTTTGAGTGATCCAGGGGGACTTAAAGATCTGTAAGACCCAAACTAACTTTGTCACTTCACTCACGCAGCCATAGCCTTTCACACAGTATCCATTACCTCAGATACGATTGCAACAAAACATCAAATGGCTTTATCCTGACTCCTGCTTGTGCTTGCACAGAGAGATGCCTTCCACTGATATGGAAGTCCTGTAAAGTGAGTATAAGTTATATAGCGAGGGTCCCAGGAGAGAGACTCAATGACTAGTCTTGTACTAGAAAGTTAGACTGTATTCCAGAGTAGCTCAAAGTAACGACTCCCGCTGAAGGACTGAGAGTGGCGCACTTCTGCTGGAAGTTTAGCTGGAAGTTGTGTTGTCAAAAAAGAGAGAAGGGGGGGGGGCAAAAAAAAGAACAAGCGCGTTCAAGTGTGTGAACGTGTGCAAATGCAGAAGTGTGTGAGCTGCTGGAGTGTGCAAATGTGCATGGGTCTGTTTGTGTGTGTGTGCGTGCGTGCCGGAAAATGAATGAGAGATAACCATCAGAGGCAGCTGCTGTGGTGAAGAGAGACGACCAGCACCAGCTAGATGCTGCGGGGGATTTTTTTTTTCCTTTTAAACAACTTTGAATACTTGTTGATTCCTCGGGTGCTTGTATCTTTTACATATTACAGCAGACATCAAAACGTGAGTGAGCGCTTTAATTCCAAACAGGCTGTCATATAGAGATTCACATCACAGTGCAGAGGTGGAAGATGTATTTAAGGGAGCTGCATCGGTGAAAGAAGCAACTCAACAAAGTAGAAAAAAATCAAAAGTTTAAGTTCTGCATTAAAAAAGTATAGGCAAACAAGACCAGGTACATCAAAGAGTTAATAGCCTCTTAACTAGAATGGTCCCTATTCAGTGTTAAGTTATGATACTGAATCATACTGATGCATGAAGGTGTGTATTTATATATTTTTGGCACTAGTTTTATATCTTTGCACAAGTGAAATGAAAAAACTAAAATCAATGATGAGTACATAAGAGTGTCAGTGTGATGGTTCCTTTTTTGTTGAAAAAGTGAAGTTTATTTAAGTCAATCCCATATACATATGTAAGTTTAATTTCTAACAGCAGTCAAAAGTAGAGCTCTCACATGAGTCAATTGTCCAGTTTCAATTGTTAATCTTGATAAATCACATTTAAATTGCTGTTTTTGGGGCTGCCACTGTATCAGATGTTTAGTTTCACAATTATCCTGGCCACAAAATAACATGGTAAGAATATTACCGCAATGCTTTTGGAAAATATGAAAATTAAACATCACAACTGATCAAATTGAGGAAAGGCAAGACAATAAAGGAGCGGAAACTCAATTAATTTATGTGTCAGTATTTCTGATGATGTTCAGGCATGAAATGTATCCACATCACCAGTTCTGTGACACCTGCATGTTTAGCTCATACTGTAAGCACTTTAATTCTTTACCTTATTAATTTTTTTAAAAGGTTATTAAGAGCATATTACTTTTGACTTGTCAGCTGAACCCTCTGGGAGTTTTCTTATGTGAGATGTGCTGTTCAAAAGCACTGTGGTGTTACTTTCTATCATGGTGGCAGCAGGAAGCAGGAAGACACTGCAGCAGCTTTGCTACAGGGAGACAAAAGGGACAAAAAAAAGCACAAAATTATAACAATAACCTATTCATTTCAGACTTTAATAACATCATGTTAATGCTGACAGCCCTGGTCAACAATTTTGTATATATTGTAATTTTCCTTGCCAGGTAATTTGGATTGCAATTACTCTTGCAAAGCATATCATCAAGCTTTGATTAAATTCATATATACATATTTATACAACTGTAGCCTGCTTTAATGTGTGGGAACAGGTCTGTTTTCAAGATCTCTCTTTTTTAGTAGGTGTCTTTAAACTGTCAATGTAATTACTGAACAAATGGGGATGATGGTGTAAAGTCTCTTCTTGAATCTTCAAAAGGGGGATTTGTTGTGTAGTGGAAATTGTGTGGTTTTTTAAATACATATTGTGGGGCAGAGCACTCACTGTTCAAACATGGGACAGTTACAGCAAAGGAGGAGGAAGACACTGATGGACCATTCAAGAACTCAGTGAGACCCCTGTTCTTTAGTGCAGATTAAGGTGGACTTGTTTTAACTTTCTATAGTGTTGGGTAGTTTTTAAAAGCTATTCATATGTTAACTTATAAAGTGAGGCAGCGGGGTTAGCGTATAGATTATAAGTGTCATTTTCCTTTAATATATAATGAGGTGCAAGTAAAAAGTAACATGAAATAGAAACTCAAGTACTTCAAAAGAGCACTTAAGTGAACTTACTTGGCTATTTTCCATCTCTGCTGAAGTATAATGTGACTTTTGTTGCCTTTTAAAGCGTGCTGCATTTCCTGTATGTGAGGAATGGTCAACTGTCCTTCCTGAAGTATAAACAAAGTATATCCTCATCTCTCAAGTTAAACATAACCCCAACTATGACATTGAGAGCCAGACTGTTTGTGTAGGTGAGGTTGTGTGTGTTTCTCTGGGTGTGTGTGTGAGCAAAGAGGGGGTGGGGTACCGGATCCTGCTGCTGGGTAACATCTCTGTCAGGACGGCTCCGCTCCATCAGCACCCAGCCTCCACGCACACACACACGCACACACTCCATCAGCACCCGATCAGGGCTCATCAGTCGCAGCGGAGCACATGTGGCCGGAGTATTCAAAACAAAGCTTTATAAAGAGCTCAACTTAGACGGCTCGATGTGACAGTCGGGGCACTAATGACGCCTGGAGACCACTAAATACACCACTGACAGACCTACGGCCTGCATTCCACACACACACATACACACACATACACACACATAACACACAGGTTTTTCATTTTGGAATGCTCTGACGAACTCTCACAATCACTGTAGGAACACATGCTCACCGTGGCCAAAACTCACACACACACACACATACACACATACACACACCTTGTGCCCAAGGGCATCTGTCCGCAGCATAAGAGCTCCCAACTGTTGAGGAAAAACAGCTCAATTAGCTCAGTGGAGGAACTAACGAAATACATCTATACATGCACACACACTATCCACCTACACACACACACACACACACAGAGTCACTCAGAAAGGCATTGATCCTCTCCCAGTCTGGAGCTCTAATTGGTGTGTTGATGATACAGTGAGAGTGTGGGATCCTTCAGGCAACCATCGAATAACTTCCAGCTCTTTATTTCTCATTTAAAGTTGAAATACACCCACAATCCTTCCCAGTCGCATGCTGCTAACTATGCTCTACCTGATATTTCTTCTGAGATTCCTCTCTCATGTCTGGGTTTAATCTAAATTTTTTGAGTGTGTGGTAATGCCATACCTGAGATCACAAAAAGTGCATTCGGCAGCCTTCAAATCAGAGCGTTCCAGTGCCATAAATATCTAATAGCTTGATGATTTTGTTGCTCCCAGTAGATTAAACAGTTGTAAAAACCATCTATCCGTTATGTGCATGTCCATTAAAACTATGCACGCAAATGCTCAATGAGCAATTGAAATATACACAAACCCCCACAGACACACGCATACGCAGACACACACACAGAATGTTAGAGCAAGTTACTGAGAGCAAATGGGGTAGAGTTATTTCCATAAAGGGTCTCAGTGGGTCTCAAGGATCTCTACTCTTGCCGACTGGGAGCGATTTAGCGAAACACACGCTGGTATATTAGTAACTGAAGATGTCTGGGGACGAGGCTGCTCTCTCTAAAACCTTATCCCTTCACTGTGACCTCCAGAGCATTCACAACTGGGACTGGGAGCCCCTCTCCATCTTTCGCCGTCTCTCTTTCGCTGACTATCTGAGTTTGTTCTCCTTTTTCTCTTTGACTTTTGCCTCCCTTTTTTTTATCTTCTCTCTTTCTTGAGGGGAGAGTTATCATTTTTATCCCTATGTGTAATATTTTCTCCAGTCTGTCTTTTCAATCCAACCATTTTCCACCCTATTTTTCCACATCTCTCTCTCTCTCTTTTCCCTCTCCCATACATCCATCCTCTGTCTTTCTCTCTCTCTTTCTCTCCATCCTCCCCTCTCTCCTCCCTCCCTCCTTGGCCCCAGGGACGGACTGCTGATAGACTGTGTACACCAGCTGCCCAGGGGCTATTTTTAAGGAGCATTTGTCCTTCTCCTTCCCTCTGGAGACTGACTCAACCCAACAACATCTCGCTTGTGCACACTCATATGTGCGCACAAACACACACAGGCATTAACACATGCACTCATTAGCCCATGAGCATGCATGCTCCACACTTTCTCTCTCACACACACATCCTCCGTCCAAGGGCATCCTGTAAATGTAGGGGCAGCTTGTAGCACTGGAGCCCAATGCTTAACTGCACAGGAGCCCCGGCGCTCCCCAGCCAGCCTCAGAGGGCTCATAAAGCTCCCTCCTCCCAGGGCCTGGCTAATACTCTGCCTTGTTCTAACCCTGCCTTACAATAGTTTGTAAAACAATACTGTAAAACACTGTTGCCGAGCATTGCGTCAGGCTGCTCTCATCACTAAACCCACAGCAGCCAATAAGGGCCCTTGAATTATGCATACAGGAAGTCAGGAGATTCAAGTTCGGTGGCAACCTGTGAACAGCATCTCAACACCTCTGTACCATGCTTCATCTGGCTCTGCTTTCCAATTATGTTGTGCATAACATAATGGAAAGAAAAAGATACCTTAAGCCTAAAAATAAAGCAAAAAAAGTGGCGCTGAATTTGGAGAAAGGTAGGATATTATGAATAATGTAAGAGGTCTGCTCTCTGCGAACACAATGCTCAAAAAAATCAATTTTCCTTTTTTCAACCTTGGTAATAATTGTAAAGGAATTTGTTAACAAGCTACTAAATTATGTTCAAAGAGGGAAAATCTAGGCTGTGAACCGTACTTTTGTTTTCTGTTCAACCATTGCTGCTCAAAGCAAATGTAAAATATAAAATGAATCCTCAAACAACTGCTCCAGCAACCTCGTTAAGACATTATTTACTTTCATCGTTAGCCAAGGAAGAGGACACTAAAAATCTGTCAGCACTCTGAAACGCCTGCTCGAGTGTCTGAGCACTGTTTAATTGTGCCATTTATCAGCCAAAAAAAGCCTACACGCTCATAAATAAACACAATGCCCCTGCAAAGGAATTATAAAAATGTCACGGCGAACCCACAAGTGAGGCCAGCGTTGATGCATATTAAGCGATTTAGTCGGTGAAGGAGTGGAGCAAAAATATGATGGTTAATTTAAGAGTCATTAAAATTGTATGAATGTGCTTTGCGCTTGCTTAGAGTGGGATTTTCTCTGATCGGTAACGAAGAGGGAGAAAGAGCAATACAAGCTGCCACACATTGTGGTCTATAAACTCCCTGATTGATCATGGGAGAGGCAAGCAAACCTGAGAGGGAGGCCCAATCAATGTTTCTGAGACTGGGGAGACTGTGTGTGAGTGAGTGTGTGCGTGTGTGTGTTTGTGTGTGGGCATGTGTGTGCAGTACTTACATGCAAGTGTGCACTATTTTGTCTGTGTATGTTTACAACCTTGTGAGTTTCATGCATATTGAAGTGCAAGCTCCAGTGTGTTTTTTTCTGGATTCGTGTGTTTGCGCGTGTGTATGTGTGTGTCAGTGTGTGGTTGTGCGCTTCCCTCATTTGAGGAAAGACAATGTTCTACATTCCACAGGGGAACCGAGTCATTACCGAAGCAGGAACTCGAGCCTGGAGGCCACGGCTCTGCATGTAGTGTGAATAGATCGAGCTAGTTTCTCGCCGAGACGTGCTGTAGAACACACACTGCGCCATTACCAGTGCCCTGCAGTTCAAACCGCACTCCCCAGCTTGTTTCAGCTAGGAGGAATAGGTAGAGTTGACAAAAAACAACAACAAAGTATCTGTGCAGTAATCTGTCGTGAAGCTGTCACTGGAAATCCAGAAATACTGTTAAATTAGACGTAAAATAAGTGCACGTTTGGGAGGTGACATGAAGATAAAGACACTGATTTTTCTGTGAGTTTCAATCTGAGCTTTTCTGACCTGTCTCTGAGGGACATGTCCGCTCTGAAGCCCTCTGCTGCCCTCTGTTGGCCGGTGAAACTCACCTTCTCTGTTCCCACGCACCGCAGGTACAGACATATGGCAGCTGTCTATCACTACATAACAGGTGTGTGAGTGATTCTCTCCTCTATCGCTCTGCTTCTCTCCTTTTGTCTGCTCTCCTCCTGGAATTAAATAAAGCAGACAAAGTGCGGTTTGGGTTAATTTCCCCTGCTGCTGACAAACACAGGTCGTTAGTGAGGCCCACAGGAAACTATTGTTCCATCATAATAGACGGCAATCAGAGGTGAGGTCTGATAATGCCTGCTGTCACCTGATGCTCCCTCAGTCTGCTTGTCTCTCACTCTGTCTCTGCAGTTTTCCTAAAGAAGAACAAGTGCAGTTTCTTAGTGTTGCACTCATACTTGCAGAAATATTGTAGATTGCTCAGTAATTTGTAGTTTTTTCTCCCTCTTTTCTCAGAGCCACTAAATTAAGCATGACATATCTGGGTTGCGATAGCCCCATAACACAATAGTTAATGCCTCTATACAGCACTACATCTCTTTTGATAACACAAATGCACACACATACCTATAATGTGCATGCACACACACACACACACACACACACACACACACATACTCACACACACACACACACACAAAGCTAGTTCCTTTTATAACCTCCATCTGTGCCTCTTTTTAAAGAATTCTCTTTTCTTCCTGCACGGATACATGAACTTACTTTGCTCCATTCAGACACATTTGAGCCTTTTTCCCCCAGTCCAGATTTCTTTCTGTATTTTCTGGCATCCTTCTAGTAGCAACAATGAGTTTCCAGGACCTGCAGCCATAAACATTGTTATAGACTTCCTGCATGTTCACAGTAAGACACAATAGTGTTGATTTTGATTGACACCACTAGTAATGTGTCAGAGAAATATGAATATTTACAGTATTAGTATTAGTCATGGTAAAAATTCCAGTCACATCACATACGTACGCTTAAACCATCCTTGATCTATAAACAGACTGAGAATGAAGCGCCTTGATTGGCTGAGAGGATGATTGACAGCTGAACGAGTGGAACCTTTGAATGTGAAACTCAAAGGAAAGATGGGAAGCGTGTTTGTGCGGGTCCCAAGGGGGGAAAAGCCTGGGTTTCACGCACGCACTCGTGCACGCACATAGGCACACGCACGCATGGATGCACACACACACGCACACATTGTGATCTTGCTCTACTTTGGGCTGTGCTCCACATGAAAGCGTTTATGCTTCCTGCTGTTTGAGACGAGCCGTGTGTTGTGCTGCAATAGAACATACAGGTCTGTATATACATGTAGACGGACAGCTCTGTGTGCTGAGATTGTATCCATCTACAATAGCTTGGCCTTTGTGAAGTATCCCTCTCTCTCTCTCTCTCTCTTCTTTCTTTCCTTCCTTGTGTCTGTTTTTTTCTTCCTTTTTTCAGCTTCTTTATCCCTCTTTAAATCTTCTCCTTCTTATTCTTCTTCTTCTATCCCTTTTCTTTTCGTCTTCCTCCTTTCCCCATGAGAAAAATGAATGAGTTTCATTCACATCTTCAGACAACAAAAAAACAGCACAGCAACATTTTTCCATTCAGTTTTAAGCTCGTGTTTTCTTAATTTTTTTTTAAAGTTAGACATAAAGAAAAGCACCCAGATGTTTTCCTTACTGATTAAAAATAATACAAAAGCATAATTACAACCATGTTTCTTTCTGTCAGTCTGCTACTGACTCATCACTTGTTCATAATAATATTTAGTATAGAAAGTGAGCGTATCACCATGTTCTACAATTGGCACTCCACAAATGTGCAAGCACTGTGCCCTTGACTATCCCCCTGCTGAAAGTAAGTCTTAGCCAATTAACAACGTCTTCCACTAGGTCCACATGCACACACGCAAACACACGTGTGCGTGCACTCACACACAGCCAGAACCTCTCAGCTCATGGGACTAAACCTCATTAACTGCTCTGAGACAGACACTCTCTCTTTAATCAATCCTTTTCTAAGACTGCAGCGCACATGGAGGAACGGTGACAATACAACACAAGCTCACACAAGCACCCACGTATAGAGAGAGAGAGAGAGAGAGAGAGAGAGAGAGAGAGAGAGAGAGGCTTAGGTACATTCACACACAGATCTCCCAGAGAGAAAAACATGGTCATTTGCCAGGGTGATTCAACTCTAAAACACCCTAATTACATCGACAAAGCCACTTTGTTTTGGTGCTGGATAAAATGTGAATGATTTAGCATATTATTATTATGCCTCTGAAATATTAACCAACCCCGAGGGACTTTATCTGCTCTTTTAAATATATGCAAATTATTTTATTTTGGTTTGGTTTGTTTCCAGTGACTTTTGTGAATTGTGTTTGGATAATTAAATGAGTGCGTGCAGATGTAGAATCGCAGCCGGTGCCTACATGATATGATGATGTGCCGGATTAGCATACCAAGTAGGAATGTTGCACCTCGACTGCTAATCGACTAACTTTTGTTTTTGCTCCAACCTTGACCTATTTGAAACACCCACCCTGTGTCTGGCCTTGGAGCGTGAATGTAAACACTGTTTCTGGACTATTAATTGATAAGACTCATTTGATATTGTCCTTCATTCTGAAACTTTTCTCATTTTAGGTGTGTCAGACTCTTTCAATTATCACTGCCCTCCTCCCTCACTAGAAGCACTGATGTACTGCAGATCTACTCCACTGACTTAGCACTCTTAGCTTTGCTATTTTAGTGGGTGAAACAACTTCTGTGTAAAGTAGGTATAATTATCTCCTGTCCAAGGTTGAGGAGTTCTTCTGAGTGACGTAGTGGACCTGGAACAGTTGATGTGCAGAGCTCCAACATTTCTGCTCTGTCTTACTTCACTGATTGCCTTGTGAATCCCTGATGGGTTCCGCTTCGTACATAATCATTTCCCTAACATGGGATAATTTGATTCTATTACTCTAACAACAGCGCAAACAAATTGCCTACGTAATTTATTGTGCCAATAATAGCAAAAGCAGATGTGGTAATGGTGCTGTGGCTTTCCAACCTCACTTTCATATGGACTTCAACCAAACTAGATGTAATCATTAAAATACATTTATGAACCCTCAGCCTCAGGTTTACTCGAAGCATTTTCTGCGCCCAAACATTCATGATTGTGGTTTGGCAAAGGGGAGATCTTCAGCCTTGGTTTCTTCATTCTTGCACCCACAGCTCTGGTTCTGTTTTTCACAACTTCCCTCCAGTTTTTTCCAGAGATTTCTCCTCGCTTATCGAGTACATTTCCTGTGAGGAGGTTCAAGCATCCATGTTTCTCCTCAGCTGTCTTTGCTAAAGCTGCATTTCACTCCCCCTACGGTGTCTCACCACCCCTCTACCTCTCCATTCACTGGTGTTCTGTACGCCCTCTAAAGCCCTCTGCTCTGTCCCATTTCTCCCATTGCCTCGGGTCCTTTTTGACACCCCTGGCATGTTAATGGGCCAATCAGAGACACTGTCCTTGAGAATCTCACTTTGGCTCATTTTCATACACCCCTCCTTCCTCTCTCAGATTTATAACCTCTGCTGCTTACAGCTCCAGATGTTTTGTTCTGCTTTTTACTCTCTGTAATTGCTAATTCAATCTGGTTGTAAAGGAGCAGATGCTCTCTGGACTTGAGAATACCTATGTGGGTCTTCTCTGCGTGAATGTCTCTTTTGCCCATCTACAGAGCAACAGGATTTACTGTAACATCCTGACTCATAAACATAAGCCCTCAAAATTACACCAAGCTCATTTCCTTGTGTTAGGGAATAAGACAACAGTGGTTTAAGCATGCAGAGAAGTGCACTCTGGCATCAACTTCCATTATACACTGAATTACTGTGGCCCTTAAATCAGCACAGAGTAGGTTTGCTGGTTGAGCAGGACTGACAGTTGGATTCAGAGGTCTAAACAGTGGTGGGAGTCTCTCGTCAGCTTTCTTGTACTTTTTTTTTTACCTCAAAAAAAAAAAGTATGAGTCCATCGTTTTTCTCACCAGGGAAAGTGGCAATCTAGTCCAGTTTAGAGAGCAAAATAAACAGACTGGTTATCCACAAGAATGTGAATGCTACTTCAGTCCCATTAGGAACATCTGTGTGTGCGGTTTGAGATCACAGCGGGTTGTCTGTGCGACTTTGAACATGTGACAAGTGGCCTCATTGTTAGCATATTCAATACTGTGCCAGATATGCTCTATGCACTTGAACACATCTATGCTGCATTTACATGAAAGCATAGACACACATAGGTATAAATGCACACACTCACACATCGGTCCTTGCTCACATGCCCACACACACGCACCGGAGTGGACCTGTCATGTGTCATGGAGACAGGGGTCAGATACTGTGTGATGTGTGTGGGGGTTATATCGCTTGGGAAAAGGACTAAAGATCTTACCGAGGCTGTGAGAGGGCCAACAATAACAGCCTGAAATATAACAGCAGTGAAAGAAGCCGCACTCTGACAGGAGGGAAGCTGGGCCCCAGCGAGTGACTCCACACACATCAGAACCTCTTCTGCGGGCAGAAAGATGGGCGGGATTGTTAATTCATAGCTAATGTGCAAAACAAAGAACATTGTTTTGTAATGACACTGTAAAACTGCAAAGAAAAAAAGCTCAGAGTGTTTCAAGAGATTGGAAGCACATGTTTGCAGAGAAAGAATAATAGCTGAGTTGTAGGAGCATAGGTTTTTTTTCTTTCTTTTTTTTAGTGCACATTCTCAAGTCACGATGATGTTTTGACCACATTTGTCATGGGAACTTCAGCCATGTAAACACACAGCCTCGACCCCCACTGGTCCCCCTAACTGACACACACACTCTCACATGTTTAAAGACATTGAACACACTCACCCCTGTGCACCGCTCAGAAGTCTCAAGCACAGGAGAAGTCAGAGTGCCCCCTAGTGCCGCTTGTGCTACAACTACACTGTGTTTATTAGGCTTACTTTTCATCTCCTTCAACTCAAAAGTTGCAAGTGACAACTTGGTCTCAGTAGACCAAATTGATGATCAACCGCAGAGCAAGATGATGAATGGAACTGGGTTATAAAATATGAAATATCAAGGAACGGCAGACTTTTTTCCATATCCAAAGACAGAATATGGGTCTGGTTTCTTACAGAGAATGTTTCTGCGTCTCTCTCTTTGAAAGAAAAAAAAAAAGACTTGCTTTGACGGCATGATTTAGCTGCTGAAACATCTATTGAAATCAGATTTCTACAATTAAGTCCTCTGCCAGCTCAGTTTTCCCAGCACTTTGTCGTATTTGAAACAAAGCCTTACCCCAGCACACACACACACACACCAGACACACACATGCATCCCATACATCAGTGTACACAATTCTGATCTTTAAGGACACAAGGGTTTTCAATCAAAGCTGTGATTGAATACTTTGCCATCCTCAGCACTCACACACTGACAAAAAACACACACACATTGTTGACAGAGAGTGTCTTGAGCAACATCATTTACCACTTAGGCCCCTCCCCGAGGACCGTGCCATTCTTAATGCGTGGCAGATAGCTTGATAGCTCTGGTTTCTGTCGAGAAGTGCATGTCAATCAACAGCTCGCGTCAACGTCACTGAGGCAAAGTGTTTCTGAAAGATCTTTTTACTGAGTGCCTTTCTACCCGTCCTCCTGCAACCCACACACTCACACATGCACAAACACACATGCAGCCATTTCCATCATGGCAATCACTTCTCCTAGAGTTCTCCTCTTCGGACGTGTAACCGTAATTGAGGTTGCTCCCTCGGGTGCAGTGCATTCTGGGCCGTTAAGTGCTGTTTCTTGTTGTTTTTTTCTCAAATGGGTTGTATTTTGGCTATTGTGTTGTTTCTTCCTGCTCTTCTAGAAGTGTAAGCCGTGGGCCGTATTTACACGTATCATTAGAGAATAGAGGCCCCGTTTGATGTAGGGCATCTCAGGGCTTACCTTGCCCACTGGAATATGAATCAATACAACAAAAAGTCTTAATACTTTTAGTAAACGCCCAGTCACAGGAGAATCAAAAAGTGGTACAAAACACCACCAGTCATTTAATTCTTCCCTTACAACACTGAACCATTTCCCCCCACCCCTCCATAAGCCGGATGTGTCTATTTAAGAAGATACTCAGCCATTCAAGGGTGTTCACTTGCTCTGCTGACCCTCCTGCTTACCACATCAGGCCTGGCTTGAGTACATCCCATGACCTTTCCATGCATTGATGACGTTGTCCGTCCAGAAGAGGGAGTGATTGATCTGGATTGACACAAACAGCCAGTGCCCTGCCTGGCCTGTCACACAGCATCACTGGGTCATTGTAGCATGCCTGAATGCCAGATGAAGAGGGATGGAGAACACACAGGGCGGCGACCTGCAGATGATGATGCAGGTTATACTTCTGGGGAAGCTGAGACACATCTGGACAAAAAGGGAGATGTGTTGCTGTACAGAGGAGCACACTCAAGAGGCTCAAACAAAGCCAAAGTATCTCACTTCACAATGCTGAGAAATAATTGACGGAGGATAAAACTTTGTTTTAAAAATAGCATTTTGCATAGTAGTGCTAAAATTCTGTGCATGTTCATGTAAATATTGCTTTTTCAAAATATTAAAGAATAAGTAGAATAAGAATAAGAATTACTTTATTTTATCCCAGAAGGGAAATTCAATTGTCTGTAGTCAATTAAATTGTAGTCAATTTGGTGAAAGTATCAACTAATTTTGCTATTTTGTACACACATAACACGCATTTAATTCGATTAATCTAATTTGATCAACTGAAACATTTACATGCTGTATGATGCACAAACTATAGGATACTACAACAGTTTTGACTGTAGAGACCCTATAGTAAAAGATTTTATCACTTGACTTTATGTCAAAACCAATAAAATACCTACAATAAAGGCATTATTGAATACCAGATAGGCTATATAAACACTACAGCAAATATGGTATTTTTATGCAATCACAGTATGCACAAGCCATGATATCACTTGCTTGGTCTAAATGCAGTGGTTCTCAACTGGTCTCACTCTGGGACCCACATTTTCCCATGGTCCTTAAGTCACAACCCACTTTTATAAAATTCAAACCAAGCAAATTTATTTCCTCTAAAAAAACCTTTAAAGACTCAAATCTTTCACATAAATACACCCATTTTATTGAGTAAAGTGCATTTCAGAGCACATGAACTGAGGACGATAACTACTAAGTTGCGTATGAACAGAAAATATCAAATATTAATTTGCACAAAATGGGGACCAGCAAAAAATGAAAAATTTTACTTATTTGCATCTCTGCATTCAGAGCATATTCAGAAGAACCTGAGGAGGACCATGCAACAGCATGGACAAAAGTGAATAAATATCAAATTGCAAAAAATAAAGACCATAAAAAAAACAAATGTAATTTTACTGCTTTCAGGCCACATTACTAAGAAACTGAGGAGGACCACAACCTTTCATGCCTTTCAAAATAAGCTAGTTTTCAAAATAAAAGACATGTCAAACATCAGATGCTCATTGAATATTTACTTTTTTGACCAGCTGTTCGCGACCCATCCAGAACGTGTCTGTGTCCGAAATGGATCCCTAACCCCTATATAGGCGACTATATGGGTTTTTTTTGAGGGGTGTCCAAAACCTGAGAGATCAATTCCAATGCCCCATATAGGTGACTCAAAATTTCCCATAGAGCATTGCAAAATATAGTGACCATCCGATGGTCACTAACCGGTGGTGGGCATCCCATCATGCATTGCGTCTTGCCATGTAGTGTCCGAAACCTCTGGTAATTGAGCTCACTACATAGTCAGCTATATAGTGAAACCCCATATGGGGTTAGGGATTCATTTGGGACACAGCCAGAGACTCACTTTTGGGTCGGGACCATAGACTGTATATACTATGGACAACTTGGTTCCGCCTTCCACCAGTATACGGATTTGAAGCCAAAAAGCTCTGGGTATTTCCAGGTTTTTTTCTCCATTTCCTGCAACCAACATTGTGCAGTAGCGCTGTACGCACTCCACCACTTGCGCAGTTGCATTGTACGCATTCGGCAGGAGAGTCGCCTAGAGTCGCTGTGATAACGCTCGCCTCAAATAACGTATCCCCCGGTTCAGCTATGCAATCCTTGAATGCCCATAGGCTGTATCAGGTGTCAATCATAGTAAACATGAACCCCCTAATAACTTTTAAAAATTGAGCTGTACAGAAAAAAGAGGACTTGAGCACAAACCAGTCTTACAATAACTACATGTCAACATCCCAAGCAGCAGGAAAAAGAATTATATTCTGTGTAATAACTTTCTAAAGTTTGTTCACAGCCCCATAAGCTTTGCTGTTGGAGGTGGGATTTATGACCTATACTGCAGCCCGTCACCAGAGGGTGCTGTTCTCGGAGTGGCTTCACCCAGAGAGGAGGCAGACAGCGTCCATTCTATATACAGTCTATAGTCAAACATCAGATGTGCATTAAATATTTACTTTTTTGACCAGCTGTTCGCGACCCATCCAGCACATGTCAGCGACTTACTTTTGGGTTGGGACCCACCAGTTGAGAAACACTGATCTAAATGTATATTATATAATATTCACTTTACACTGTCTTTAGGCCTAAAAACACATTTTTTTAACAAGCTTTCTGATACTGTAAGGGGACTCTCTGGTTATGTTCTTTTTGTTTATAATAAAGTTTATATTTTGTCAATCTCAATATAATAATAATTCATTATGAATATTTTGCTTATCTTGACGATTCCTGGGAGTTAGTTTCAGGAACTGAAGAGCACTTTCGTCTGAGCAACTGGTTGTTGTTGTTGTTGTTGTTGTTTCTCTGCTCACAGCTGGCGTTATGATCGTGGGATACACTAGTTTCGGATCAATGAAGTTGTCCGAGTTCTTACTTTAGTAAACTACAACTCCTATGCTGCTTTCCGCGTGTTTGATGACGTTACGAGGGCATTTCCCGTAGTAACCTTTCCCGTCTGTCTGTCTGCCTGCTGCTGGTGCATTTGCGCCTCCTGTCTTAGAGGTGAAGAAGAGTTTACTTTCTAGAGTTCAGGGTTTGGTATCGGTGTTCGCCCAGGAGTAAAGGGTTTGCCGAGGCTGAAAGCCCCTCTTCACGGAGCCAAGATGCTGAACATGTGGAAGGTCAGGGAGTTGGTCGACAAAGCGTGAGTACCCTTAGACTTTTAATACCCGTGATCCGTGTCTGTGGGTTACCTGTTTGAAAAAGACACGTACCCAAAACTTTGACGTCACGCCACTCTAACAAGTTAGCTAGCCTGGATGCTACTATAGCGAGTTAGGTAGCTCACTTTGACAAACACTCTTCGTCTTTGGGGCAGATACACCCTCCTTCTTCGAGTCCTTTTCGTCCGGCTTTTCTGTTAATAAAAGACAACAGTCACGTCGTTATAATATCACGAGGCTTTGGTGTTAATTGTTTACCCCCTCCCGACTGTTTAAGATAACTCTCATAGCTAACCCCAAGCTAGCTAATTATGAAGCCTGTTTGCTAGGTGGTTAGCCGACCAGGCTAGCCTGCTGAGCTAGTTTGACAGCTCCTGGACTGGACTTAGCAGCGCGGTAACACTTCCACTGTAAAACAGCGTTTAGACTTTGATCTATTAAAATATACCTCATAAATAGATAACACTGCTGTCAGATATGTATAAAGACGAGCATAAGTAAGGTCACAACAACAGACACATTAATTCAATCAATAATCAATACATGTTTACTTAAACGTAAATGTTAAATAACCACGCGGTTCTGCTTTATCAACTCATTGCAATTTATTTCACCGGTGGACAACAAGTTTATAGTGTAACACCAGAGGACGTATTAATCACTGACCACTGATTCTGCACGGTTTTGCAACTTGTTGGGGGATTTCCAGATCCTTTTCAGTGCCTGGATTTTCAGGGTCGAATCATGTTTAGACACATAAGTCACTGTTTACCTTTCCAGCAGGTGATTTTTAACGTCTCCAATGAGGAATTTATGGTTTTGCAGCCCCTGTGGACTCTGTCTTTAAAACCACACTTGTGTAAATCTTGTCTAAACAATTAAATGTACTTCAGTTTAACAATACATATGCACAATAAGGCTGTCAGCAGCATGCAAAACACTTCAACTGACACCTACCCCCCTGTCAGCAGGTTCAGACATTTGAAATGACTGTGTAGAAATAGTCCAACTATGAGCTGATGGTTTTAGCTCATTTAATATTACATTCTGGCCTGTTGTACTGGCCGGCTGGCTAAAAACTCATCACAGACAGTAGCTTTGATATGGAGATATTTTTCACCTTTGATAAAGAGAGAGGAGGCATGTAATACACAATACCTACCTACTCTGACTGAACATTAGTTATTTGCATACTCTGAAGGCAGTGACAGTCAGAGCCTGTTCCAGAACCTGAAACTTTCTACCTGCCATCTCTAAACTCTACAGGCTACACCTTTAAGAGTGTTTCCCCGCATGTGTTCTGCTTTGTTTTCTGGTTTTGCATTGAGTTGATGAGTAAGCATGAGCATACTGTTTTGTAATGTTGGGACTGTATTGAGCAATTACACAATTACACAATTCTTAAAGACTTAATAGTTCAATCTACCAACCCACATGGTAGCAGAGCTATCGTCTCCTAGGAGTTTGACTATCTGAATCGTGAGTTAATTACATGAGAGAGACATGTGTTTGATGGTGGCAGGTGAAGAACAGTAAGAAAGAAAGAAAAAAAGAATTAAAAATAGAAATAAAGGGCCTTTCCACAACCATTTCCTTCTGATTTCTCAGAAATCATGGGCGATGAAAAAGGATGTATTTTTTTTTTTTTACATCTAAAAGTGGTCACTCATTGACTAAAATAACAAAACATTTTTTCAAATAGTCTCTATCAGCTGTGAGTCATTGCAGTAACTGGCATAATGCAACACTTCCTGTTATACTATCAGGATTTGCTGAGCAACAACATGCATTGAAATGTTTTGTCCTGTTTAAAAATAGATCTTCCACTGATGAAAGAAAAGCTGAACGTATGAATTATAGAACAAAATTGGCTTCATGTGTTACTGCGAGGAGTGTTTTTGAGCCCTACAGCAGTGTAACGGAAATTTGTGTGATGATGTGTCACTGTAAGTATCACAACTTCCGTTTAATCTGCTGATATCTAGGACAGGAGCCACCTCTGAGAAGAGATAAGCAATGCATCACTACATCGCATCCTCATGCATTTTGCTCGCCTCTTCATGCAAACAGTTTGTAGCTAAGAGGCATGAAGTTTGTAATAATGTGCAAAGACTATGAAAACTTTTTTAGGATACCTGCAGACTACAGTAAAACACAATGGCTTCCTTTTTTAAACTCTGGTGAAGTCTTAACATGAACTGAGTCAGGTTTAACCAAAAGAGCATTGGCATCAAAATTCAGTTCAGTACAAATGTAGGCTTGATATCTGTCTAGGTGCCCCTGTAGTATACAGTTACTGTAACTCACAGTTCAACTTGGAGGTTGATTTTAATCAACTGTGAAAATGCTCCTGGCATGGTTACATTCAAATACTGTTGTTGGCATAGACTCATTTTTTACAAAAGAGAGGACGTTGTCAGTATGGTAACTCTACCCTGCAGCAGCAGTCGTAGTACACCAGCCCATTTCTACAACCACAGAGAGAGGGTGTATCTCCAGCATCAAATCAATGCTGCTCTTTCAGGCCCTGTGCATTTTATTGCTGATGTGGCAGTAGTGAGGGAGGGACAAGGAGGTGCAGGGTTCATATGCTATGGCTCAAGATGTTTTGGCCACAGCTGACAGCAGGCCTCGCTGAATTATCTGAAATGCAAAGTCAGTTAGTTTAGTTACAGCTTTAAATTCTGTTGTCCTGTAAAAAAATTTTTTCAAGCTAAAGTTAAAAGTGTTCAGGCTACAACCAGTGCCGAAGAGCTTGGCTGTATACTACACAAACTTTAAGTAAAATACTTCAGAACCTGATACACTCCTCTCCATACAGCAAAGCACTGCAGAACAAGCAAAACAGCCATTTTGTTTGGTAATTGTAGATTTCCTTCACAGATCAATAACCATATAAGAATTCCTTCCCTCCCGCAAAGAAGCTAAACAGTTTCAAACAGATGGTATAAACTTACAAACATATGCCAGAGAGAGGGTAGCACAGGCTTTGTGTTACCAGAATATTCTCTGATCTTAAAATCCTTTTTTTTGTCATCTTTACTCCTTTTAGGACATACTTCACATATCTGATACCTGACTGATCTAATGTTAGACGGACAGTTAACATGTGTCTCATGCTAAATACTGGTTTTGACAGCATATATGAACACTTATGTTAGTTAGTTAGTGGTCCTTTTGTGTGAGCAAAAGCAAAAGCTCGTGCTTGGTTTGTCTTGGTTTGTTGTGTAATCATGATACTGAATAAGCTCACTGACCAAACCTGTCAACCTTGTTAAACACATGGTAAATATTGTCCGAGCCGCTTATTCAGCTTTACCTTTATGAGTAGTTGAGACCAATCATTTAAAAAACGTGCTTCAATATGTATCTGCGGTTATAACTGAGACTGATTTCAGAGGCTTCTTGGATTTTTCTCTTTTCTTTCAGTATCGTACAGTTTCAACAAGATAGGCTGATCACAGCCCTGTTTGCTCCATCACTGTTTTAGGTCTCACTTATGTGTTTATGCCGGCCTTGATTTGCATTTGCTTGTGTTGTGTCTAGTTTTTGGTTTGGCTGTTGGTTAGTTTCAGAGCATACACACAAGCACTCTCTATTGTCCCACGATCCTTTCAGGCCTCTTGTTGGTGGAGAGTATGGGCGTGGCTGCAATAAGAGAACCTTTCATCTAGTATTGTCTGTCGGTCTCCAAGAAGGCCACATCCTCTAAACTGACATGTTTATTGTGTTTTATAACAACCCATAAAGGGTATGATTTTTATCTCGTTTCTTACTCTACAGGACTAACGTAGTCATGAATTACTCAGAGGTGGAATCTAAAGTCAGAGAAGCCACCAATGACGACCCTTGGGGACCATCAGGACAGCTTATGACTGAAATATCAAGGTAAGAACAGCGCACAGTGGTGTACAACATGTTCTGCTGCAAGCATCAAGGTTATTTGTAAACAAATAAATCATTGAAAGATTATTACAAAGTACTTTTCAGCTGCAGGAACATTTTTAGAGCTCCCTGCTGATGAAATTTTCCTCCATTGTGTCCACAAGATCTCCATTTTAAGTTTGGATTATTTTATTTTTGCCCTGCCAATAAAGCCCCTGTTTCCAAGGTAGTATTTATCTGCAGTGCAGAGACTGCGCTGCACTGTTGGGGGTAGTCCTGAACACAAGCCTCAAAATCACTGCAACATGTGAAACGCAATCCTTTAAACTCTGAAATTACAGGTCTCAGCATTAGAGCGAGGGAGGAGATTCATCGTTTTTCGTGGTGCTCTGGTTGACCTAAGAATGTCAATTATTCTCACTGAAGACTTTAGTAGCTGTGTTTTCATGTGCAGGATTTTTTTCAACCTGATTTCAATCTTTCTAAATGAGGATTTCAACCCTATCATACTAAATAAAATGATCCAATTAAGATTTGTGTGTACATTTATTAAGAAGTTACTTAACCATTAAAAAAATTGTTTTAACATTCTGCCAGTCTAATGTGTCAGAAAGACTTGAAGAAACAGTCTGACTGTTTCTGCTGTTACTACATCATTATATATAACATGTTAGAAAGAAAGTTTGAATAGAAACCTTACTGTATCTGTACCCCTTTACATATTCATTCTCCGTTTGCCCCTCCATCAGATATTACTTTCTCCCACTCTTTCCCCTTGTAACTTTGGAGGTCTTGCGTTTTATTCATTTATTTATTTTTGGACCACCAAGATGCTCAACAACCCTGAGCTCTTACAAAGTCTCTGGTCAAAAGTTGTGTAGACTCACTTTAACTTTGCTCCTGCTGTGTTTCTACCCTTCCTGGAAACAACAAAAGTTGAAACTCCTCCAGTCATGTGGAGAGTAAGGCATGCCCAGTGAAAAGAGTTTAACCCCATTCTGAAGGAGTGGTTACACTGGCAATGAAACGGCATTCACATGAGGTGTGCACATGCAGCATCTTTATTCTCAGATGGCTGTTGGTCCAGTTTTGAGTGCTCCCTGACTGAGTGGTGTGGCCAAATTGACTGTAATTAATCCATGGATTATCAACTACTGGTATTTTGAATGCATCCATGCACTCGTATCTTTAGCTTCAATTGATAGGTAAAAAAAAATTCACGCTGTGTTCAAATGTATTGAACGTAAAAAACTGAAGGTTTTTTTTTCTTTCTTATTTATTATTTATTCTCTACAAGTGTGTACTTCTATATAAATACAGATGTTTCAGCTGCACTGCAATGAACCTCCTTTAAGTTAACTGTCTCATCAGGTGCAGGGGGACGTGTAACTTTTAGTTATTTTTCAATGTCTTACTGACCTGATTTGCAGTGAGTACCTAAACACCTAAACACAAACAAAAGTGTACTGAAGGAACCTGCACTTCCTGAAATACTTCCTGAGTATGTTTCCGCAGGCTTCTTTGTACAAGAAAATCTTTGTTAAAGGGTTTTTAAAGGACTTAACATCCAGCTGTTGCTTGTCACACACAACAAATAAAACCACTATTTTCCCCCTCTTTATTCTGTGAATGTTTCTTTAATCAGAGCCACGTTCATGTACGAGCAGTTCCCAGAGGTGATGAACATGCTGTGGGCCCGCATGCTGAGAGATAACAAGAAGAACTGGAGGAGAGTCTACAAGGTCTGCCACAGCACTGTTGCAACATCTCACCAACACACAGGCTTAGTCATGTGCAAAGTCTCACTCAATTTGAGGCTTATGAGCTCAAGGTTACAGTTTGAATTTGACCTAAAACTTGAACCAGACAAAATTAAAACAGATGTGGCTTAAAGCTGGAAGCTTTTCATATTGAGTGATCTGTCAAGTCCAACCTTACCGCTGATTTCTTACAGGCAGGACTAAGCTGTCAGTTTTAAGCAAAGAAAAATAGGTGGAGGCAGATGTTTTTAATAGTACAGTTAAGTTTTTAATATGAGAAACAAAACAGTTGGCCTCAAAAGACATGTTAATGCCTCAAAGAGTAAAGATGTTATTTTTTTTTTAATAGTTTAAGTCACAGTCTGAGCTGATCCTATTAGACTATGGAGGAAAAAACTGACAGAGTGACTATAACAGGATTAAAGTTAAGAATGAGACATAAGCCTTTCTTTCCCTAATGCCGTTGTGTGTCTGCTTCTCAGTCATTGCTGCTGCTCTCACATCTAATCAAGAACGGCTCTGAGAGGGTTGTTACCAGTGCCAGAGAACATCTGTATGACCTGAGATCATTAGAGAGCTACCACTTTGTAGGTAAGTCACACCTCTGATGATCTTCTTAGCTTTCTCTCATTAAATAATCTTTTTGTTGCTGCATGTTGGAGGAGAACCAAGAAAATGAAAAAGAAAATCCTTCCTCTTTTTAATTGTGCTTTAACTTCAGTAAGGCACAATCTACACCTCAGTGTTGTAGCATCGAGTGTTAATTAACAATAGTTTCAGTGTGAGCTGTAATGGATGGAGGTCTTAAGCACTTCTTATTCCACAAACCCTTAACCACAGCACACACGCATATACACACTGCCCTCAAGCTGCTTTCATTCCTCGCAACCATGTGTTTATTTAAGGTGCAGCGTACAAACAAGAACATTCAACTTCCACCGACAGCTCATCTGTATTGCCTGTGTGTGCGGTTCAAATACATATGTGTTTATGTGTCTTTAAATTTCTATTTCTAGATGAGAATGGGAAGGACCAAGGTGTGAACGTTCGTCAGAAGGTGAAAGAGCTGGTAGATTTCGTGCAGGATGATGACAGGCTCAGAGACGAGCGGAAAAAGGCGAAGAAGAACAAAGACAAATATGTTGGTGTATCCTCAGAGAGTATGGGTAGCCGCGGTTATTGTAAGTCCCCAGTAACAATAAAAATATGCTTTATTGTTGATAAAGGTGTTTGATATTCAGTTAATGCTTTCTCTTCTGTGCCACCTATCTGATTTCCTTTCCTCCAGCCGGGGACAGGTACGAGTCTAGTGAAAACCGACGAGATAAGTGGGACGATGACTGGGAGAAGAAAGGGCAATTTCCCTTCAGCGAGAAGTTGGGCGAGATCAGCGACAAAATTGGCAGCACCATTGACGATACCATAAACAGGTTTAAGAAGAAGGAGAGAGACGACTCACCAGATCGATTTAGGTAGGATTGACAAAGCACCTGAGTTTGTTTTGAAAGGCACAAACCACGCTCCAGGAATGAATGAAAAGGAAGCTCGCACCATCACTATAAGTGGAAATGAAAAACAAAAGTTCTCTACCTCACCACTGCTGGTAAAAAAAAAAAAAACCCAAAAAAATAGAAAATAGTTCTTTATTTTGTAGTTTTCCAAACACAAGGCTAGAAACACACAGCAGGATTTTAAAATCTACTAGTCCAACTTTTCATTTATATTATGATGATGTTGATGATGATGATGATGGTGATGAGATGGTTTAGGAAAAAAAGACCAATTCAAAGAGACTCCATGCTCCAAGTTTTACAAGGGCCCTTTCTCAAACCAGTCCCTCCTCACCTCCACTCCAAATGAAGCTAAATGAAGCTTCATGTAGATGAAGGGCCCCAGTACAGATGCAAGTTTCAAGACAGACTAGTCTTACTATCCTGGGAGCAGGAATTTTATGTAACCATGGTTACACGTCAAACAAATTATTAGCAGTTTACACAAATAACCATTTAGCCGAGTCAAAAAAGTTTGCTCCACACTATAAGAAATATTCCCAAATTATATTTATGGGAAGTTTTTTTGGAGATATGATTTTAAATCTGATGAATATATTCTGCTTAAAATAAAAGAGCACTTCTTTATTGTCTCCATAGTGACAATGAGGATGACCGCAGTCGCTCGTCTCACAATGGCAAGTCAGCAAAAGACTATAAGGATGAAGAAGAGACTGTTACCACCAAGAGTGTACAGATAGTCCAGGCAACAGAGACTACAGCAACACGGAAGAGAGGCGGGGTCCCGTCAAGAAAAGTAGACTTGGGGGCCGCTGCAAACTACACAGGAGATAAGAGCCCAAACACCACCACCAAACAGGTAGACCCTGTGAGAGAGCAAACAGCTCATAAAAAAAAAAGACTTGATTTGTGATCTGTTGGGTGATCTTTTTCGTAACATGTCTTTTCTCCAGCCTCAGCCAGCAGCCCCTCAGCCTGCCAGTACTGGCTTAGTCGACTTATTGATGGTTGACACAACACCAAGCAAGCCTGCTGCCACAGGTATGAGACCACAAACCTCAAGTATACTCCGCTTCTAGTTAAGAAATGCTCTCATTTGCTGTCGAACGAGATTGCTACGTGTTGCAATTCCCCGGTTTTAGCGTATAAATTATACCAACATGTTAAGCTAGCTAAGGAAATAAAAGTATCTGCCTCATGTTGCATATTCTCAGCACTATTCTTAACTAGACTTCAGTAAATCCAGGATCAACTATGTAAATCAGAGTTGCAACATTGATTAAATTCAGAAAAACTCCACGGTGACTGCAGGACTAGACTGCAGTAAGGATGCCCAGCTGCTAAAGCTAGCTTTAGATATTGGGGACAGCAGAGGGAGGGATTTGATGTATAGTAACTAAGTGCAGCAGATGTTTTTGGAGCAGTCCCTGGTGCATGGAGAGGGTGGAAGAGCTGAACAGATGTTTGGTCTTCTCCACCTATCCACTGCTGCCGCCACCACCGCCCTCCCCCCTACTTCTCTGACACTGAAGGAATGCTAACTATGGAGGAATGACACCTGGAGCTGGCTTGTTTAAAATTGATGTGTTAATGTGTCTCTCCCAATGCAGACCTGATCGGTGGGTTTGCTGACTTCACCTCGCCTGCTGCCTCCGCTGGCCTCACCTCAGGAACTGGTTGGTTTCAAGACTTTTTTTTTTTTTGTTTGTGTGTGCATGTTTGTGCTCTGCTTTTGCAGCCATACTGCTAGAATATTCAGAGGGATGCTGGGAGGAAGCCCTGGCCATATGGAGCCTGCTACCTGCTCTGCATAACAAGAACAGACACACATCAACTCCTGTTATAGATGACAAGGAGACAGGGACAGAGGTAGAAGTTGGTGGGGGGAGGAAGCTGGGAGAGACTAGGGGGGAGGGAGAGATGGAGGGAGACAACAAGCAGGGCCAGTTCAATAAAAATTTAAAATGTGGCACCAGTGGTCAGTGAGAATGCTCTGAAAAACACAAGGCCAGCCTCGCTGAACACTCAACTGTTTATTCCTAATTGCTGTGACAGCGAAAAAAAAAAAATCCTTGCCCCACTTTTGTTTGCAACATCTTGCAGTTATTTACACAGCTCACAATACAAACAGCAATGTTTGGATAGAATAATAAACATTCATTTGGCTTTTTTCCCTTTGTGTTGTTTTAGCAGCACCGGCTTCAAGTAGCAACGGAGAGTTTGGAGAGTGGAACGCCTTCCCTGGAGGTCAGATGCCAGCTGCAGCTCAGACTGTTGACAACAGTAACGACCTTTTCGGAGTCATGGCAGCAGGTCCTGCTTTGGCCCCTGTTTCAGCACCCGTTTCAGCTGCAGGCTCTGGTCCCACCTCGGCAGACCTGTTTGACTTGATGGGGCCAACTCAGACCCTCACCTCCTCGCAGAGCCTCAGCTTCAGTATGAGCAGCACGCAGACCATGAGCTCCACAGGCCTGCCCCAGTCTATGTCACAGGTATGCATGACTGCACTCGAGCAACACACATGCAACCTATTATTCAATAATTCATTTTGTTCTTATCATAACAGGAGTCGTAAAAAGGGGGCCGAAATGTTACAGGTGGATACAAATGATCCCCAGGGAAATAACTTTACACTCTGTGATTTCAGAGTTCTTAAAAACAGAGCGAGTCTGATACAATTGAAGATTTTTAATAGACATGGTAACTTAAAGATGACAAATGTTGTTTTAAAAAGTGGCATAGGATTTTCAATGATTGAACATTCATGACCAGAAATACATCCAGAGTTTACCTGCTGCTTGGGAACTTTGCAGTGTTATATGTAATGGATACTGAAACTGAAGCCCCCTGCAGAGACAAAGGAGGTGTTTCTATTCTCAACATCAGCTTTTAGGATAAAACCTGATAGACAGAATTCTCTTTTCTTTTTCAAGCATTATGTTTGTTTCATACTGGCTTTGATAGTTTTAAGACAGGAAAACATGAACTCTTGAGAGACATAGTAAACCGTTCTGCTATCACTCATTTGCAAAAGAAAGTGCACAAAAATGAAAAAAACACACAAGAATAGAAATTAAAAAGAAAAATATAACTATGAAACTCTTTATACATATGAATATTGCCCTGCATAGACTTGTGTCTTGCTTTGATTTATTTCCATTACATTTGGTGTGAAAACATGTCTAAGCTTTGAGGTTTTATTATGTTGTTACAATGTCAGATATTCAACATGCAAGATTGAGCTAACACAGTCTAAGCTACAGCCAAATTGTTACAGGATTGATGTTTTTAATTTTCAAACAGGCTTTGGTTGTCTCTACAAATGTGAGTGTAATAGAAACATCCTGGCATGCACATGTAATCCTCTAGGAACCCTTTTAGCAATTAAATACTGTGGGTTTTAAGAGGGGAAACAAGTCAAGTAAGACAGTCAAAGACATTTTAATCTCAACGCAAAATACCTGTATGAAGATTTCAAATTTACTACAGCCTACCACTTCTTGTTGACCACATCTGTGCGGTGAGATAAAGATGTACCGCGTGTGATTGAAAGATGGAGGACAGACACGATGGTGGAGGGTTAACATGCAGCCTCAACAGATGCTCATCTCCCCCAGAGACCGCCCACTAACCACCCACTCCTGCTGTTACTGACACACAGAATGAGAAGAATCAGTTTTGAGTTACAAAAACATTAAAAAGCACACAAAAGCCGGTGGATGTCGACTGAATCTCGGCGTTAAAAGGTTACTGACCTACTTAAATAAAACTAAGTCTTTGTTTTGCTGAAAAGACACCCACCACTCCCTCTGTGTGAATTCAGTCGGAGACAGTAGCAGACTTCCCTGACTGTATCAAGGTTAAGTAGGTCAGGCTTTTAAGGTTTAAGGACTTGAGTAATGAGCAGAAACGGGTATCTTTTCATCAGTTGGGGCTTTAATGTATCTTCAGTGTGTTTTAGTAATTTCAGTCGAGATTAGCTTGTTTTCTAACTCGGTCTCTATCTGTTCAGCCCCTTCAGAACATGGGGGGTCCTCTACAACCGCAGCCTGTCATGCCCCTCCAGCCGCTGCAGCCAGGAATGGCCTCTCAAAATGCCGGAGCCAAAGCATCCCTCCCCTCCACTTGGTCAGACCCCTCAGTTAACATCAGCTTGGACTTTCTGGGTCCAGGAATGCAGCCACCCAAGCCAAGCCAGCCCACCCTCAACACCCTTCAACAAGGTTAGAGTAATGTGAGATCTGGCACAAGAGGCTACACCATGGCTGGGCTCTCCTTCAAAGCACTCAGCGGCAAATGTGATTTGAAATTTGTCATTTTTTGTTAATTGAGTGTGTTCTCTCATTTCCAGGCAACCAAGCACCTGCCAGCATGCTCTCCCAGGGATTCTCCGGTATGAGCATTGGAACTACAACAGTCAGACCGCCTGTAAATCCTATGATGCACCCTGGAGCTGGCATGGGAATGGGCATGGGGATGGCCCCCAACCAGGGCATGATGGGGATGGGGATGGGGATGAACATGGGGATGCCACAGGGAGGTATGACCATGGGTATGCCCGCTTCTATGGGTATGGGAATGGGGATGAACCCTGCAATGGTCCAACAGCCCAAACAAGATGCCTTTGCTGACTTTGCCAACTTTGGAAAATGATGGAGCCGGAGAGCTAAGATAATCTGGTGGAGCGGTACGGGCCTCTCCATCTCTTTCTCTCCGTCCATTGGTGAAGGACTGTTAAGAGCTGCAAACAAAGAGTACTTGAATAATATCAACCATCACATACCAACACCCTTGATTTTTTTTTAAAAATAATGCTGTGTAGCGATATGGATCGAAATGAATGTGTTTGTGTTGTGTGTGTGAACCAATGATCTGTCTGCTCCGGGTTATGGTCAGACACACACAGATGACTGCACGCCTCATTGGTCAGTCACCAGTCAGTGAGGGGAGGATAGAGTGAATGTTGGGGATTTGCTTTATAACCTCAATCAAGTCAAATCACCAGACTAGCAAAAACAAAAAAATATCAGTAGCTGCATAATTGTTTTTGAGATGTATTCTCAGTAACTTTACTGGATGATTACTTTGAATAACATGATCAGCCATTTTAACTTTCTAATGTACATTTAAGAATGTCGAGTTACCTCCTTTTTTTTCTTGTCCTCGCTCTTCCTTTGACCTGTAAATAGAAATCTGAAGCCCTTACAGATAAGTTATGAAGTTCTGGTGCGAAGTCACAATGTGAAGAGTTGGATCATACAGACCAAATCTGGGATTAATTAAGACCTTTATCAGCACATTGACACCTTCTCTTTGTACATACATGTCCACACACTCCAAATGTGGCCTGTCAGTGCTACAGCTTAAGAATGAGTGTTGGGAGTGAAGGCGGTTGATTAATTTGGGGAGCTTCTCCTTTAAACGACCATCATTTGTGGCCTTTCTTATTTCTAAATATATTATATATTTTACTTATGAAGAGTATAATCAGTTTGCATCCAAATGAGATAATCAGTAGGTAGGAAAAGCCTCACATGGAGGTTGTTGGTTGTTAATAACAGTGCCTGGAAGATCTCTTTTCTCTTCAGTTCACCTCTGTGAAGGAGACAGTGTGATTGCAGTGTTGATGACAGAGCTTCTGTACGATGTACACATGTGTTTGCTTCAAGCCAAGCGTACTGTCTGTTCACCTATCAAATGCTATTGTATCATTATTTTCATCTGATTTGTTTTGTGTGTCCCACACCCTTTAATTTGTCCTTCTCTACTCAGGTGAGAGAAGTCGGAAAAATATTGATCTCATCTCAGTTTAACACCTCAAGTGTTGGTGCAGACTGTTATTGCGATTGTATCATGCATCTATGTGTTGTCTGTTCAATGTTCACCTGTGTGTCTTGGTAAAAGCTGCCTGCTCACCCTCCATCTTTTCTGTTGATACACATAAAATACAGCAGTTCAAATCAGTGTTGTTGCAGTCGTGACCATACTCATCCTCATCATTCTGCATGTGTTGCTCATAGTAATAATGATCATTTGAGAGGAAGCACTCTCTCCAGTTTGGAGCAGTCTGTGCACACCCAGTGCGTAATAGTGTTTGGATGTGGGTGTGTTGTGGGACAGCGCACCATGAACAGTCCCATTCAGCTGTGAGTCGTACAAAGCATTGCTCTTCAGTGGTTCAAGTGCCTGCCGATGGTTGCCTCCTGACCCTTGTAATAAGTGATTGATAAGTGACTCTTGGCTGCCTGACATTTTGAGTTTGTCAACGATCAGATAAATAATTCACTGACCAGAGGAGAGGGCAGTGGATTGTGCAGCGCCAGGAGGATTGAAGTTGTGCTTTCCTGCTCTCCTGAGGGCTCACGAGGCTGAGCACACTAACACATAGTAGCCTTGCGTCAGAGTCTGAAGCATTAAAATGACCAAAATCTGTTTGCTGTTTTTCTAAAATATATCAGTAGACATTGTTTTATGCATTTTTTCTACTTCAAATTGTTTTGATTTTCTCTACATAATGGGATTGTTACTGAAACACTAGCATATGCAAATGTATAAAAAAAAGAAATCCTTTGAGAAAAATTAATTTTGCATTATTCCCATTTTGATTTGATTTACATATCAAGATTCTTTATCTACAACATTAAACAGTTGATTGAAATTTGTTAATGATGTGTGTTATTTGGTGTGCTGTGTCATTAGCCTCATTCAAAAGAGCTTTCAGCAGCAAAAGTGAAGCCGCTGCACTAGACTTTAAAATTACACTTCGTTAATGCAGCTTTGTTAACTCCATTAAGTACACACTAACACGGACACAAGTGAAAGCAGAGCCGAGAGGAGAAATGAACACCTCACTACAAAGTGGAACATTTCGCAGGAATAAGACCGCAATGAGATATTTCAGGAAGACTTAAGTTTGTGACAGGAAACCATTGATTCTGTTTGATTCAATCAACAACAAAACAGCAGCAATATCTGATTATCTGAATATTCTCTGCGCTACATCCTAAATACTTCTTCAGATGATCAAGATTTAGAGTGGGGACGGTGAGATTCGTTTGTGGCCTAATTAATTTAGACAGTCTAATTGTAGCCCTTCTTTTCACCATTAATACTTTGACCTTCACATATTGTATTCAGGTTTGTTGGAACACACCGTCGTGACAAACACGACTACAGCACAGTTTACATTAAATAAATGACCTGTTTTAGCTCTCTGGAGAGGGAGAGCCCATTTATAAGGGACCGTACTAATAATATTTTGATTCATTATATGAAACAGTATACGTGTGAACAACAGCTCAGCTACAGCAAAAAAAAATTTGCCCTATTTGTCACAAAAATATACAGAAAGAAGGTCAATTAAACTCTGAAGTCTAGTTACGGATAAAATAAGACAAAACTCATTATAGCAGCATACAATCATTGTGCGCTGCTCATCATCTAAAAGTAACCTCTGCCATTTAAAAAAGAAAAATGCAACATCTTTACAACTTCCACGAGATGCAGTAAATTGTGCTTTTATGGGTAATGTGCCCATTAAAGAGTAAAAGCAATCTGAGACGTCAAGACAAATGACAGCTTTTGAGTGCCATCTGCAATCTCGAGCTTCACAAACTCAATTATTCATAATGCATTTATGAAGTCCGCTGAGACTGCGCTGTCATTCCTGTTCAAACTAACAGGAAAAGCAACATAAAGGGACAAGCTCACTGAGATGACAATGGCCCCCGCGGATGGCACTAATGTGTTTATGCTGCCACCTGCTGGGGAAAAACCACAGCACAGGCCCGGCAGTAAACAGTGACAGGATAAGGACAGGACAAAACAAGACAAGAAGGAACTATAATTAGTTCTGAGAAGCTTTTATTCTTCAAAAATGAGATAATTTCTCTCATGGGCTGAAAAAAACCTCCATATCAATATGATATAACAACAGTACGTTTGATTCTTTCAAACCTGATTAAATCAAATCTCTGTCAGTTCATTTTAAGTGTTTCACACCTTTTGTTACAGATGACAGGAGAAAAAAGGAAGTACTTTACATTGAATGTGGTTGATACAATTATACATTATAAATATCAAACTGAAAACAGAAATCAGAGCGGCTGTGGATTGACCAGGATGACATTCTCGCCCCGGATGAAGAGCTGGTTGACGTGTCGGGTGCAGACCTTCCCATACTTCTGGGACTCCTTCTTCTGACAGGCCTCTGAACCCTGGGCCCTCACTGAGACATTTTGTTCATCCAATCTGGTTGTATCAGTATCTGGAAGCTTGGACTTAGTCCTGCTGTCCTCTTTTGAGCTGGCCCATCGAGCAGACACAGTTTTGATTTTTGTCGGCTTTTTTTCCTGAACTTCCTGCTTCTTTGCTGACTCTTCGACTGCCACGCTCTGCTGGAGCTTTAACTTCTCAAAGAGCTGGACAGAAATTTCAGTCATATTAATATTTGGGGATTAAACTTCAACCTTGAAGTCATCATTCTCAGCGAGTTCAACCCTGTTTTTGGTCAATATTCAAAAGAATAGCCACATTAGACTAAACATTCTTACACTACCTGCCTACAGTTTAACTAATGTTACCAATAAGATCAGCTTTTCTTGTGCAGGACCTAAATAACCTTCCTTCGCTGGAGAGACTCAAGAGTTACTGCTTACAGGATACTTTTGAAAGTACAGGTAGGCAAGCCTGGGACTCTCTGTTACATTGAAACTCACTTATTTGTAATCTGTAAAAATAATACTCAATAGCAGCTGACATAAATGATCCGGTGATTTGATTGGCTTGAACAGCTGATCACCACTCCATCAAAAAGGCCCAGATCAGCCACAATCTGGACAAACCTAGTCCCAATAAAACCAGAAACATCACCTGTGCTGCAGATTGTAACTTCATCTATTCCTGAGTAAAGGACATATTAAAGTCAGATTTACAGTGAAACATGTTGCTTACCCGTGTTATGGTGAGGGCTTTCTCATGATAGAGCGCTTCACCCAGCAGAGGCTCTCTGTATGTCTCATCTACATCTACCATTGCCTGGCAAAGAGACATAAAAAAACAGACTGATGTATCATTATTATCACAGTAACATGTTCAGTTTGTTGTGAAAACATTACAGATTCTGCAAATGTCAGCTGGAGGGGGCTTTATGTTTATAGAGGAGCTCACCATGTTCCAGAACTTGTCAAAAGCTACAACAAAGCCCGAGCACACTCCCCTCAGTCCTTTGAAGGTCCTGATGTGAACTTTGACTCTTATCCTCTCCTGGACACAACGATACAGCTCCCCCAGTGGGCTGCCTGCACATACTGTGGAAACATCACAAACGTGTTTAACATCCAACTGTAGAGTCTACACTTGCAGGAAATTTACCCTGATGCACAAAAACAATTCAGTGAAAACGAAACTGCTTGAACATGAAAAATGTTCAATATCACATTGTTGTTTTTTGCATTTGATAAAAACAATTTTATGTTCCCTTCCAGTGCAGGTTAGAGGGTGTCTGCACACTTAGTGCAGTTTTAACTGTAATATGCTAAGCTTCTGGCTCTACAGGTCTGCCATGAAGAGCTGAAAGCTTGCCACATTAAAGTGTTAACATCTGTAATCCATGCACTTAGCACTCCAATAGACATACATGTTACCTGTTTTAGATTCATTTCTTATTAATTCCTGAAATAGTAAATACATTAGCTTATGCTACAAATTTCAGAACATGGCAACACCTACCTGCATTATTCTACACACTATATTAGAATTTCTACTCAACTCAAGTCAGTCACTGTTGTAGATTTGAGATGCTGTCATTTAAGATGAAAAAAACCTGCAACCAGCTGCACTGACAAGGCTGCTTGCAGTATCTGAATATATTATTTGTTCATTTTTAATCCACCTGGTAAGTGCATGCATTAGCCAAAGACTTAGTTTTCCAAAGCAGTTATGATACAACCAATCACAATACTGTGTGCAAAGGTAATGAATGACCTTTTGACTATCCTGGATAAAGTTAGCACATTTTTTTCTGCATCTTATGTCAATATTGCAATTTGTAGACACACTCAAGTCATGACTAGCTGTGCAAAGAGGGGTCTTCACTTCATTGATTTAATTGATTGGAAATGGCCACACGTGAAGCAAGCAAATCTTGTTTCTTAAAACAGAAAAATTTCAACTTGACATATCTTGACTAAAAAATCCTACATGGACCTGTTGTGTCTATGTTAAAAGTAATGGCTATGACTGAAATAAATTCACTTGGAGAGTGGTGTGCAGTGTAGACCCCACTCATCAGTTGGCTGTCATGCATTTGATGGATAAGTGTTATGGTTTTAGGATGTTTGTTTCTCAGTCGCTGATGCTGTGCAAAATGTAGCACAATACAAGCCTTTTACTAGACAATAAAGTTTAAGGTACTGATTTGAAAAACTTCTCTTAAAAGGTAAAAGTTCACAAAAACAACAGTAATGTAAGGAAATGGCGTGATACTGATAGTCAGTAGACAATCATAATCATTCAACTGTTTCACTGGTGTTAAAAATGCAAACTAAAAATTGAGACAATCAACATTATTGTAGAATCGCAATTCGAATCGAATTGGCATCCAAAAAATCGTATCGGGAAAGAATCGAATCGGGAGAAAAGCATATCTCCCAGCCCTACTTTCCATGCCCGAGTAGTACCAGTACTCCTATGAGGAGGTGAAGTTAGTTATACTTGTAGTAGTAGTAGCAGGTGTAGTAGTAGCTAAACCTACATGGCATCCTCGTCAGGACATTTTTCTGGGGTTTCTGCCCTCTCCTCCTCCTCGGTGTGTTGCTGCTGCTCTCCCCCTCCTCACTCTCCTCCACCGGATTGTTCACCATGAGTTTCTTCAGCCTGGCGATCCGCTCCGGGTCCGCCACCCCCTTCATCGCCTTCTGACGCTTTTTCTCCACATTCTCCGGCTTGGCTCTTCCCCGGCCCCCCTTTAAAAAGCTCTCATACGCCGACACATTGTTGAAACATTTGACATTTGGAAAAGGAAGCGGTACAGTCGGAGAGTACAGGGCCAGGACAGGGTCAAACTTGTCTGAGCAGACATCTATTTTCTCCGCGCCCTCGTCCGGATCTTTGCGTCCTGCCTCAGGTTCACGCTCCGGCACAGATAGTGAACTCGAACTGGTGGCTTCTGCGGTTTCACTTCTTTCTGTAGGTACACTTTCTCTTTCCCTCTCCTCCATGTTTGAAACAGCCGCAGATGGGCACACGGTGAAGCAAGGAATCCTGGGAAAGTTGTACTGGTGGTTGAGGCTGAGCTTTCACTCTGAGACTATTTCAAGGCATGAAACACGGAGTGGGCAGGCCAATTATGAATTAATTCCCAACAGGTTAAGTTTTTAAAATTTGGTTTTCTGTTTGAAATTTTATGGCCATGTTTTATTTGTACCCTTGAAGTTACGCCTATAAACCAGGAAGTGCTACAAAATGTAGTTTTATTTCTTTCACTTATTGACGATCTTTGGTTGCAGTGACAACTCATGACCACTAGATAGAGGTAAAATACAGATGATATTAAAAAGTTACGATGCAATTTTCTTAGCAAAAAAGGATTTTCTCCAGGATATAAATGATACAAATTGGTGCATTATGGTACATTATAAGATAGACTAAACTATCAACTGAAAATTGTGAACTGGTTGATTTATTAGTGGTCTGTTTTTTAGTTTAAGAATTGTGCAGCGGAACTCCCGATCGTGTTGATCTTTGGTACCCTTACGACAGATTTCGCTGACGGACTGTACACAAAATAACGTGAGTGAGTGGAGTAACAACAGTCAAATATCTAATGTGGGTACCTTTTTTAACATAGTTTTCAGTTATGATGTTGTTATGTATATGTGCGACTAACAAAATATTGAAAGGTGGTGCGTGAAATTCCTACGCGGGTTATTCTAAGTACAGTGGACATTATTGTTAGTGCTAATTTATGTTATTAAAGGCGGAAAAACGTGGAAAAAAATTAGTTTTCCATGACGGGGTCCGGCATAAGTTGTTCATTTTTTGAGCTGTCTATGAAATAATCTTCAGTTTTATGACAGTTTCGTGTATTTCACAGTCATGCTGTGAATGCTTACATTTTATGTAGGGGAGAGTGGGGTAAGTTAAGCCAAAGGCTAAGTTGAGCCACCCCCTGTTGCTTGAAAACGGTAAAAGAAATTGCTCATGTGACCAAATATTTAGGAGATGGTCATCAATTCATGGAGTCTGTGAAGGTTAGAAGCACATGGGTGAAGGGGTTAGACATTTATTTACAAAAAAACATTTTTCACTCTTGAATGTGAATTTAGTCTGTCATAAGTGTTAATAGAATTGTGTTCAGACCAAAGAAGATCATTATTAAATTTGTAATACATCAACTGTGGTATCAATGAGCTACAACATGAGGTCAAAAACCTTGCATAAAAGTCCACCATTTTAGCTTAGAGGACTAATAAAGTCATAATAGTAGTTCTGGGGTAAGTTGAGCTCACCTGAGAAAGTAAAGGAGTCTGATGAGAGGATCAGAGTTTCAGTTCAGATTGTTGAAATGTGTTACTTTTTCTTCTCAAAAATACAGCTGTGAATGTTCTGAATCACTTAAAGACATTCTCATGTTAAAATGGCTTTTTATAAAACAGCTTTTTAGCAGAATAATAAAAAGAATTATTGTACCAGTTGAATAGCCTATAGCTAATAGATAAAAATACACATGAATGTGAAGAAGTGACTATTATTTAGGAAGAGAGAAGGTGAGGGAGGGCTTGAGTGGAGAGTGGGGGGTAGTAAGGGTATGGCTCAACTTACCTCGCTCCAAAGTTGACCATAGGAGACCACTTTTTTTGGCATGCTATATTATCAAGACAGTTCTGTTTACACTCATTCTGTTGGTTTGCAGGGATGCACAACACCTAAAATATATGCAGATACACTAGTTAGAGACAAAACTATAATTGCCTTGATGTAGTGATCTAAAATATGAAAAATGGCTCATCTTACCCTACTCTCCTCTACTTCTGTTTTCTATTTCTCTGAAGCACCCCATGCTGTTTGGACAGGTTTGCAGGTTTAGTGGACGTGTCAGGTCTCTTTTTGGGGCCGGATCCTTTGCCTGCCTTTGCACCACCTCCAGCAACATGGCCAAGAGCAAGTTTGAGTATGTCCGCAACTTTGAAACAGATGACACATGTCTACGAAACTGCTACATTGTTGTGAGACTGGATGGGCGCAATTTCCACAAGTGAGTATCCTGTTTAAGTTTCATGAATACCTCTGTGGAAAAATAAATAATGAAAAAGAGATTTTTTTTTAAACAACAACAAACCTGTTTGATGTGTTCAATGTGTTTGTGTATTTCTCTGTTAGGTTTGCAGAGCAGCACAAATTCACAAAGCCCAATGATAACAGAGCTTTGGGCCTGATGACAAGGAGTGCTCGCTCTGTCATGGAAGAACTGGAGGATATAGTCATTGCTTATGGTCAAAGTGATGAGTTCAGTTTTGTTTTCAAGAGGACCTCCACCTGGTTCAAGAGGAGAGCCAGGTATTCAACATGAAATCATTGTTATCCTCCTGATTTTCATGTGTTGTTGAATTTTGTCCAACCTCATCTTTTTCTCTACTGGCAGTAAGCTCATGACGCATGTGGCCTCCCAGTTTTCTTCCTCATATGTGTTTTACTGGAAGGAGTTTTTCGGAGAACAGCCTCTCTTGTACCCCCCAGGCTTTGATGGGCGTGTAGTCTTGTATCCTAGCAACCGTAACCTCAAAGACTACCTCAGCTGGAGGCAAGCTGATTGTGAGTACTTACTTTCCTCTCACTGACTAGAAAATCACTCATTTTACACACAAGAGAATTTGTTCTTTCAACTGACCAGAGCAGTAGATGTTGTACTTGGCTTTACGGCTGTTTTGTGTTTCAGGTCACATTAATAACTTGTACAACACAGTGTTTTGGACGTTAGTACAAAAGGGAGGACTCACTACAGCCCAGGCAGAAGATCGATTAAAGGTGAGACTGAAACACCAGCTAAAGTTAACACACATGTGCAAGTACTCAAACCTACAATCAAGTGTTTTTGAACAGTCCAGTAAATTATGAAACAGCTGAATCACTGATACAAGCCAACTAGACATTTAGAAAGAAGACAGATTTTTTTCTGTTTTACATGTCAAAAAATGATTGAGATAGAGAGAAAAACAGCCTTTATTATATTATATTATATTATATTATATTATATTATAGAGATGATAGCTGATAGAGATGAGTAGTGGAGGAGTGGAGGTGATTTAATATGTAGTTAGTGATCACAGACTTGCTTCTGTTTCAGCCATTTCTTGATATGTGTGTTAAAAACCTTCAGTTTAGTAAATGTATGAGTTTCAGATGGTAATGCACTCCAGAATTTTAAACTTCTCACCAAGATAAGATGACTGACACTGTCTGAATGTTGACCTTCTAAACAAAATCTCTCAATATGCCAGCATATCCAGAGTCATATCACAACAATTTCTAACCTAATGTATTGTATCTTAAAGCAGCATTGAGAAACAGTGATGATAGCAGCAGCCTGTGCTATCAAATTAGGTCAGTTTCACAACCAGTCAATAACTCCTCACACCATGTTTAATTGTTGAACTGTTGATTTAACTGGGCTAGAGGTGGATCTCCTCTAAAGATAGAAGACATTAGGGAAAATTTTGATTTAAAAAAACTAAATGTAATGTGAGACCTCAGGATGAGACAAGGGTTTAGTTATCTTTTTTGAGAAAAACAAGAAGTCTAGTCTATAAGGAGTCTAATAAAAACATCCTTACTGCAGCAATTGATGAAAAAAATAGAAGTTGTCATAATTTTACCCTCTATGTGCCAACTTTAGAGTGTAAAATGTATCTGACTTCTACAAAACTGCATGACTCAGTCTGTGATTATGATTCATTTCTTGTCCATGTCTAAAACTTAAAACGTTCTCAGGGCAGTGTTAACATCCTAACAGAAATAGCAACATAAATGACTCACAGAAAATCCAACTTCTTTGAATTACTTACAAACATTACCACGTAAAAGACATGGCCCAGACAACACATTCAAACAACAACCCAGTAATAGATTCAGTTGGTGTTTTGTGGTCGTTTAGGCTATTTTTTGAGCTTGTGTGGATGAAGTCAAGTCATCACATCATTCACACCCCCAGACATCTGTTAAACCGACCACAACGCTGACTGACTTTTTTTTGTTTATTATTATTATGGTTGCTCTCTGACTTTAAGGAGGACTCTTATCAGCTTAGGATTTGCATACGCTGCATGTAAAAATGTTGTGTCTTCCTCCAGGGAACATTAGCTGCAGACAAAAACGAGATCCTGTTTGCTGAGTTTGACATCAACTACAACAATGAATCCCCCCTTCACAGGAAAGGCACCACGCTTATCTGGGAGAAGGTAAGCGATCATGAGGGGTTTGACACTGCACACATACTACAGAGAAATTCAACAGGGCATCCCTTACTCTGATTGATATCTTTGATTTTCACTGTGTGTGTATAGGAGTTAAAAACTACCACTGCACTCGTTCTCTCTTGATTCTACTTAAGTTAATGACGTTTCATATTTACCCTACATGGAGTTAGCCTAAACTGCCATGTTAGAGTGGTATTTCCTAAAATATCACACTTCCTCTTAATTAAATTTGTATTGATAACGTCACTCTTTCATCATGTCTAGCGAGATGAGACCGTCATCAAGCGAATGAAGCTACCAAATGAAGAGGAGAAGGAGGTACCTGTGACACGCAGCAGGAGGAAGGTGCAGGCCTACCACTGTGACATTATAGGAGATCAGTTCTGGGAGGAACACACTGACATCCTGGAGGACGACAGCTGCTAACAGCTCCTGCTCCATGGGAGTCAAAAACAAAACTGAGTCATGACAGTGGTTGATGTGGACCCAAACAAGCAGTGGACCAACAATCCAACTGATGACACTGAATTTTTCTTTTAACAACATGCCACCAGTGAAGCTTGTTGTCCTTAAAGCATTTTCTTAGACTGAATTTGTAATCCGTCATGACTTTCATGTTTTTAACTTCGATCACAGTTTCCAAACAGAAGCTTTTATGCTAAAATTGCATGTTGGTGTCTGTCATATTCAAAGGGAAGTGGATGGTTTCATAATCTTTAAGCAGAGGGTGTTGTGCACGTATACAGCTGTTCAATAATGAACAATGTCCAACTCTGTAAACCCCCCACTCACCTACTCCACTGTATCTAGCCCTCCTGTCATCGCTGTTCCAAAAATACAACCTCATTTGAGATCATGAATGACATTTAGTCTACTACTGGTATTTGATCTTTCAGCAGGTCTAACATGGTCCCTTTCAGCCCGCTGTTTATGGATGAGAATTTTTTTTTACCCCTTTGTGAGTGTTAACAGCCCCGTTTTCCTAAGAGCTGAATTCTTAATGTTCGAAATGTAATGAGTCAGGACACCTCTCTGCACAGTGTTCAATATCGCATCCCGTTTGTAGTAAAAAAGGGTGTGTCTGAGGAAGAAATGAGCGGAGTAAGGCAGAAACCAATACCTTGGCAGTGTGTGTGGCCTTGTCTTGCAGCCAGGACACCATTTAGAGATATGAATGGATCCAGCGGCCTGCACTGTCATCAGTACTAAGAATACCTCACACACCCCGCGTACACTCTATCCTCCTGTCATGTGCTCTGTGGAATATTTATCATCACTCTTATACATGACCGGCTCAGTATGAATGGCTGCTGGAGGCTTGAAGTGGTTGAGGCTTACTGTATTTGTGTCTGTAGTAGGCTCGGTTACTGTCAGGTATTAAAGCCTTATTTTTGGTTCCGTGACCTCTTTACAAGTGTGTAGCTCGTGCACTGTACTTTATGTAAGCTGCGTTCACCTCATGTGTTTGCATTCAGGATCAGATTCTTTGCAGAAGTCTGTTTTGATGAGACCTCTGTATTACACTCCTCTTTACAACTTAATATGAGACAAACCCCTCTACGATTGAAGGCGGCTCCTTGACATTAACTCTCTTGGATCACTGCCAGACTCAACACATACAGTGACTCGACATATGGCCTCATATAAAAAAAAAACAGAGCCTGTCGAGGCAAGTGCAGCTATTTAAAGGCCGGATGTGTTTACATGCAAGGATTAAACGAAACCCCAGTGGGCTAGGGTTGGAGAATATAGAGAAATAGTCTACACAGCCATCACTGTTACCAGACTGGTAACAGTGATGAACTGGTGGCACAATAGCCGCATAGCAACCAGCTTTGTAAGCCGCAGCAATTTTAATCATTTGTTCAATACAATCAGTTACATTTTAAAGGAAAAAGACACTTTTTTTTCTTTTCACAAATGCAAAAACAAGTAAGATGTTTGATTTACTCAGTTACAAAGTGGTTGTGTTCCACAAGTATAGCGATAGGGATATCCTTACAATGCAAGAAATCTCCCTGCATAAGGTTAGTTTAGAAGTAGTGAAGAAAAGTAGCTCTTAGTTGGTCTAAGCCAGTTGTTACTGATCCAAACCCCCAGGAAATGAAATGATACAGAAAATAAAGGTATACATTCCTGTAAATGAAACATTAATTTAAGCGTTGTTATTATTAGCAAAAGAAAAGAGGATTTTCTGTTTCCCACAGTTTAATGAACAGATTGTTATGAAAACTACTCAGCAAGCTCACCATCATGCTGCCAGAGCGATATCATCAGAGTTGTCTTGACTTGGACTTTGAGAATAAAAAATATAAGAGATGTGAAGTTTGTGTGTTTGGAGGTACCATCCAGACGGTGAGGGTGCAGTAAATGTTATTTGCTGCCTGATAGGAAAAGTAGGATTGCAGCCCATTTTTAATAGATGCATCCATACAGTGAAAATGAAAATAGTTGGTGGAATGCCTCTAAAAGAAATAAATACAGCAAAGCTTCTGTAAGGAATTTTCAGTTTGTCATTCTTGCACCCCCTGTTGACAAAATCTGTCTTTTTCTAGTCCTCTACAAACTTCACTTGTGTATTCCATCAAAGAATCTCACTCTGGTTACTTGCGTCAATCATTATCTGTTAATAACTAATATGGAAAATTAAAACAGGGCTGTCTCTCTGGCTGTTCTGCTGACCCCTACCCCCTCGCACCAGTTTCATGCATTAAAAATTGCAGTATACAAGTTGTCACTTGTCAGTCTTGTAGGAAAGTCAGAAAGAAAGTATCAATGTGAATTTCATTCTTTCAGGATGTCAAAAATCACATTTAGCTTCAAATCATCTCTTTTATGTTGTGAAAGTTGGTCACTCCACATGGGATGGAATGTAATTAATTTAAACAAGTCGCCTCCAGGTCATTGAGCATTCTTTCCATTTCTCCATCCGCACAAAAATTAGTTCCCACTGTATTTGCGGTTTGACTTGTGTAACTGTGATTTCTCAGTCTTTTTTCTCCGTACATCTTTTCATCATACCCTAGCTCCTCTTGCCTCACCTCACTTTTCCGTCTCCCTGTGTGTGTGTGTGTATATATGTGTGTGTATGCGCGGGCGCGGATAAAGGGGAGGGGTTGAAAATGAAGGAGAGATGAGCGCCCTGTGGTCCGCAAGCATCTCATTCAGACGAGCAGCAACCGCGACGTCACCCCGCTGACGGTATGTCCATCTGAGGTGAAGTAACCTGGTCAGCTTCCTGCACATTTATGTCTCAGTTTGGAGGACTCGTTTGGAGCTGTTTGTCGTTAGAATGCGTCCAGGAGCGCGTCCTCCTCTCGACGCTGTGCGGTCCTCCCTCTGTGTCTGCCTGCTAGTTGTGCTGCTCTGTGTGGAGGCTACTGTATCTGAAGGCGCTGTTTACAATGGTGAGTGGGACTTTACTCATGTAAAAATAGAATTTATACATCCAAGGGAAAATTGTTTGATTTTGCATTGCATTTGAATGTATTTTTGTGTTAAAATCCAACATGATTTTCTTATCTGGCATGTAAAGTGTCAATTATTATTTTATACTGAGCTACAAATATTTCTGTAACACATTAAAACGAGTGCAACTTGTTACATATTCCATCTGTTTGACTCTTTTTTTCAATTAGGAGACAATAGGCAAGCTTCACAGTGGAGCATCCTCCAGCAAGTACAGAGTTATGAGATTACTTCTCCCACATGGCTGCATCCTCTCAGACACAGGAGGTCTGCCAACAAAGAGGTGAGCCAGACAAGCTGCCTTTGTGTCTCTCCTTGCTTATTCCCCATTAAACCATCACTTTTCAAGACAACATTTCACTCACAAATTGTGGTAAAGTCTTAGCACATGTAAGTCAGCTCCTGTGTGCTAATCTCTCTTTTTGCTGGTTTGTTCCAGCACCCTGCAGAGACTCAGGTACAGATCACAGCGGAGGGCCAGGAGCTCACGCTACACCTGGAGAAAAATGAGTAAGTAGCTGAAGAACACCACATCTCCTTTGCTCTCCATACCAAAGGATTAAGTAGTAATATGTTTGGCAGCTGTTAAGGCAGTTAAGAGCTCCTAGCAGGTAACAAAGAGTGACACAAGTCCCCTAAATCCTTCAAGTATATTCAACATGGTCTTCCTATATTTTCTGAGACATCCACAAGACGCCCCTGCTTGCTCCGTTTATTTGAGCAGATGTTTGCCGTCACACAGAAACATATAAGGTCAGTGCCCCTGTGTGTGCAGAGAGGGGGATGAAGAGAGGAAAGGAGTATGATGGTTTTGGACGACAGAGGGCTGACACCCGATCTGTATGCCTTGGGCAAACAGGAAGTCAGATTGTGCCTTTGCATCCTACGTCCTGTAATCTGATGGAACGGTTCCTGTGCAGGAACAATAGGACGGTGATAGGAAAAGAGCTGAGTATATCTGGTCAAGTTAATGGACAGTATGATCACCGGGTGGGATAGCAGGGAGGGTTGCGGTGACAGTGGAGCAGCAATTCATCTTTTTTTATTCGGATTTGAGCCAACATACGAGTGGAATGTGAAGCTTTTATGAAGATTAGAGTTGAAGGCCACTTTTATAGTTAAATGCAGGCACCCTCTGGCATTCGTTCACTCTCAGACACACACACACAGTAAGAACCATGACTCCACTGTGTCTGACTGACTGTCCCCTGAGGGATTTGCCCCCCTGCTCTGCCTCCCAGCAGGTGGTCACACTGTTAGATTTCCTCCTGGGTGAGGAATTTTCATCAATCACACACATTGTGTGTCCCTGTGTGGCTAAGTAAGGCACAGAGACAGGATAGAACAGAAAAGTTCTAGAACAGAAAGTTGTGATAAATATTAAAGGTTTAGTGGTTGCTCAGCATTAGATGTGTTGGGTGATAATATCTTAAAGTTGCACATTGTTGAAAATAGAGGAAATACTGTATTTTGAAACCACATCCGTGCAACTTCTCAACTGTTTCCAGAAAGTGAAGAGTTGTGAACATTTCTTAATGTGTGCAAATTTTTGCATCAGTCACAATACAGAACTCTAGAATAATGTTGAAATGTTTGAAACAATAAATCACCAAACGTCAGTATTATATATTAAAGTTTCTGTGAGGAGCTTTTGACATTTGTAAAATTAGCTGAAATTCCCATTGATGCTTTTTTGTGGTTTACAAATGCAAACAAAACCTTCAGCAACAAAACTGACTGTTTTCATATTGTTATTTTAATTCCTAAAACTGCTGTTAGGGGGTAGGTGTCAGCCGAGCAGCTGAAGAAACTTTTTTGTTTGCTTGTTTCTTCGTAAGTGATTAGTAATAAATGATAAAGTTGATTATTAAAAGTCAGCAAGATTGGATTTTTTTAGAGGACACAACATTGGTTTGTAGTAAAAGAGATACGCATACAATGTTACCGTTTGTGTTGCATACAGTGTAAATACTTGCATATTATCTCTTCATTTTTATACTTATTTTACTTATTTTATTTATTATTTATCTCCTCTTTTTACTGTATTTGCCCTGGAATACTTTGACAAAAGCAATTTCCCCCTGGGGATTTTTAAAGTATTTCTGATTCTGAAGATAGGTAAAGACTGTTTTGACCACAGGGAGTGCCAAAATTCAGATGAACCAAAAGTTCCTCATTGGAGCTTTAAACGAATTAAGTTACAACATTGTTCCATATTAAGGGAGCATGTCCTACGTCCCTTGTATTGATGTTTTAATGTACTGTGTCTGGAAGCTTTATTGATCCAGAGAAAACCACATGAATACTCCTTTTTTCATTTGGTTGTTAATTTCAATCAATCAAGCTTGAACACTCGTGCTTTTGCATGCCTAAGCTTGATAATAGATCATATGACAGTTATTACCCAATGAGAGGAGGGTTTTTCTTTTTCCAAAGAGGATTGCTCTGATACTTTTGGAGTTGTAGCTCTTTGAAACCATTTTTATGCATTTCATTATATATAATTAAGGAATAATGTATAATGAGCAGGTTGTTCTGAGACACCAAATCCTGACTTTCCTGACAGAGCTTTAATTTCGCAAAAAAGAAAATCCCCTCATAAAAAGTAGTTAACAAGAACTGATTCAAGATGATTTCATTCATGCAGCTTAAAAATAGAACTTCAGATTTTCAGCTGCCATGGCAACAGAGTCAGCGGACTTGCCCGTTGAACTTAACATTTCTGATTACAGCTAGGTCCAGACATTTTTTTTAGTTTACTGCTTCCAATCACATTTAACATAACGCCATACATTTATCCAGACAGTCTTATGATTAATTGTGTTTTGTTAGTTCAACAGCTTTATACTTTTTGAGAGATTAAGAGAGGATGGGTGTTTCTAAGTTGAAGGTAGGATCAGGTTATGTTTGGCTTCCTTTTAAGAGCTTAAAACCACAAGGTTTAGCCACACCTCCACCATCCCCCCGCAGTCATTTTCATACAGTCCCTTACAAAAATAGCTTCACAGCTTTCAAAGAAAGAGCCTGCCAGATCTGTAGACTCATTATTCAGTCCGAGGTTTACTACCTCACCCCACCATTAGCCAGTGTTTCCCCTCTCAGCATTCCCATCCTGGGTTTCTGTGTTTAGATTTGTCCTTTGTTGGCCTAATGTGGAGACATGTTACACTATAAGAGAGCGTGCTGAAGAAGACAGCAATTTATGCCGGTGAAGATCGATGTCTGATTTTGGAGAAAAGCCAGAGAAAAAAGCTGCCAGTGTCCGTCTCTGTGTCCTGGCTACTCCCTCCTGTCCTCAATGCCCCCGAAACGCTTCCTCTGACGGCCTGCAGATAAGGGAGAACATAAACTATCTGTGAGATGGTCTTGGTCTTGTCTTTCTGTTTATACTCCTGCAGTATTTAAATCAAATTTATCTTCGGTCTTTCTCCCCGAGAATACCAGTCCTCCTTAATCGCTTTTCTCAACACATCACTTAATCAAAGTATGGCGAAAGACATGGCTGTGAGTTTTTCATGGGCATCAGTTCTCCCAGCAACTGGATCATAGAGTCAATCCATTTAAGTCCTCCCCAGCCATGCTGGTCAATGTATACAAGTGTGAGGGTTGTATGTCTGCCTGAGCTTTTATCGTAATGAAAGGCTGCAGCGCTCCCTCACAGGGCTGATTTGGCTAAAAGCCAGACAGGGGCTGGTGTGCTGACTCAGACCGCAGGGAAAGGGATGTCAAAACAGCGAGAGAAAGAGGAAAAAGTGTAAGAAAGTGAATGATGGAGCGGAGGAGAAGGGTTGAGGTGAGGAAAGTCATGGAAAGAGGAAAGTGGAGACAGTTGGGGTCAGTTTGAGTGTGAGTTATGTGTTTATGAATGGTGGGGATATTCTTGTTTCCTCCTCTGCATGACATTAGCTGTTCATCTGTTTAATGCCCTTCCTGCACACACATAAGTGCATGAACCTGGATGAAGCACCCCCCTGGGAAAACTTCTCATCATTATTCCTCCTCTCCTTTCCTTTCCTTCTCCTCTCCTCATATCTCTTCCTCTGTGCACTCTAAAAAGAGCCACCCATCCTTCCCCCTTTCCTTCTTTCTTTCCTCTTCTCACCTCGTCTGATGCTCCCCAGGGCTTGAAGGACAAACATACATCTCCCACTCGCTCGCCTCAGTCAGGGCTTTGGGAGACTGTGGCCACCCGCAGACGGACGACACACACTTTTGCACACACACACACAGCAGCTGAAAAGAACACAAACACTGAGGTTTGAGAGCACAGACCTGATGGATCACAGAGCAGAGCAGATTAGTTTTACCTTGTTGCCTTTGTTTCTATGTTTAGTCTCAGTGTTGGGGTCTTGTCTGCTTATGTGTCTTAGTCTCGGCCTCCTGTGTTTGTCTGTGTGTTGAGGGAATACACACTCACACAGCAGACTGACCTCCCAGTGCAATAAAAGCCTCTTCATCATTTGTTTGCTGAGTGCTACTTTGACTTTGCGTCAGTCTCCAACCGTTTTTCGGTGATGTCATCTGATACTATGAGAGAATGTGACCCACTGACCCTAATACATTGCCCGCGTCCCCTTGTCCTCCCTCCTCCCTTCGCAATCTCACAAGTACATTAGTATTACCCCCCACCACACGCACACACACACCCCTCTCTCCATCTTGAAGCTGAACCAAGCCTTTGTCTCAGCCTCACTCACTGTCAGACAGTCCTGATTCAGCTCGTACCGCACTCCTCAATCAGAGCGTCTGTCCGCACGCTGGACCCCGTCCAAACTCTGCGTAGCTCTCCGGTCATCTCGCACAGGGCCCTGCAAACTTAAAAGCTCTTGCAGCGTTTACTGGAATACAATTAGCCTCATTGGTCGGGGATATTCCAAAAGTGGTGGCACTTTAGTCTGGTGGGTTTAAAGGATTAGTTTCACGTTTAACAAACTATGACAAAACCATAGATTGTTGTTAGTGCAACACTGATTTAGTAAAGATATGCAAACAGCTTTAATTTTAAGCTTCAGGCTTGCTTTTGTACTACAGTCTCAAGATAATAGATGGTTGTTGTAGTTGTAAACCGTTATAAGAATTTACCAAGATGTCAGTTCGATTCTTTAATGTTTTTGATAAGATCAGTGTAAATGTGAATGCAAACCATTTACATGATTTTCAACATAATCTGAGGGTCATATACAGTTTTGTCAAGAGGGATTCTGTTCCTGAAAGAATCAAGGATTGGGTTTCTCTCCACTTGTAACCAAGTAAAAGGATCAACTTTTGTCAAACAATGACAAGAGTTAAGGCTGTTCTTTTTTTGTGACTTAGCTTACAAAGGGTGACCAGATGGGTTGGTCTAACGTTACCCATTTCAACCCCAGTGTCATAAATCACTGTTGGGATGAATGGATTTAAGTACTCAAAATGCAGTGAACATTAAATCCTGTTCACAGTCATTTTGCTCTTTCCCATGCAGAGTTCTTGTTGTCCAAAACCATCCAAAACAAAACCTCAACAAGAAAAATGTTTTTTTTTCTAACCCTGCTTGAGAATCAGCAATGTGTACAATACATCATGTAAAAAGAAAATTATATATTCCTCTTGTGAACTTAACTTTTCTTCGCCAGACTTTGATGGTGGGGTTGTACTTATATAAAGTTTGTCGAGTGTTGAGCATTGACTGCTTATTTTCTGACAAGGCCAACCCGGATAAAGTATAAGTATTAAGTATTAAGTATAAAGAAAAAATCAGATTTGAGAAACAACCAATCTAATTGCAGATATTCTTATGTTAAAATGCAAATCATGAAGCAGCATCAGGTTTGAGCGACAAATTTTCAAATCAGTTAAAAACTCCTCATAGTGCATTTAACTTTATGTTGAGGTACCCACATTCACCCACTCCAATATGAATAAAGATGCTCCTCCATTCTCAGGCACACATTATTATTATATTTTTCCTTTTTCGTGCGATTTCCTTGCACACCAAATTTGGAACCCCATCATGTATTTTAAAACTCCTTGTATCATTTGCCCTGTGTGCTTCTCGTTGGCCTCACCGTGCAGAGTGATGGACTCCTGTTGTTCCTCCTGCTTCAACCCAGACATAAATAAGACCTGCATGCATTTACTAACTCGTGAAACCATGCTGAACTGAATTCTCACTTGAAAACACTGATGAGGCAACAACAACAGTCAGTTATTTTGGGTGTGTCATGCGGTTTCACAATGCCAGATGATAGATGCAGACAGATTGTTTCAGTTCTCGGTGGTTAAGCCAACAACTAGATGTTACGAGACAAGCGGTAAAATTATGTAAAGAAAAAGACTTTCTCTCCTGAACCTGTATTTCTTTATCAAACTTTGCTGGTTCTACACGTATAAATTTTTAAGTTGTTTTCATCGTTTTATGGGACAAAAGAAATATTTTTAATTTTCAATTAAGCAAACTTTTGCTAAATATGACAAATACATTCCGGGATTCTGGCTTTTTCATTTAGTGTTTGGAGAAACTACACCAAAGATCAAAATTAGATCTTCATACTGGAAAACTTTGCCTAAGGCCTGTTGTGTCTTAGTGTGTGATTGTTGCCAGTTCACTCGTGTCCACAGCTGCTGACTTGCATGTGAGAATAAAGGACAACTGAGGAAAATTGAGTCACGTGACTCTCCGTGGAAGAATTGATCTCTGGGAAAAACCAGCAGAGTAAAGCTCTGTCAATCATTATCACCCAATCTGATGTTAACGCTGCCTGTGAGAGCCACATAGAGGGTCCAAGAGGCAACAGCAGAGCATGATGGGAATATTTGGGGAGATAAGAGAGCAGGAAAACGAGTGAAGGGTCAGTTAAAAATGAGGTTAGAGGGTCATTCACAGATCATTAGGAGTCCAGGGTGACATCAGCTACATACAACAAGTGTGTGCATGTGTGTGTGTGTGTGTGTGTGTGTGTGTGTGTGTGTGTGTCGGTCTCTTCCCCCACATCGGTTAGCTATAAAAAGATGACACAGTTGTTTTCTGTCTTCCTCTTGTTTAGCGGCTGATTGCATCAACAGGCTGTCATTGTTTCAAGAGGCTTTTCCCCTTCAGGGCATCTGACGGGAGAGAAAAGAAAAATCCCCATCCTCTCTTCATTTGTCTCTATCATACTTGAAAAGGCATACTGTGACATTTAGGGAATGCCCTCAGTCAGTTTCCTGCCAAAAGCTGATGAGTGGAATGATACCCTTTTTATGTCTGCGCTTATAGTACAAAGCTGCAAATATGATTAAACTGGAATCAGGGTTAGGTTTTAGATTTGTGTTGGACTGCAGTCAAGGTTGGTCTTTCCACTTGGGTCAGTACACAAATGCGGGTTTACTTACAGCTTTATTTCACTGTAGCCTGTTTGATGGATCTGACTTAGACGTAGTAGGAGGAGACACAAGAGACCCAGAGAGTCAGAGCAAAAGAAAACCAGCTGTGTGGCTGACCGAGTTTATGAATGAAAACAGGAAGAATGGATTGAGACAGAGTCAGAGGGAGAAGGACAGGAAAACAAGCGTCTGCAGGAGATGTAAAAATTGAGCCTGCAGGCTGAAGGGGGGTTGACATTAAACAGCCTAATGGCTGTGGACAGACACACACAGACAGACACATATTTGAAGAGAGGAGTGTTGGAGAAGTGAAGTACTTGTTAAATACAGTTAAATGAATACCTGTCTTGGTATCTGTATGTTTTTATTTCTCTGATTTATTTTCCTCTCTTGTGCCTTGTGTTTGTAAATCAACGGAGAAATTCGACTGAAGGAGAAAAGTTGGAGGGCATTAGGAAGTAAAAGCTCCGTAACATTAATTTGTTCAGGAAATAGTTACAAACTTTAAGTGCCAGCGTTGAAAATGAAGCATCAGCAGCTTTTGCTGTTTCCACAAAGTCAGGAGATCATTTGGGAAAGGTAGATGCTTTTACTGACCTGCCAACTCTTTCCCATTTTGTTTGTTTTTCCTGTTATCTCTGGGAGCATCTTTGTCTAAATCTTTAAAGTGGTCTGGATTTGTAGCGTCTCCGTCAGGCTGAATGTTTTATGAGCTTTGAGCTGCTGGGAAGGATCCATCTTCTTCTGTCTCTCCTGTTTCCTGCAACTTCTACCCTGTATATTTTTCACCCTTATCCCTACATACTGTTGCTGTTTCAGAAGGCTACATGTCCAACACTTTAAGGTGGACTGTACTGTATTGAAAATGGCCTTTAAGCATTGTCTGTCTTTCCCTCCTTTAGGCAGCTGTTGGCCCCTGGATATCAAGAGATATGGTACAGTCCAGATGGGACCCGCAAGTCCTCTTCTCCTGTCAACACTGTGAGTCTATGAGGCAATTTAACGTCTTTATAATGCTGCTAACAATATCTAATGACAGCAGGAAAATAGTCTCAAATTATAATATAGATGTCATATAACATCCATGCTAACATCACCAGGTTTGCAGTATCTTATCCTGTTTCCTTCTTTTGTGTTCATCTTTACTTGTGTCTGTCTTCCAGGGACACTGTTTCTACCATGGAGAGGTTTTAGGCCTGGAAGGCTCAAGTGTTGCTGTTAGCACATGCTCAGGACTCAGGTATGTAAAACTCCAGCATGGGCTGTTTTAACAAAGTTTTCAAATATTTAGAGTTGGTCCCACATTTCTTTGAGTTTTCTAGAAAGTCTCCCATAAGGCTGAATCACTCTCAGAGTAAAAGCTTTTCATGATGACAGCTTTTGTACTTCAGAGTGGAGAAGAGGACTTCTCTGTCGCTGCAAAGTTTCTTCAACTTAAGATAGATAGCTGAGCCAAAAAAAACTTTCTCCAACTCTCAAACACAGAGAGTGAGAGCTGCAGACTTGAGCCTGTAGGGATGCTGTTTGTGATTAATCCTTTTAGAGACGTGTTTTCACCACTCACATTGGAATGTTAAAAAATATTAACCCTATTAAGGCTCATTTAACAGCCTGTTTTTGGCCTGTTTTTCTGTCTGATGTGCAGAATTTTTGGCAAGCAGAAGAGGATCAATAAAGTTACTTCTGCTGTGATTTCTGAGTTGTGGGCAAAAAAAAAAAACTTTATTGGTCTACAAAAATGAAATGCACTGTTGTTCAACATTTCCCATTTTGGTAAGCGTACCAAACTATATGTGGGTGTTGGTCACGGCTCAGAACATAAGCGCTCTCGCCGTATTTTAATTTCATGCATGTAGAAAACCTTGCGGAACATATACCTTCCCAAGAAATCTCCTCTCCCCTGGGGGAGCTGAGCTGCTAATCCCTTTTCCTGATAGAATAAGCCAGGTTCTTCCTTTGGTCCAACATCAAAAAGGCCAGTTACTCCAATGGCCTATAAATATCTTCCAGTTAAACCAGTTACCATATTTAGATCCATAAAAAAATGGTTCACATGAGACTCTCAGGACTTCAAAGTTGTAAGATTTGATCTGTCGAAATCCCACTGAAATGTTAAACTGCTAAGTGAGGCTTTTCAGATGTACATGTCGCACAAATTTTCACTCTAATTTTAAAGCTACTGTATTTTCCGCCCTATAAGTCACTCTGGAGTATAAGTCGCACCAGCCAAAAAATGCATAATGAAGAAGAAAAAACATATACAGGTATAAGTCGCATTTTTGAGGGGAAATTTATTTTACGAAATCCAAGACCAAGAACAGACATTTCATCTAGAAAGGCAAGTAATAATGATAACAATAGAATAGAGAACAACAGGCTGCATAGGTGTGCAGTATGCTAACATAACACGTTGGTGGTTATTCAGCTCCATGAACCATAAACAACAAACTCAATAGGTGTCTGGTATGTTAACCTAACATATGAACAGTTATTCAGATAACTATAGTATAAAAAACATAACAAAACAAGTTTGACAAACTCTCGATCTCATTCCAAATCACAAAATCCATCGAGTTTTTCATCCCCTGTGTCACTTCTGAAAAACTCTGCCACTAAATGTGAAATTATATTTTTTAATATATATAAGTCGCACCTCAGTGTAAGTCTCAAACCCCGCCAAACTGTGAAAAAAAGAGCGACTTATTGTCTGGAAAATACGGTAAGTTGAGAGCTGTCTGTGGGCTTACCCAGAATAAGTTTGGGCATTTTACAGTTATAAATAAATAGTCACTAAAGCCTCTACAACTGTTCTGGCTTTGACAAAACAATAGCTGAGGAGCTGAAGTGACAGGAAACATTTTGCATTGTAGTGTCTTGTGCAGCACAGCAGGTTTGTAGGTCACTGGCTCCAGAGCTGGTTCATTGAGTGCAGCTCAGTATGGAGATCCTGTGTTTTCTCCTGCTGTGGATCCCGAGCAGCTCATCCCTCCTGCTTGGGAGAGAGACACTCTGAGAGGAGGGACCGGCAGCTGAGGCGAAGCTGGCAAGCACTGATAGAAATCGTAGCCATATGTGTGCTGTTCTGGGTTCACTGCTCTGCATCTGGATGAAGAGTGAATGAATACCTCCTCTACTTAATGTACGCTCTCTGGAGAAAAGCAAACACAGCGCACATGGAGGGACTCTGACATGTGGGCGTCTGACCTCCAGATGTTTTCTGCAGCTGCTTGACCTGCTGCTGTATGCATGCTCATGGAGATGTCTACACTCTTTAAGTGGTTTTGAGAAGAAGGAACACGATAATACATAGCTGTGTCTATCCCAGGAGACCTAAACATAAGTAAATCACCTAAGACATTCCCCTCTGATCCACTCAGCATTAAAAACAGCAGTGCTAAGCAGGAAAAGGAAATCTAAATCTGATGTGGAACCATATGATTTACTCACATTTCAATTCTCAGAGTAGTAAGGTAATTTTATTTTCAGTTATTTCAATGAAAGCATTGATTTTCACTGCATACAGACAGACAGCTGCAACATCTGTTATTCCCTTGTGATTTCCTAAAGCTAAAATTTGGATGGAACCATCAGCGGTGTCTTCTTTCCCCAGGGGACTGATTTCTCTGAACACAAGCGTCAGCTACCTGATAGAGCCTCTTCCTGCCTCCGCGGATGCTGAGCATCAGCAACAGCATGCTGTGTTCAGAGCCGAGAGTCTCCGTCTACCCCGAGGAAGGTGCCTGCATCACCATAGCAACGAGGAGCACAAGGAGGAGCTCAGTGACTTCATCCATGGAATGATGTCACCGCAGAGCAGGAGGGTGAGTTCAGAGATGAGGAGCAACTACAGTTTTATCACAAAGCACAACACTGTCAAAATATGTTTAGATTTTGTGCTGCTATTTTTTTTTTTTTTTTTTTTTAGGAAAAAAGGGACCTGAGCAAGAATATGAAGTATGTGGAGCTGCTGATGGTGGCAGACAACGCTGAGGTGAGGACACAGCTCTGGATTTGGTTTAATTTGGTTACTCTTTAACCACAGAGGGACTTTTTGTCTCATATCTCAAGGTACAGGAGTACAGGACATGGCTTTGCATGTCAAATCAACTGTGTAGGAGTCAATGAAGTGTTATATGAAGTGTCTGTAACAAAGTCTGATCAAGACTTGTGCAAGTCAATTTGGGGTTCAAATTACACAAAGGGGTAAATGTGCACATAGAGGGTTGTCAAGCTCAATTCCGCTCAACTCGACATTATTAATAAGCATCTCACATACAAACATGTTACCCAAAGTGCTTATGATGAAAACAGACTAAGTGGAAAAAAGATCTGAAATTTTTTTAAACTAGACACATTTTGGAAAATGCATGGAAAGCATATGAGTGTGAGCAACTCATCACACAGAGGCTACTTTCCCTTCATGCAGTGTTGCAACCAAGATTTTAAAAAAATTATAATAATAATAATTTTAAAAAACTTGCTGAGGGACAAAGTGGACTCGTAACTGTGACCCAATCTGCAAAATCAAATTAAAGTCCACGTCTCATGATACAAGGCTAATAATAGCTGTGACAATGAAAGTCAAACCTGCTCACCCTCTTTGTCTATGAGTTTGTGGTAAACCACTCACTTGCAAAAATGACCAGCAATGATATAAAAACTATAAAAGGAACAAAATGTGACAAATAAACAAGATAAAACTCTCATCATAACTTAAACACATATCATATGTGTCTTAATGTTTTGCATAGTGACAAAGCTTACTTCATCCTATGGTCCAGCGTTTTGTATAATATCACATCTCATTATATTTTATGTTTCCCATTGTGCCTTTTCTAACCTTATCCTATCATATTTTGTTTCTGTTTATCCATCAATCCGTCCATCCGTCTGTCTGTCCATCTTTTATTATCCATAATAAACCAAATGTATACATCCCCCTCAGCAAAATTGTACTTGCTCCTTTATTTTGAGCAAACATAGATATAAATGCAGCAATGATTGACATCCTGTTTGTTATTTGAAGTGTGAAGCCTCCTTGAAAATCAGGAACTTAAAACCACAAGTTTGGGTGTGGAGGTCTGTCTATTTATGGGTAAAATGTGGTCAATATTGTTTGCAGTTTGAGAAGCATGAGAGCAACCTCGAGAAGACCAAAGTCAAACTACTGGAAGCTGCCAACTTGGTTGACAAGGTAACACCTGATGTCAAGAATGAAAAACCACAAACTGATGCTTCAGTTTTGACACTCTGCTACATTATGACTGTGTTTCCTGTTGGCAGTATTACAAGGCTCTGAACATCCGTGTCGCATTGATTGGTCTGGAGATTTGGACCAGCCAGGACTTGATCAACGTCTCAGACAACCCTCACAGCACTCTGGCAGCTTTCTTGTCCTGGAGACGCAAACAGCTCGGCACGCTCCCTAATGACAACGCTCAGCTCATCACGTCAGTCACCACTCTTCCCATTTGTCATTCTTCACCCCTTATCTCCTGCCCCACGGGGTAGATCTCTCAAATTGATTTGATCTCCATTGTATGAGACACTTAAACACTACCAGTTGTATCCCAGTGGGTCATTGTCCAGCCTGAACTAATCACCAGTGGCATTGTGTGTCTCTAGGGGGAAGGGGTTCCAAGGCACCACCATTGGGCTGGCACCTCTCAAAGCCATGTGCTCCGACTACCAGTCTGGTGGAGTGAACACGGTGAGAGACAAGAGTCTAAACAAAGCTGAATTCTTTGCATGTAATGCCCTGGTGTTGCAAACTTATGTCTATGGTCAGATATAAATAGGAGACACATGAAACTGGGTTTGTCGACAACTGTAGGGGTTATTGTTGTGATTTCAGGCTCCACCTGCTCACACCTGCAAGTACAGAGATATGAAAGACTCTGAAAAGTTATTGACCTCTATGTGAATATCTGGAATAAATGGATTTTGCATTGTAACAAAAGTGTCCACACCAGTGGTAACATGTCAAAACAAATAGCAGGATTAACTCTTTACAAATTCCAACTAGAAGTCTGACTTAACAGGACTTAAAAGTTGAAGTTTTAACTGTCTTATTTATGTGTAAAAGAACATCAGATCTGTTATTTGACCTTATATAGCATTGGACAGTTATTTTTCCTCTTTTAGGATTGTATATATTAAGCTGTGATTATGTCTAAAGACACACCAGTAACATTGTCCTGTTCCTGTTCTATCTTACCTAAAAATAGCATCTGCTACTTAACAATCATTGACTTTTCCTTTAAAAAGGATCACTCAGAGTCAGCTGTGGGGGTAGCTGCCACCATGGCTCATGAAATGGGCCACAACTTTGGTATGAGCCACGACAGCGCGGGCTGCTGCCAGGCGAAGGCTGATGACGGAGGATGTATCATGGCAGCTGCTACAGGGTATGATTCAAGAGAAACTCATTTCCTGCTGAATTTAAGTTAAAGAGAGATTTTAAAAAAGATTTTTTCCTTAATGCTCGTGTCTCTCTGTAGGCATCCATTTCCACGTGTATTTAATAGCTGTAACATGAGGGAGCTGAAGAGCTACCTGAACTCTGGGGGAGGGAAGTGTCTCTTCAATCTGCCAAACACCAGAGTCATGTACGGAGGGCAGCGCTGTGGCAACGGTTACCTAGAGGATGGGGAAGAATGTGACTGTGGGGAGGAGGAGGTCTGTGTGTGGCAGATCTTAGATGCTGGGGTGTATTTTTTCCGTGGGTGTTTATGCCAAGCCTCATGATTCTTCTTCTCTCTTTGTGTAGGAGTGCAACAGTCCCTGCTGTAATGCCAATAACTGCACTCTGAAAGCAGGAGCTGAGTGTGCACATGGAGTTTGCTGTCAAAACTGCAAGGTAATACATCAATAAAATCTGACAGTCGTCGAAACAAAAAAGGGAAATATCCTGTAAAGGGTGTTGAATTGCATCTCTCTCCCATCCTAATCTCCCATTCACCTCTCTCTTGTCTTTGTGTCCAGTTGAAGAGCCCAGGTGTGCTGTGTCGAGCTCCCTCTGGGCCTTGTGATCTGGCGGAGTACTGTGATGGGAAGACAGAGACCTGTCCTGCTAATTTCTATTTAGCGGATGGTACAATGTGCGCAGAAGGACAGGCTTATTGTTACACCGGCATGTGTCTGACCCTGGAGCTGCAGTGCCGCTCTCTCTGGGGAAAAGGTAGGTAGAGTTTATAATAATGGATTGATTTTTCTCTGATTTTGATCATTATTAGTAAATAGTTTTATGAGTTGAGATCCATAATAATGTAATCATCAAATATATTTTTTCAAATAAAGTCTAAAGCATAATTTCAAATGGATAATATCTTTATATTATTTCAACAGTAAAAGCCATTGTGTCTCCTTCAGGCCCTGAAGTCCTGTTGGTCTCTCGAGCATTTCCTGTTTTAGTTTTGAGATAGTCATTTAAAGTCTAGTCCCACTGTTAAGTATCAATTCTTTAATCCCCTTGAATTTACAACAATTAGAGTCTTTCTTTACATATCTCTAAAGCAGATTAACTAACCAATAAGAAATTAGATGAAGTCAAAGATGAGCAGGATTAAGGACTGTTATTGGACAGGGTCCATATTCTTGTTGTGACAGTGTCCCTGTGGAGCCTTTGTAGTACCACAGGAGCCACACAGAACAGTGAGGGGGCCATCTGCTCTCCATCAGGTGGCCACATAACACACTCAGCGTGCATTTACTGTTTGTATTGTGTGTGTGTGTGTGTGTGTGTGTGTGTGTGTGTGTGTGTGTGTGTGTGTGTGTGTGTGTGTGTGTGTGCGTGTGCGTGTGCTGCTATATTAATGTGTAGCTATATTAATGTGCAACCATGCACTCTTCCTCCACCACAGATGGCCGAGCGGCTCCTGACCTGTGTTTTAAGAAGGTGAATGAAGCGGGGGACATGTATGGGAACTGTGGAAAGGATCTGTTTGGGAAATACAGGAGCTGTAAGGAAAGGTGAGGTCAAGTTTATTTGGTTCTTTTACTTCATTATTTCACAGAGGTTAACTTACATGCCCAGAGACACAACATTACATTTTAAGAGGTCTTTTCTGGTCATTACTCCTTTTAGGGATGCTGTATGTGGAAAGATCCAGTGTTTAACTTCTGCCACCAAGCCTGTTGGGAACAATGCTGTTCGCATAGAAACAACTGTCAAAGTGGGCAGTTGGAAGCTCCACTGTATGGGGACGCATGTGTACAAGCCTGGGCAGGGGGATGAGGAGACACAGGGTGACACTCTGGACCCTGGTCTGGTCATGACAGGCACTAAGTGCGGCGTGGACTCTGTAAGTCTTTACATGTGCAGAGAAGTGTTATCTTTTTCCAGTCTTTTGAAGAAGTAAAGGTGTTTGAGGCACTATTTGATTCTCTTCCCCTTTCTCTGTCACATCCCTCCTTCTCTCTTCAGATCTGCTTTAATGGAGAATGCCGCAATGCATCTTTTCTCAGGGCTGATGAGTGCAATGCCAAATGCCACGGGCGGGGGGTAAGTTTCTTTGTGTTAGAAAAGACGCTGGAGAGATGGATTTCCTTGGAGTTTTGGCTGTTGGCCTGCTGTAATGGAAAGCTTGCAAACTTGGCAGTAGTGCAAGAAGTGTTTGAATCTTTTACTTAATTAGAATTAGCAGCACAGCAACTTCAAGAGACTCAAGGAAAAGCAAATGCCCTGCATTTAAATTCTTGCCCAAACAAAAGTACAGAAGTATTTTAAGCAAAATATACAATAAAAGTGTCTAGATGAACCCACTTACTGTAAATTCCCATCTCTTAAGTAAGTGTTGGCTGACAAATGAGTTTGGCTCTGTATTTCACTCTTAAGTAATGCAGAGTTGGTGTTAAAGGTTGCAAAGAATTGTGTAAAACATATTGAAGTAAATTAAAACTACCTAAACTGTTACCTGTGATGGGACTGAGTAGATGTGTGCTATGAAATGACAGGTTTAAAGAATAGTTGTCAAGATTCTCTTTGTGCCAAAAACATATCTCACACTCATATGTAAACATAGTTAATTTAAACATTCACTTTTTATTTTACAGCTGTGCAACAATAACCATAACTGCCACTGTGACTCTGGCTGGGCGCCTCCTTTCTGTGACCAGAGGGGGTCAGGGGGTAGCATGGACAGTGGACCTGTACCCAGCCACAGTGAGGCCGTGTTTTTTGTTGTTTTTATCACTGATGGTAAACAGTGTATCTTTAAAATGAAGCCCTTTTCTAAATGTTTTCTCGTTCATTTCCAAACAGTGAATCTCCTTCCAGTCCTGGTGGTCCTCCCTCTGGTTCTCTTTGTGATTTTGGATGCTGTTGGACTTTGGTGCTACTACAAACACAAACACAAGCCAATAAAAGCCTCTGCTCCACCCCCAGTGCCAAGGTATGAAATTATGCTAATGTACTAATGCTTCACATTAAGTAGCAGCAGTTCAATGTATTTATCAGCGTCTGAATGATGGCTCTGTATGTTTGTTGTTTTTGTTGAACCCTGTAGTTGTTCTGTCCCTGTCGAGAGCAAGTCTCTTTGTGCTGATGATCATAAGAACGGTCACGCCAATCCAACCTTCTTACTGAAGAAACAAGACTCAGACCGTCTGGTAAACAAGCTGAAAAAATAACCCACACTGTTTTGTTTTTCACTTTTGTAGCTAATTTTAAAGTGACTTACTGAACTTTTTTTCTTGAAGGTGAAGTCATCCCCTCGTCAGAGCCCGTCTTGCCCAACTCGGTCCAGAACTTCTATAGTGCGCCCAGCAGTGAAACCTCCATCTGTCCCTGCATATGCTTCAGAGCAGAAAGAGGTCCAGTCTTTAGATCCTCCTCAAAGACAGCACTCTCCTCAGGGTTACACTTCACCTTCATTTAAATCTGTGCAGCTAAAAGAGCCAAAACGCCAGCAGGCTCCTACTCCTCCTCCGCCCTCAGGACCTCCATGTTTACCTCCCCAGGACACCAAATCCCAATCGCAGCTTTCGAAAGTCAACAAGACCAGGCCAGACCCTCCAAACAGACCTCCACCTCCTTGTCCTGTAAACAAGCCAATAGTGAGTATTTTCTCTGTGTACTTAAAAATTCAACTTATATATTTGTGACGTGAATGTGATATATGTAACTTTGTCGTTTTGATTTAGGAACAGCATCAAACAAAAGGCCTGCAGGTTACAGTCACTGCTTTGCAAAGAGGGAAAGCTGCTTTGGCACCATCTGCTGGACAGACAAAGCCAAACAGGTAATTTAGCTGGTGTTGCTTTCTCATGCAAACCTGTACAAACACTTTGTTAACTTCTACTTCTGTTTCTCTCTCAGAATATAAGAACTCAGGGAGATGCTGGGGACCTTCACTGTCATCGATTAAGACACTGCCTCAGACTGTCGTCTTGAATATTGGGAGCTGAAATATGTGGCATTGTGGGAGTTGATGAATACTTGACTTTATGGGTTACAAAGTATTTACGTTGACATCTAAGGAGCGAGAAGAGTAGCATTTGAGCAAGTTATGGTACATATCATTAGGTAAATGTTTAAGTCTTAAACTTCAGTTAAAGGCTTAGTTAGTGTTGTTTTAATCTCAACTGTGTTCTTTAACAGCTTGAAAAAGCCAGAGCTGTGAATTTATGAATTTTTACCTTTGCTTTTAATGTCCCCAAAGTTAATGTAAATGTGAAATAGCTCAAAGTTTGCATCAGTGTTTGATCACTGTTAGGGAATATTTATTCACAGAGAAAATGAATGTTTACAATGTAGCCTATGTACTAAACATGGTGCCTCTTGAAGAGCATCAGCTATAAAGGGATGTCTTATATTAAGAAAAGATGCCAGTGCTGAAGTGCTAATGCTTCTTATGCGTGAAAAGAAGGGGGTGAAAACTGGACGATGGGGACCAGTGGAATCCCTTCATGCATGTTACAATGTCTGCTTTTAATGAGAGGCGGATGTCCACCTCTCGGTTTTAACTTTTTATTTTCTAATTGTCTTATTTTAACGACTTTATATTGTTCTAGTGTTGCACTTTAAAGCAATCATTTTAATCACCTGATCCTCTCCACCTTGAGGTATTTTCCACAAGTACTAACCGATTACAGTCACTACTGTTGAGTACGATTGATAACATGGAGAACTGAAATGAAACTATTCAAACCAACAGTAGCATTTTTCTTTGTTGTCAGTAACAATTCGTGATGTTATTGTCTGCACCTAAGGAACAATTCAGATCACTTATAATCATGAGAAAATAAGCCATAATTAACAATCATTTAACCAGTTTAATATCTTTGAGACATGAGACTCCAGACAATTGAATCTTCTTTTGGGGATCAATAAAGATCGTCTTATTTTATCTATATTGCACCATAGATTTTTTTTTTAAGATGTCACAAAAACTGCTCCTTCATGACCAAAAAGAGATAGAGGCAATGATTGTAACTGTTGGCAGAGTAGCACTGATAACTTTCTGTATTTCTGTATGGTACAGTAAAAAAAAAAAAATGTATTTGACTACTCGGGGATGAGCTGGTTTTTATCTGCAACATGGAAATAAATGTGTGTCGGCTGCCATGTACCTTCTAATCAGAACTATGCAAATCTCTGTTCAATACTGTGTCCTAAACTGGAATTCAAGTGAACACATGAAAAAATAAAAGCATATTATGCATTTTAACTTGTTGCGTTTTGCATTAATGTTATACACCCAATTTGATGCAAGCAGTAGTGACTATATAGAGAGACGGGTATGTCTAGGGGAGTACATTTTGAATGAAGTCAGGTTAAGTATTGAGTGGGCCTACAGTATAAAATATGTTTGATTCAATTCAGATACATTTTTTTATTAAACTGTATTTGTATTGAATTTTTTTTTTTTTTTTAATGGTCTGAGTTTAAAAAGAGTCGTCTACCGTTTACTGTAATTCACATTTTAGCCACTTGGGGGCAGCGCAACTACCGGAAGACACTACTACAGGTGGGGAAGTTAATATGGCAGACTTGTTTAAAGAAGTTTGTGCATTTGAACAGAGCTGAATTAGCCCACCACAAACATTCAGCTGAAGTCCTACTTTTTACCGACAGAGGGTAAGTTGAATTTTTAATTTCCCTTTATAGAATTTTAATTTCTGACTAATTGTTCTCAGTCCTTTCATGCCAGTTATCTGATGTGAGAAACAACACTGAGCCAGTAGAGCTGTTTTGGGCCTACTGCCACAAAATAATCAACTCAACAGGGTCCAAACGGTTCTGTATAGCTGAGATGAGAGGCAGAAACGGTGTAACAGACCTTTTTTCAAAGCAATGTATGTAGTAGTGTCACAAAAAACAGACAAAAAACACAGGTATATGTCACAAAAATGACAATCTTTCAAGAAAATACAGTTTGCGAAAAGAATTTTACTCTGTGTAATGTAAGAGCTTTCAATTTAATTGTTCTTTCTAACATGCAGATTTGTGTTCAAGACAGAACAATTGTCATTATTCTTTTGTCTTATTATACTTTACCCATGGATACAAGCATTATATTGTCTGTTGTTTGGAGGATTGTGGGTCAGGACAGCCATCATAAAAAGCTTGTTTACCTGGATACTTCCAAATGTAACTTTTGCCTGCATGGCTATATTAATTTCTAAAGTACAATCCTTTCCTGTATGCTGTATAGTGTATTAAGAGTATTTGGAGGCAGTTTTATTAATTTATTATCAATTTATTTTCTTACAGGGTTGTAATTTGTGCAGGCCCTTGGTGTGATCTCTGAACTATGCTTTTCAGTTATAAATCGATAGAGTAACTGTAGGCTGAAATGACACCCCCTCTTGGGGCTCTGAGGCTGCAAAGTGCCTGCCCTTTAGATCCCCCCATCCTTAACTGAGATGAAAGCTATCAGATTTATACTAATCAAAAGACCGCTAAATACCAAGGCCAGACCCCCTGAACCTGTCTCCCTCCAGCTCAAAATGAAATAACTACACACATGTACACACACTCCCAGAACGACCCTGTGTGGACCGAGGATCTGGGTGATCTTCCACAGGACCAAAGGTAGCTGTGGCTCAGAGGGAGAGGCATCGTTGGCAGGCAAAGGTTTTAGCATGTGGCTTAATTGCAGCCAGTCTCTCCTGCTGAGCATAATTAGTGTAAGCTGACATGTCACTTCCTGTGGAGTTTCATTTATTAGAGATGATGATTGGCTGATGGATAAAATGCAGGGGTGACACCCCCACCTCACTTCGCAGTGGGGGCCAGTAAAGAGAGGAGCTCACCTGCTGAAACCCCCTGCCTTGAATAATGACCCAATTAAGCCTGAGTTATTTTTCCATGTTATTTTGATTAACACTCTCCATTTTGTTACTAATTTTCTCTGAACCAGCTCAGAGTTATCATCACAAGCTCCATTTTCCTGCTTTCCTGGAAACAATTTTGATGTATTGTATATAGTTTGGGCTGTTTTGTTTTAAACTCCCCAAAATTATCCTCCTCCAAAGTCTTTAAGTGTAAACATCCTTAAAACTAATACAGTATAAAACATAAAACATTACTGTGGACAATTACAAAATTGCTCTTTTCTTCTAAAGCTCTGTGGGCAGCAGCAGAGCTCCTGGACTGAACACAGAGGGTCATTAGTCACAATTTGATCCACTGAGAACCAGCCAGAAAAATGCCACATCATCCCCACACCAGCACAGTTTTCTATGATTGTCCTTCTAAGTACAATTTGGTCATTTTTAGGGCTGCAGCAATTAGAAAATGTTAATCGTGTGAAAACTGTTGCATATTTTATACAGTTTAGTTTAGTGCTGGGCGATAGGACGATAAATATCGTGGGCACGATAGAAAATGTCTATCGTGCCATTTTTATTTTTATCGTTTTGGGCGATAGGCTGTATTTTTTCCATAGGGCTTGTGCCATCAGATGATTCATAGTAACAACAACAATAATTGCACATTCAGTAAGTGTATTTGGTGTCGAACGGGAAAGAAAACAATATTTTCTTTCAAAGAAAAGGATGCGTTGACATGTAGGCTTGCATTTCTCTTTCGATTTTGCGACATGACGCCGCTTTACGTGCCCTCTTCGTGTCCAGCGTCTCCCGCCGTTGCGGGTTACCTGGGTTACACACGTGAGGGGATCATTGTAAGCAGTGCTTAATTTGTGCCGGAGCAAGTCGGAGCGCGATCCGGGACCTCTTTTGATCGGATCCGGGACCTATTTCAGCCGCTCCGGCACCTGTCTCATCTGCTCCGGGACCTTCCCTGTAGAGGATGACATTTTTCGGGAACTCCCGTGGGTCACGTGATTCCCGCGGGAATCCCACGGGATGGGAGTCATTTTTTAATTAATCCCTTGATCGGGACGGGACGGGACGGGAAAAAAGGCAACGGGAGTGGGCAGGAGCGGGAACAACATTAAAAGATGATCATTTTCGGCCGTGTTTAACAACCAGATGAACAGGTGCGTCCATTTTTGTAGTCATCTCTCAGTGAGAGCCAACACTCTTGACCGCGCTAGCAACACAAAAGAACTACAACAGTGGTTTGACTTCCTGTCAGCTGGGAGCGCGGCTGCGCATTTCTACCCTTCAAGCCAGCAGCGAGGAAACGTAATTTTGTGACATTCTGTAGTTTTTCAATCATTTCTGGAGTCGTGGCGAATCAAATCACCTTACCTGTCTGCCCCTGATAGGCGAATAAAGCGCTCGGATTCATGCTCGGGTCTTGCTACGTGCTTCAAGCGTAAAGTAAACAATGATGGAGGCAGAGAGCAGCTTTGGAGGAGAAACATCTAGCAGTGTGAACAACCTCTTCAAAAGAGCTGTAAAGACCTACCTTTTTAATAAAGCCTTTGGTTAGTTTTCCTCTATGCTTTATGCTTTTACTACCTTGCCTCTTACATTGCAACTCTATATATTTTATTTTTTTTAATTCTTTTTTATGCCAATCTGTGACTGTCATTCTATTGCTTTTTTATTGTTGCTGCTCTTTTTTTTACTGTGTACTGTAGCACTTTGAGATTTTTTGTAAATGTAAAGTACATTACAAATTAAATTTATTATTATTATTATTATTATTATTATTATTATTATTATTATTATGGAGTGCTTTGGCTCACACTATCAGCGTTTTCTGTGAGTGTTGCATAACTTTGGGTGAGCACAGACATGAAAGCACTTCGGCCACGTATTTATTTATTCATTTTTCTAGTTTTAAGTGCTGGTCTTGTACTGGTACTGTACTAGTGCAGCTGTATACACTTAAATTTTTCATAGAACTGAAAGCATACCATAGCTATATCGTGATATATATCGTTATCGTGATATAAAATGATCCATATCGTGATATACATTTTTTTCCATATCGCCCAGCACTAGTTTAGTTCTCACAAAAGCAACAATCTTCTCTGTGGGATAGAAAGGCCCTGGATGTTGCAAAAACATTCATAGTTTATTGCCTGAAAGCTGCCAGTCTCACAAAGTACCGTAAGTGGATTTTAAATCAAGTCAGTACATTTTACTTTTCAATTTTCATTACCTGCCCATCATGATGTGTCATGTTATCTTTATGTGAGGCTTGCACAAATTACTAAAAGGAACAGATGAGGAAACGGTCCAGCAAGGGCAAAAGATGTGGATTGCTTGAACTTGTTGTAACCAGTCCCCATCTGAGACTAGTTCTTGATTCCAATCAGTACTTACAATTGACAAATGTAAGTATGTTTTTGGGATCCATCCATTTTCTACCACTTATTCCCGTTCCCTGGACAAGTCGCCAGTTCATCACAGGGCTGACATATAGAGACAAACAACCATCCACACTCACATTCACACTTAAGGGCAATTTGAAAGTGGCCAATTAACCTAACCCCAATTCTGTATGTTTTTGGGATGTTGGAGGAAACCGGAGTACCCGGACTAAACCCATGCAGACACAGGGGGAACATGCAAACTCCACACAGAAACGCCCTAACCTGGTTTTGAACTCAGGACCTTCTTGCTGTGAGGCGACAGTGCTAACCACTACACCACTGTGCCTCCCTTATGTGTTATACCACCACTTAAACTATCTCTTAAGGGCATTGCCACCTGACTTTGTTCCATCATGTTTCAGAAAATGACTAATTTGGAATGTCTCAGCTAAAATAGGAGAACCCAAAGACTGATTTTAATTAATCTTTATTAGAATAGATGATTAATAAAGTAGAAAAATACAAGTAAAATTACCTTTATCGTTCTAATTAGTTTTGTTTACCAGCACGTATCAGTCAAGAATATAAGACATTAGGTTTCCTCCCACCCCTGAGAATAATGGATTAAGCTCTTTCCTATGAAAATAATCTGTGCCATTGTCTGACCCATGACATTTTCGTTAGACAAGAGAGCTCATTTATCATCTAATGACAGGGAGTCTGCCCTAGCACTTGTGCACAAATGTTACTTTGAGGAATTGATTAAAAGTATGTATATATAGAGAGAGTCACATGATGAAGTGCTCCATATTTTATAGTGTTTATTGCGTTCTATTTAGTAATTCCTGTTGTCATGTCTGTTATATTGTTCAGGTATTTTATAAAGTCTCTTGTGTGTCGTTTCTGAGTAAATTAAAAGCCAATCAGGGAGCGGGAACTACAAATAAGCTTGTTGTGTTGTAGTGGCATTGGTTTACTTGTTTCATACCTGTCAAAACAGATAAACATAAATATTAAGTGAATGGTTTGTTATTGCGGTGGCTGTTAAAGTTCAGTGCAGCATAGACATCTTCACTGGGTGTGTATGTCCAGATCACCACCCCAGGGACTGATGCTGGGTTATGTAGTTAAGTGTTGCTCTGACTGAGGTACTTGCATCTGATGATGAAAGGTCAGCGTAAATTATTAATGAGAGGAAAATGTCATAAAGGAGGCAAGGAAGAATATGGTGAGGTGTAAAGTGACTATGAGATGACTTAAACCTCCAAACTGTTTATGTACTCTTTGTTTTCTTGAAGATATAATACTGTCAATATACACATTCAAACCATGTTATTCTGGGAATGGGAGGCTGTCATTACAGTGATATGTAACACTCTTCACATGTGTCTTCAGTGTTCAGCACAGGTAGGTTGCTGTTACATCAGACAAATGAATCAGTCCCAGATCGGCTCAGGCATTTGCCCAATGTTGTTTTTTCTTTACACCAATGAGGTACCTATCCTGTGTGTGTTTAGATCAATGAAGAGAGAATTCCTTATGAGCCTCCTGCTGAGGTGAGCCAGCTGAAATGAATCCATCTGAGTTCAGATGAAAGCTCTTTACCTCTAATTAGAACCCAGGGCAATTCAAATAGATGCCCTTATGAAAATATTTTTTATTTAATGACGTGATATCAGCAGGAGACTACCCGCTGATGTCTGATCTGTCTCATTAAGGTTCTCATGTAGGTGTGTATATGTCTTTTTGTTAGTGTGTCATTGATTTCACAATGTATGAAATGAACACATGCAAACAAACTTTTCAGTGGTTTTGTAGCTTTATTTTACTTCTTCTTATTATTTTTCGCCTCCACAAGTCAGTTTTATCACAGAGAGACTTCATGTCCAGAACTTATTCATTGTAAACACTGGTCACGGTGATATCACTCACATACAGTAAAACTAGAGAGTTAAAAGCTGCCAATTCCAACATCGCAACTATTTGAGGGAGGGTATACAGGAAATGATTGCACATTAGTACAAAATACATCAACAGATTTAACATTTACCATCAAATAAGATATTCAGATAAAGATTTTCTTCTTTTGTTAGAGAATTACTCACAGAGCACAAGTCAGTACAGTGTTACACTATATTGAATAGTAGCGTTTTGACCAAATACTTGAAAGGAAAAGTGCCTTTCAACAATCATCATCACAAATATGCTAAAAATATGTACAAATCTACTTCATTGAGTTTACACGGTAATCCTTACAAGAAATTACAACTTTTTTCTCAAAGAAGAAAAACAGCAAAGGACTATATCACGCAATATCTATCTTATATACAGACGACACTGCTTTATTTGTATTCGACAACGATTGCACTTCTCACCTCTGAATAATTTCATATACAGTTGACAGAATGAAGAGATTACCTGTCAAGTACTCTGCAGTCCAAACCACCCCGGTATGTTGATGAAGCTGCTAACATCTGGGGATTGAATCGGAAATGAATTATGCGATCAGCTGGAGGGTGGTTATTACTCCTTTCCGTCTTTGCTCTGGTGCTCCCACGGCACAGGATCGTTTTCGTCAGTGTATGATCCAGTCTCCCTCTCGTGCCAGAACTGCTCTAGATCAGGCAAGACAATACCATCTTTCAGACTCTCTCTGTCTATTTCCTTCCCTCCTCCTCCTCGCTCTGTCGGGGCTTGAGCCTTTCTGCTTGGACCCTGATTGGAGCTCAGTCGAAGGCTGTTCTCCCCCCTCAGTTCCACAGAAGTCTCTGGTCTTGGGCAAGGCGACTGGAGTGCTGTTGGTTTGTGAGGTCCGGGTTTTGGCTTTGGAGGGGGCTGTTTGCGCAGAGTGAGGCGTCTCCACAGCCCCTTATAGCCTTCTCTAAACTCTTCCGAGAGGAAGAGCACAATGAGAGGGTTCACCAGGGACAGAGAGAAGGTGAGCAGCTGAGCAGAGAGGGTCAGAAGAAGGGGAAGAGAGGACAATAATGGCTTGGCTCCTTCAATTTCCTTCTCTGCTAAGTGACGCTCCCAGAGCCACACCACCCACTGTGGGAGCCAGAGAATAGCCATGGACACAGTCAGGCTGAACAGCATCAAGGTGAGCTTCCTGGATCTGATTTGTGTGCGCAGGTTCTGGGTCTTACTAGAGCGTCGCTGGCACTGGCCATAAGCCTTCCAGAAATACACCAGGGCAAAGCTGAGAGGTGCACAGTATACCCCCAGAGGGTATGCTTTGACATACACTGACATGAAATTCTGAGCTTCAGGAGGAATTACCAGCACACACATGATCCCACGGACCCGTCTCTGCAGGGAAGCAAACAGCCAAAGAGGGATGGTGATAGAACAGGCAGACAGCCAGATGAAGAAAAACACCACCAAGATGGAGCCCAGGTGGATGCTCACCTGCTTGGTGGGGTTTGAGACATAGCGGTAGCAAACTTTGGCCATTATGGCCACTGTGAAGCTCTTCGCTGCCATGCAGGACTGAAGGAACCAGTCTGCCGTCTTACACACCACCCAACCCAGCTCCCAGCTAGCTTTAGAGAAGGAGACAGCCTTGAAAGGCACAGAAAACATCAGCACCAGTCCATCAGCAAACATCAGGTTGAAGATGAGGGAGTTGATGAGAGAGAGTTTGCCCCTATGAGCGTTGGAGAACAAGATGACCATTGCAGTTAGATTACAAGCCACACCCAAGACACAGATGACTCCCAAAATAGCTGGCATCAGAACCCTCAACTCCCTGGGGTCCAGGTGTTGGAATGAGCCATGTCCATTGAAAGACCATTCTATCGAGCCATTCGCCATTGTTGCATTGTTTCCACTCAACTTATCCATCTCTGAAAAAAAACAAAAAAGCTCCTGAGTTGGTGTAAGTGGAAGATTTGGTAAGCCAAAAGCAGTAAAGCGTGGGGAAAAGCCCAGTGAGTCCAAAAATATGAGTGCTAAACTTAGTTTAACAAATCTATCGAAAAATACCTCACAGAACCTGGTAGAATAATCTCATCAGAGACAATATCGATTGATGATCGATGATCACAGTGGAGCTCCAGTCTGTCCCCGGGTTTATCCAGAGGCACAGTGATGCAGCTTCTGCTGCTGGTTATAAAGATGCTGTTTGATTGACAGCTGCTGTCCCCAGCTGAAAAAAAAATCTGCGTAGACTACAGCCTCATGGGGCCAATTAAGGAAAAGTCTGCATAATGTGCACAGTATGACGGATGAATGCATTGGATTTCTAATTTGTCAACACAGGCATTACAGTAATGGAGTCTTAGACATAACGATGCTCTGTTCTTCTGTTATGGAGAGTAAAGGTATGATAGGATTTAAAAAGGTAAAGCATCCGAAGCATCCTCCAACAATCCAGATATTTTGACATTTATGTTGTATTTCAAATCTGTTAAGGTGTGTTTGCAACTTTATGTGGAAACTACATTTGTCCTTATACAGCAGTACATTAGAATATGTAAATGAAGCACATGAATAATTAAAAGGAATTAACTTTGACTTGTAATCTGAAATCAACCACCAACTGGGTGCAGCTGAGCTAATGATATCATACCCTCTCTCCCCCTTCTTTTTTTTTTTTTTTTTCGAATACACCAGACTTCCCTAATATCATTTCATCCTGATCCACAAGGGGGCACCTTTGTACTACAGGAAGCAATGCACTTATGCAGGAAATTAATCACTTGGTTTACATTCATACTGGGGCTTCCTCAAACCAGTCCCTCCCACTCCACTCCACCACAGAGTGCGCTCCTTTGAAGCCCCCCTCATTGAGGTGGCAGGATCAGATTCAGCTGCAGAATTTAGGACACTCTCCCTTTACCTTTCTGAAAACAGGAAATGCATGTTTCTATGGTTACATGTCACACAAATAGTTGCTTTTCATAAATAATCATACCAGAGTAAAAGAAAAACCCCCCATTGATTTTGAAAATTGTTTTTTGTTAAACCCTATCAAAACACTTCTTACTTACTGTTTTCAAGACAAGAAAGTGGTTCATTAGACACTGAATATGTTTCAGACTTTTAGGTTTTTTTAATTTTGTAATTGTATTTTATAGTTACGATGAAGAAACCTGGTGCAGACCCCAATGACCTTAATAACTTACATCCAATCGCTTACCTTCCTTGTCATGAAAAATCCTTACAAAAAAACTGTTTGATCTCAGGTCAATTCTCACTTATCTGATAATAACCTTTATGAGCAATTCCAGTCTGGCCATAGACCCCTCCACAGCTTAGAAACAGCCTTGGTAAAAACCGCTCATGACTTCCTCATGGTAGCTCCCTCCCTCCAGCAAAGGTCTTACATCCCACTCTTTATCCACACTTATGGTACACTATAAGCACACTATCAGAGTTCAAGTGTAGGGTATGGTTTGATAAGGAGCATTTTATCCAGCAGAGTTAAAAGAGGAGATCCAAGAAGTCTTTGAACTTGCACATCTTTATTCTTTTTTATTCAAAGAAAGTCCAGTAAGCATAAAGACTGCATGGTAATTGCATTTCAATACATTCTGAGCTATAAAAGTTTTTTTTCTTTTTTTCTTTTTTTGTTTTTGTTTCAATTAGTGTCACAAAGGAGGTTGTTTAGAAGACATAACTGTTCAAAGGAACCACACTTAATAATTCCCTGATTTCACAGAGTTCATTTAGACCTTGGACTGCTTTCCATAATGGGAGTTGGCTCTTAAAATCAAATTTGAGACAAGTGGGGCTTTCCTAACTGATTGGAGCTGAGTGCTGAAATACAACCTGCTACTGTTCCAAGTTACTTCTCTTTGGTAAGAGAAGGAACATGGACGAGCACTGCAGCGATTACAAATGAAACCTTTCCTTAATAAAACAGGTTTCTTCTACTTGCATAGTGCCTCAAGATGATCTGTAGATGCTCAAATATCTATATGCAAGCTGTCCTTTTCATCAGAATCTGATCCAATACATGCAGAAAGAGCTGTGCTAGCATTATGGTATGTCAAGAAATCTTAAGTTCAATAAATCAACATGAAAAGTTTACTCTACTACCATCTACAGATCATTTTCAGTACTATCCAAATAAGATTAAAAAAATGGTGAAGGACTTTAAATTTAAACCAAAGCTAATCTGGCTTTATCATGTCTCTTATGAACAGATAACAGCAAACTGACTGCAACATGATACAAGCAAAGGATTACTCTGTACATATCACAGCCTCCTCTCTTGAACTCTCAAGCATGTAGCCGGTGCTTTCATGTAACTTTGACTACATTACTTCAAGCACTTTGTTTTCACTTCAAACTTCAGTTGAGCTTTATTGTTTAAAGAGAAAGAGGGGGAAAACAACCAAAAAGAAAATGCTATGTTAACATTTCATTTGAAACATTCACACTCCTTCCATGTACTCAGTTCCCTCCCCCCGCCCACTCCCACTACATCAAACCCCCACATACCAAAAGAAGGCACCACAGCTTCTAAACAGACTCATTGACCGAGAGAAGGACTCAATAAAACAACAGCATTAAATAAAACCATTGACACAGCCTGGATGGGCCTCATTCACATTACAGACTACAGCAGTCTCACCAGGGAGACACAGAATTGGAACTAGAAAGACTGACCACATTATGTCACAGGCAGAGAAAACTCAGTTTGTGGGGTCAGAGATTAATAACAGTCTCTTCCTCTTTTGTTGAAACTCTGCAGCAGGTTAAACTGTCTGGAAACTGCCTCAGTCAGAGGCTGCAGGGTTGATCACATGCACTGTAGCATGAGCAGACTCAAAGACAGGGGGCACTGTTGCTACATGACAATGAGCCACCATCATGTAAGCTGTGTTTCAGTCTGTGTGCTCTTATGTGTGTCCATTGTACCCACATCCATCCCCTTTCTTCAGGGTCCAGAGGGCTGCTACATTTTGTAATTCATGCAGCAATCCTCTTGATGCATAATTGCACAGGATTTATTCCTTCGGGTGTCTGCATGGCTAAAGAAAATAAATAAGAAATCAAATTGAAGAATGAAAGTCCATTCTTGATTTTGAGAGACCCTTTTCCACATGTTGTATCCAGGCTGAGTTTCCATTTCCAGCTTCCCATAAATTCACTGCTTTACAAGTCAGTCACTGGATACTTTTTTTCTGCACTTCTGAAAATCAAGACCGGCAGCAACAAGACACAGGGAAAGGAGAGAGAGGAGGGGGAGGAGGATGTAGATCAGGGCTTCATCACTGTCTTTCTCCAACCCTGCCTCTCCCTACAGCCCCTCATGTGTTGGGGGGGTCAGCAAGGCCAGTCTGTCTGTTAGTTGACCTTGTCTTGAAAGATGTAGAGGTTGTTGGTGGCAGCTACAGCAATGATGTTCTCATGCGGATGCCACGTAGTGTGAAGGATCTTCTTACTGAAGTCCAGGCTGTCTACACTGATCTCATCCTTTCGGCGCTTTCCACCCACGCACACCTGGAGGATAACAGTGGGGATAAAGACGTGTTAAAGTATGACAGTTCTCACTGTTTTCAAAGCATAAATTAGCATTGATTTCAGCATTATCCATTTAATTTTGCCTTATTAGAGACATCAGAACAAGCTGTACAACATAACACTGAATATATAACACCTCATAAACTGACAGTGGTTTATATTTTGGCCAGATATAAGGATGTGTACATTTAGTTGACTAAACTATTAAATGTTATCATGAAGCTGTAGTTCTCGACAGTGGCTACTGACGTGATGCTAAAATGATCTACTACCTAGCATAGTTGGCATCCTGAAACATTAGGTAGTTTGACAGTATTTTGATCTGGAAGTGGAGACAAAAGTTGATGTATGCTGTTTCTGGTCAAACGGGAATAAAAAAGCACAGGCATGTAGACAGAAACCTGTAAGAGGGACTGGAGGGGCTAATTCTGCTAACATTAGCAACATTCAACAAACAAATGTGATAGTTTTCCCTCTAACTCTGTGATCCTTTGTGAAGCCATGTTAAAAATGTTTTAAATCTGTGCTGTTTTTCATGTGTTTTCTTGGAATTCAAATTTCCATTTAATCAATAAAGAAATTGGTTGCTTCAAACATCCCTAGTGAGAATTTCAAAGGTTAAATTAAGTCAACTGAAGAGCATTAAAATTAGTGTGGAAGCTTTATTTTATTTTATTTTATTTTATTTTTTTGACTAGCAAGTTATTTGTATCACACACTCATCTCAAACTTTGCTTCAGTGTCTGCCTGAACTCAAGGGGAATTTGTGGCCTGGTTAAGCCTTTCAGTTTGCTTACCAAATAATGCTAAATTTGTCCTGTCTGCTGTTTGTTGCTTGAGAAGTTGTGTTCAGCAGATTTATCAGAACTTTTTTTTTTTTTTCTTTGAAACAACCTGCTGTGAGGGTCACATTAGAGGGCACACCAAAACAGTGAGTTCTGCTGCAAAGTTGTGAAACCAACACAGTGAGTTAAAAACTGTAAAAGATGCTGAAATGCTTTGAGGATTACAAGGTGAGGTGATTTGAATTTTCTACAGATCAACCGATTCGACCGTTTATTGTAAGAAAAAGATGGGAGAATTATCTCCAATGCTAATTGCTGTACACATGTAAAGCCAAAAGACCACAGATGGCTGCTAACATCTTGTGTTGGTAGCACTTTTTTGTCCTGGAATCTGTGCAGTGTGGATTTGCTGGTGGACATTGTTACCTATGTTTTACTTGAACCATAAAATGCAGAGATCCTTCAGTCTGTACGGTCCACAGCATAAGGGCCTGTCTCACTTTATGCATTTTCTGAAGTTTTCAGCGTTCAGTACTCTAAGCCCAGATACATCCATGTCAGCTGTCTTTTGTGGCTTGCTCACAGTGCTGTCTGTTGAAAACAGTTCAACCTCTTGAACACTTTAACACTTGTGAATGTCACTCCTCCAACACCTACCAATAAAAACCAAGCGGGGCAGACTCCCAACAGACACATTGGCAATAACAAGGCAGACACCCGTGCAGAGGTGACAACTAACCACCTTTTTTATTGACCGATCAGTTACTACCAATGGGACTGGGGGGACCGCAGTACAACCCTCGTCACCTAGCAACAGTAACACCAATCAAAAGCTCTCTTAAACTGAGGTTGTGGGTGTTGCACAAAAAAAAAAAAAAAAAGCGGTTAGTGGACACAGGCCCTAAGCAAATCTTGTTAGCTTGATTCAGACACTCACAGTCCAGTTAATTTTAATCCACATTGTCAACGTAGCTGTTAATCGCAGTGTGCCCCTTTATATAACATTAGATAACCAAAGTTAAACTGAACTTTACAGAAAAACAAACATTTAGACACAAATCAGTAAGATAAGAACTAACCCTTAATGAGAATCAGGGCAGCTCCAAGTGTTTGGGCTTCACTTTAATGTACTGTTTTGTCATCCTACTTATTATACAGTCTATCGAATTAACCTAATTTGTAGATTGGTGCTGTTTGTTGGATTCAGAATGAAAATAGTTCAACTGAATGTCAGAGTTATAGCTTTTAAGGCCATAATTACTCATGTGGCATCAGATTATCTTAAGATTTTGATTTGAAGCAAAGCATGGATGCCTCCAAATACCCATCATTAGTAGAGATAACAAATCTGTCAGTATTAATCATAAGGTTTCCAGATATCATCTTTATTTAGCTATAGTGAGTGAGCAGTGCTGTACCTTGCGAGGCTTGAGAATGGCTCTGGGTTTGCTGTTTTCTCTGGAAGCTTCCAGCGTGACGTCACGTTTTGTGTTTCGGTCAAACATTCGAAAGAAATTGTTGTAGGAGCCGGTCATTATGACGCTGTGGGGGGTAGAGGGAAAAAAGTGTCCATTAGAGATATAAATTGGCGAGATAGAAGAATATATGAGTAATAATGAGATGATTCTTACCTATCTGATCCGTTCCAGACACACTCAAACTTGTCAAAGATGCAGTCATTCTCATACAGAGAGCAAAGTTTGCCTCGTAAATAGTCGTGGACCTGAAAATAAATGTAAACATTAATGTCTTAAGTTGTTGGTGAATTGTGACCACACTTTTCCAACATCTTAATCTCTTCATTGCCATGCAACCATAAGCTGCACTACCATATGCTCTACTTTCAGTAATCCCCTCAGACCTGGTGACCTACGTTAAGACACTTGGTAGCAGGTGGAGGCGGAGCTGGAATTGGACTGAGAATCCCTTGAGTCCCGCTTATGGCCCTATCACTCATGACCTGCCCTAAGATGGCTTCCCCTGATCAGAAAGTGCGGATGTGACCCCTGGTGACCTCACGATGGGAGGTTTTGCCCTTCAGGTTGCATCAGCACCACCACTATCTGTCTTTTCATGGACAGTCAGCTCAATAAGCCACCCCAGGTTAATCGCTAAAGATGACACGGCTACAGATTGGCAGGATGACACTGGAACAGGATTATGTTGAGTGATTAGCCTTAAATCAATTTTTTTTATTTGAACTCAGCCTAACCATTATTTACTGAGATATCTCTCTGTAGCCTCCAAAGTTTCCAGCAGACACATTAAAGCTTGACAAAAGCTCACCTGGTACGTCTCCAGTGGTTTGTTCTCCATTTGAAGGTCCCACACCTTGACAGTGAGGTAGTCCCGTGTCATCAGGTAGCGCCCGTTGTGGCTGAACTTCACGTCCGAGATGGATGAGATAATTTCAGAGAAAAAGGAGCGAGTGGAGGGATCCTCTGGCTCCTCAAAGTCTAAGAAAAACAAACAAAAGAGAGTTATCCTGTACCAGAGAAATCATTTGTTCCTCAGTAAGAGGTCCCTGGACCAGAGAGGCGTTTTTCCCTCGCATAAGTCTTTAATCACTGACAGGCAGGAAGCACAGAGCAGACTCTGTTTTGGGTCGTCGTTAGTGAATGACAAGAGCCACAACAATGCCGGTTTGCTTCAGCAGCTGGGTCTCTTCACGGTATTATTTCTGTGTGTGTATAGGGAGGCAGGAGTGGGTCAGCATGCTGGGTAAATATTGGTTATGATTCATATTGATTCTGGCAGCTGCTGATCTGTGTGCAGGCCAGCACACTGGGGATAAGAGCCAGGCATTCCATCGTTAGCTGTCAAGTTATTGTTCCTCCCTCCCACCCTTCCTCCCCCTGTCCTCTCTATCTCTCCAAATATGCCCCCACCCTTCCCCCCACCTCTCCCTCCCTCCTCCTCCTCCACTGAGGCCTGGAGAATCACTCTGTGATGTGTCAATGAGGAGTCTAACTAGGGATGCCGACTGAGAGATGAAAAAATGGGGGGATGAGGAAGGGATAAGAAAAACAAATCAATGTCAAAGTGCTGGGCCCATTTGAGCCCCACTGGATTTGTGTGTGTGCGTATGAATGTGCATGTATATATGCATGTGCATGTGCGTGTGTGTGTGAGCCTCTGCCCTCCCTCCCTCCTGGCAAATAATAGGGTCCCTGGGGAGTCAGCATGGGGCTGTTTGGTCCCCATCTTTCTGTCCTGCAGCTCAGCGCTTTGGCAGTCTTCCTCTATCCTTCCAACCATCCCTGTATCAACTATCCTACCATTCATCCATCCTCACTCTAACGCTGATTGATAGCAGAAACCTCATGGATTTACAGCAACCGGAGGGGGCTACAGTATGATTGTGTGTTAGTGTTATTTATGTAGAAGGTTCATAAAGTATTTTTGTATGTGTGTGGATGTCAAGGGAAAGAAGAGCTGTGTGTGAATGTGTGGGAGGGAGTGTATCATACATCGCTCTGAGCCGTTCATGCAGTGAGACAGTAGGTCGGTATTAACAGACCCGTCCTGAGGCAAACAAGAGCACCTGCCTGCTCTGTCAGTGTGTGTGTGTGTGTGTGTGTGTGTGTGTGTGTGTGTGTGTGTGTGTGTGTGTGTGTGTGTGTGTGTGCGGCAAACACCTGCCTCAAACACGTACAGATCATCTTTAAAAGATAATAAATGAGAGTAGCAGTAACCACAGCTTGAAATGCATTCACAGGTGTTCTTATTTAGCCTGCTAATACATGTGAAATTCAACATGCTCGGTCCAGTGAACACATCAATACGTCTGAGGAAATGACTGACGTTATTGAACAACAAGGTGTGGCCATGTGGGACTAATGCGATTGCTCTTAAACCATTGATTTTTCAGCCAAAATGTCAATGCATTCATTATTCATTTGACCAAAGTGTATGCACAGGATGTGAAGCTTTTGAGAAGGCCGTTCATTGTTTGCAACATACAAGGAGAAATATTGATGGGTTATCAATCCTGGCATTTTGAGCAGAGGGCAAGCAGTTATAAAAAGGTGGAGCAGGGACAGAGAGTGGTAAATTGCAAACATGTAATGGTTGAATGTATTTTTCTGATGGTTATATCAAACTAAGAGATTTTTTGTTTTCACGTATGAATTTTGTGTAAAGCCAGTAATATATATGTGTAATTAGTGGCGCTAATGTTTTACCATCTCACAATTTGATCTGGTTTCGATTCTTGTGTCCTGATTGAAACTGCTTTGCGATTCTGTCATTGGTTTAAAAAAAAAAAAAAGAATGCTTATTTTGTTTTGCTTTTTTCTCCTTTAGTTTGCTATCATTAAAGGACATCATGTTTGAGTTTGTGCAGCTTCTATATTTGAAAATGTTTTTAATTCACATGATTACAATAATGTACAAAGAGGCAACAAGAAGACAAAAGTTAACATTTGTTTTGTGCTAAACTTACAAAAATTAAGCTTTTTCAGACTCTAACAGCTCTCAGTGGCCCAAGCTCCACTATGGTAAGAACACAAAGTTCAGGTTACACAAACTAGAATATACTCAAACGTAAAATAGAGGGTTTTGGCCAGCTGCCTCTTTGGACTTTGACATGTCAGGAATAACTGTAGCAGTTTTGAGATACTTGTGCAGAAAACACAATTGCATGCTCTGGAGTCAGATTTGAGAGCTGTCTTTAATATCCTGGCTGAAGAGAATACCTCCTCACTGAGGACCTCTGGAGGTCTGTGGAAGTGAAAGGGACGATCATATATTGATATTCTTTTTGCCCATTTAGAATTAGTCAGAAATTTGATCAAGTTATGCAGCGTGCATTGGTCAGCTGTGGTCAGTCACTGTTTTACTTCTCTAAACACCAGGTGCTGGAGTTTGATGTGAGCTCAGGCATCTCTAGTGTTTCCAAAGAGCTTAACTTTCATATCCCACACTTTGCATATGGAATATATCATGTAATGATCCTCTATATCTGGACATATCTAAAGTTAAATGTCAACATCAAAAACACAGAGACAGGCTGGTTTTCTTGCTGCCTAATAGACATAACTGAACTCCATGAGGAGCTACTTAGCTAATACTAGTGCGACTTGCTGGCCAGGACTGATGCACACCTGCTACATTTCTGAGCCATGGAAGCTGTCTGATAACAAACAATACCAGGAGTGGTATTGCTGCATAAACTGGCTGTTTGTGGAGCTTAGGAATTTTCCTTTGTTGATATAAAACTGCAGGAACTCAGAATTGTGATTCTGATGTGAATCAATTTTTTCCTCCACCGTTATTTCTAATATAACACTGATTAAATGCAAAATCTACTATCACTATTCACAATTCTAATTAATTTTAATACAAAGCAATTGTTTATGAAGGAGTTTGTCAACTAGATTTTAAAAGTAGCTTTAAAGAGGATTACAAATGCCTCCATGTGGGATGGATAAAGAAACTGTAAAAAATATTCCTATAGGCATGCAAGCTCCAAAGCTTTATGGAGCATATTCTGTAGTTTGTCCCTTTTCAGTTTGCACAGAAAAAGGACTCTACTTGTACTCACATTTGCAGTGTTTGTCACAGAGCGCGGCCTGTCTCATGTCACACAGTCGTATCGAGCCCTTGCTGCTGCTGTAAGCGAAGGTGTGACACTGCTGGGGATGAAACTCCGCAGAGGTGATCACCTCCGTCAGCTCCTCCATGTTGGCTGGTTTGATGTCCACGATATCTGACAAGAAGGCACTAAGGAACAACTACCGCTGTCAGACATGCTGTTGAAATTTAGTACACGGCAAAACCTGTGAGGCCAAAGAGGGTGAATCACTACAGCTTTTGAAAATTCTAATTCTTGTGTTTCTTGTACTAAAACCTTTTTCACCTATTTTTAAATATTTCAAAGAAAATAATGTTTTCGATCATATAGCAGTCTTGAGTTAGAGGATACTAAAGCTGCGGTCGGTGATCTCCAGATTCCACAGGTTCACCCTGAGGTCGTCAGTGGAGATGAACGTCTGGAGGTCAGAGTTGACAGAGATGGAGTTGATGTGGTAGGTGTGAGCGTTGCTGAAAACTCGCCTGGCCGTGGCCTCAACCATCAAGTCCATAGGCTGCAGCACCGGCACCTATTAAACGAAGAGAGGACAGTTAAGGACAGAGAAAATTTTCCTTCTCGAAGGCTTTGATGGATTTTGTAACACCCATTAAATATTTCATGCACACTAACGCTGCTTCCTTCCAGGAAACCTCTCAGATTTTTATCTGTGGGTGTGTGAACCTGCGTGCTTGTGGGTGCATTAATTTTGTGTTGTTAATATGCAGTATGTGCGTCCGTGTGTTAGCCATAACAAGATGACTCCAGGGATTCATGTGACATTTACTCCACAAATCTTAATGAAACAGAGACAGCGACAGAGGGGCTCCAGGGTTGTTTGATGAGCAACTTCAATCAGACCGGGGATATCTGTTCACTACACGGCTACTCAGTGATCACACCACCCTCCCTTCCTCCGTCTCTCTCTCTCTTTCTTGCTATCTCTCATGGGGGTGCTGAAGAAGTCACTCTTTTTTTTTGTTTGTGTGTGTGCGAGCGAGAGAAAGCCGGAAAAGAACGAAAGAGAGGAAGATGGAAAGAGAGATGGCCCAAGGGCATCACAAGGCCCTGCTGAGGAATGATAACTAAACTCCGCAGAATTAAGATGAGCTCACTCACTCATTCACACATACACACTTATACACATAAACACACCCAGTTACACAGTACTGCTTGGGCTTCAAAGCCACCCAGCACCAGCCTGCATGCAGCCCCCCGTTGGCCAGATAAAACCCAGACAAAGAGAGAGGGGAGGGGAGGGAGAGGGAAGAACAAATCGGCTGCTTCTTCCCTTTTTCTCTTGTCCGTCGCTGGCACTGACAGAGAGACATGGCAGCCCAGCAGGCTGCTGTATCTCCATGGGTGTCACTTCATTTCCATGTCTTTCACCGGCTGTCCAAAGAGACACGGACCGTATTAACCCATAACCCCAAACACTGACAGTTACATTATTCAGCCTGCCCGAAACGACCCCAAGATTGTCCTCCATAAGACTGAATATTTTAAAGTGATATATCTGTGCTTTATAATGTGGGAGAAATTCTAATGAATCAGCATGGCACTGGTTTTATTCATGCAGTCCCTTTTTAAAAGAATATTGAATATAAATAAAATAAAATAACCTGTTAGAAAGTACATGTTTTAGGATTCATGAGGACAGTGAGTGGAAGACTTTAAATGCCACAATAAAGAGTATTTGCAGTTTGATCATCTCTGGCTGCAGTTTGGAATTATTCCTGCGCTCGTCCCCTTCCTCCTCCCCCTCTGTCTCCCAAATGCGTAAATTTCACAGCCTCTAAACAGGATTGCCACAGTCCCGGCCTATCCTCCAGGTTGCTATGATCCCCTGGCCAGCCAGACAAAGAGGGATGGACACGCTGAACACAGCACTAATCTACTATGGCAGACACACACACACTCACACATGCTGTCCTACGTGCCCAGTTGCTTTGTGTGAAAATTAAAGAGGTAGTGGACTGATAAGAAGAGAGAAAAGGGGGGTCAGTGAGGATGATCCTTTCATGGTCTTCACCTTAGCGCTCATCAAATTTACTCATTCTCACTGTCTTCTGGCAGAGTATCTTCAAACCGTCTAATGATGGTGTGTCGGCTGGTGTCTTTTATCCGAATTTAAATTACACTCTTTAATCAGGTGGTGTTTCAAAAAGGAACAGTATCAATGGAGGTATGAAGATCTACTGATGTGGATCAGTTATTAACCGCTGTGCTGAAAATCAGTGTACAAGTCCACGGGTGGTTGACTGGGGCTTTGTCGTATTTTCTGCACACAGTATTCAGTGCCTTCAATCTGGCAAGACTTATACCCTGTTACCTTCACAAGAGGACCCTTAGCTGAGGTGGCTAGTCAGGTAGCTAGCAGGTAGTTCATAGGTTACAATCTCCATCTCAGAAATTATGGACTTCATGTGTTGGACTGAGGTCTTTCAAAAAGTCTGCTGGTCTCTATGCTTTGTGAGAAAGTGACTTTGTTCATCACACGGAAGAGTAATTTTGAGATCCCACAGTGCAATCTGTGCTAGTATTAGTAAGATGTGACACAAGTAGCCCTCAATATGAAACCTTTTTACAAGCAACATTTTGTCATCAAAGCATTCAAAGCTGATTTAAGGCTAATATTTATATTATATGAACAGAAGAGCTGTCAGTTCATGAAAAGTTTTGATTTGTTATTTAAGAATGAGGCCAAAAACATTAGCACTTACTGTGAATTTAATAGTTGTGTAATATTATCGCAGAATTTTTGGAAATAAGCCCTGTTTTCAGTAATGTTTGTGATTATGTTTTTTCCGCTGATACTAGTTTTGAACACTGAACTGGTCCCTCAGTGAGATGACAGTGCCAGCAGTGGCCTCCAGCTCATTTGAGTTTGAGACTCCTGGTTTATAGCCTTGTTCTAGAAATTGGGGGATTGGCTTTCTGGTTTATACCTTAAGTTAGTTAAAAAAAAATACAGAGCAGACAGCACTTCACCAAGTGTTTTAAAAAACAGATTAAATGGGACCTTCGATATGAGGGGGGAGCAGCAATTTTAACAGATCCTAAATTTAATGTGCAGATCAAATGTGTCAGTCAAAGAGAAATGATGAGAGAAAAGAGAAATAATGTCTTTACAACTGAAGTGCTCCTCAGTCTGACGTGTCACAATGAGCTTTGTTACACTGTTTTATTCCATTTACTTTTATTACCTTATTTGATTTTTTGTGACTTTGACAGTAATAATTATACTAATAAACAGATGACTAAATTAGTATTAATTATTGATAAATAATTGGTGCTACCGGGCTTTACAAAGTCCCTAAACATCAGAAGTGCAGAAAAGCCAAGATTTCTGTGTTAGTTTTTACAAATCTTTATATTTCTCACCAAACTTCCTGTCATAGTGATACGCCTTGGAGTGGGTGAATGATGGAGACTTTGGTTCATTGTTATGTCAGACTGTGCAGGCCTAGTCATTTGTCTCATGAAAAACTAATGGGCACAAGCATGTTTTACTGGAAGATGAGTTTGTCTTTGATTCTCTGAAAGTTTATTATGTGTGAAAATCTTCTTGGGATTCAGTTACCAATTTATATTGAACCACAACCATGTATAGATCGCAGCAAATCGAATCAAACCATTCTTGACTAGAATTGTAGCCATCAAGGACTGGACTGGATTTGACTGGACTGGACTGGACTGGACTGGACTAGACTGTCTTCTTATGGGGAGATTCACACCCTTTGGTAATAACTTTGCTGGAGTTGTTCAGACATGTGGTGAGTGTTATTCGAAGTTTAATGAGGATTAATGAGGCGCCTGCAACAGAATGACTTAATGATTTATTGTGATCGGTTTATCTTCACTCAACTTATTTAGACTTCACTGAAAATACAAAGTAAGATAGATATTAAAAAAAAAAAAAAAACAGGTATAAGTTATAAAACTTATGATGGCTAAAGTCTGTTAATCTCTATACTCCATATCTGTATATTTTCATACTGTCAGGTTGTCATGTCTTGCAGGAACACTTGCATAAAACAGCTACTGTAAATGTCATTATTACCTGGTCATATACCCATCATTCCCTGCAGCGCCAAGTCAAAATATCTGCTCTTGAAAGCCTATCATCAACATGCCCTTTTAGATAGGCAGCACCATTCAAAAGTTTGTCAGCTTTGGTCTCTCATTCATACTCCTGTCTAGATAATTGTCATTCACCTGAGCTGTTAATTTGTCTTCAAAGAAAAGGGTTTAGTATGCTGAGAAATATGATTGCCTCTAAGGGACTGATTAAAATGAATTAACACTACACTTACGTCCCTATAGCACTACAGCCCTCATTCAGTTAGCCTAGCTTATTGTTTGTGCTAAGCAAAGCTAGCCTGCTACTTACTCTTGACTTATAGTGAAAGGCCATGTGTTCATAAGCTGGGACTGTAGGATCACTGTAAATATGCCGTTTCAGGCTGATTAATTACACCACAAATAATGGAAAACCGAGATAATAATAACAGATGTATTTACCTAGATGACTCTTTTTTTCTGTTACTCTCAAGAAAACACTGTGAGATTGTTTATTTAGTCTGTTGTGGATATACTGCACACAGTGTGTTGTTATTACTATATGCCGACAATGACTCTGAGAGCTCACAGGATTTAAAACAAACCACTTTGATCAAATATTCAGAGATGGAGCTACAAAGTTTATAGTTCAACAGCATATCTGATAATTTCCATATCTGTCTTTAAGCCAATCCTGTTTTTGTTTCCATGCAAGATTTATGTAGAATATTCTCTTTTCTCTTCGTTTTAACCTGGTGCTTGGCTCCAGGCCAAACAGTAAAAATGTTAACACACTCGCAAGACGAGCCACAGAGTTGTGTGCATGACTTCATGTGACACTTTGGGGATGATGTGAAACCTGATAGTTTTGTGAGACCTCTCACCCGTAGTGAGGTGATGGTCGACGGGTTCCTGATCCGTCCATCCTCATCCTTCAGGTTGTAGCCCTCTGGACGCTTGTCTCTCTCGCTGATTTTCCACAGCTTCACCGTCTTGTCTGGGATGGACACATCACACAAACACACAGACACACACAAACACAAATACAGTTAGATCAAAGCTCACTACAGTAAATCACAGATCCAAGATGGATGCGGGGGGTTGGGCAGCCAATCTGGCATGTAGCTGGGCAGCAGCCAGCAAGAATGATGAATGGCTGCTCCTGTGAACATTTTCATGTCACTGATATCAATCTACAAGTTGACTACATTTCCCGGCTGCGGTGTATGCACCCCCAGAAAAAGCCATCTGGGCTCTTTTCAATCTGCATCTCGCAGACACCAGTTACATCCCATCTTCTCGGTCTGCTGAAGGGGTAGCGGCGGCCAGTCAGGTTGTTGCCTGCTTTTTTTTTTTTTTTAATTTCCGCTGTGAATATTGGTGTCAGAGAAGAGAGGCCATCGCCACAGGAACCTCCACCATCTGCTCCAGCCACTGCAAGCGCTGCTGCAGCAGCCATGCATGAAGCCCGCAATCTGCAAGACGTCTCTCTGCTGATGTGAGTGTGTCTGTTTGACTCAGTGTGCATGTATAGTGTGTGGTTTCACGCGCTCTAAAATATGTGTGTGTTTGTTTCTGCTGTGGCAGCCATGCATGAAGTTATGAATTTGAAATGTGACTGCTGGTGGCATTTGCTCATCCAGGAGAAACAGGAATAAATGCAGACAAAAACTCAACAAGACATTTTCACATGACATAAATAACATCTCCTTTCATAACAGCTGTACATCTCGCCCTTCCACAAAGTGAGAAATGAATCATAAGCTGACATTTTTATTGACTAATAACAGCCGTGCGCTCACATTCAACCATGTTCTCATGGCAGATTGATGATTTCTTTGGCTTTTTAACACCATGGTACCACGTTCGACTAAGATGACTTACTAACCGTTGGTGGAGAGCAAGAAGTAGGCGGCATTCTGCTGAGGAAGCCATTTGATCTTGTTGATCTTCTCCTCAATTTCCAAACTTTTTAGATAGTCAAACTCCGGCTCGTGGCTCTGAAATGTGCTGTAAACATTGTACTCTCCTCGACGCTGGGGTTGACTCTTACTCTGCAAGAGAAAGAAAGAATTTAAAAAAAATAGACAGAAGATGACTACATGCCCCTTATGTAGCTTTAAAAACTGCCATGCCAACAGTGGGTGGTTATGGCTGCCTGTTGCAAGTCAATCCTGACTGAAATATCTGAAAAGCATTGCTATAAAACTAACTCAGATTTTCAACTTCGTTTTTTCACAACCTAAACCTGTTTCATATTTGCTTTTAAATCTGATGTGTAGATACAGTATCTGCCACAGCTTCATTTTTACTTTGGGGATTATTTGAGAAAGTAAGCATGCAAACATGCAACTCTGGACACAATAAACATGGTAAACATTTTACTGGATTAACATTAGCATGTTACTTCTGATGCTAAGAGCATGCTGTAGTTAGCATACAGCTCAAAAAGAGGATTGTCATTGTTAGCCTGGCATAGCATAAAGCCCCCCAAGAAGACAAAACAACAGCCTGATTCTCTCCAAAGGTATAAAAGCTAACTTCACATGACCTGTATAAAACATTTATGTATTTAAAACATAATGTCATTTCTTATTTCTTTCTTTAGGTAGGGAGATTTTTAGCTGTATCCCTGCCGTGCTTTTTCAGTGTAATACTGAACCAAGCTAACATATTTTCATTCTATTTAACATTCTTAGCATACATTTCTGACCTATCAGCAAATTAATCAACACAGCACCTTGAGTAAGTTATTCATAGGTGCTTGCATGGCTGTTTACTCTTGTTAATATGATATAGAAAGACTTATTTTACACATAGGACGGTGCTGTGCTTGCTCTGGCACATTACTGTATCAGTATGCTTTTTATATTGACTATTTTTAATGCTTCTCCTTGGCATAAAATGTTACAATAATGAGGTAAACAGGGCAGCACTGGCACATTTGTTTCTGAGACTGAGAATAGAGTAGAATAGCCTTCATTGTCCTTGCATGCTGTACATACAACAGAATTTGTTTGCGCAATCTGCCATCAAGGAAGAGGGTTTCGGTGTAAATGGTAACCATGACATTTTAAGAGGCATTCAGAAAAACACTTGTAGTTGTCAACTATGCTTCTCCATGAAACACAAGTTTGAAATGACAGCTAAAATACTGCTCTTTTGTGGAGCCAAGATATTCACTGATGATTTTTCATTCACAATCTTTTTTTAATTACACCCTCTCTCAAGCTAGTTATCTAAAAACAAACAATCTTGGTTGTTTCAAGGCTGTCAAATCCTCTAAGCAGAAGGGCAGCATAATTAGCATTGCATTGTTGGCATTTCCTACCTCCTGCTCCCTCTGGAAGACAACCACTCTGCCTCCTTTATCCCCGGTGGCCAACAGCTCCCCTGATGAGTTAAACTCCACCGTTGAGATAATGTCAGCTGCAACACAGTAGGAAAGAGAGGGGGGGGGGGAGAAAATGTCAGTGTGGACGTGCACGCAGCTGTCAAGGTATCAGTCAGACAAATGAAAGACCTTTTCAGTGAGATCTGGAGGAGACACTTTGAGAAAACATGTCAGAGGAAAGGAGGGGAAAGGGAACCTCACGATGAAACTGCAGTGGACGCACCCTCGCTTGGTGAAATATAGGTTAGAAGGAGCCATTGCATGAGTCACTGCATGATATCAACTAATTGTCTGAGTGAAGTGAGACAATCTGTGTCACGTAATTGCACTCCTTCTTCTCTAAGAGTCTCTATGGCTGCACTAATAATGCAGTTCACCTCTCTCCTCCTGGCAGCAGGACCCCGTGCTGCTCAGTGGCTCTCCTGCTTCTTCATTAAAAAACAGCTGTAACCTGTTAAACCATGCTGCAGACATTTGTCCGTGGATGTGCGGGAGACTCTTTAACTCCAAATCTCTGCAGTGCATCAGCAGGATAACAACATGTAAGACACAAATACTCTCCATTTCCATCATTTCTTTCTTTCTTTATGGCTACAGTTCCCCAGAAGTAAATAACAGGCACCTACCCTTAAGGTAGCTTTTCCTCTCCTCCTCAAAGACATACATCTGCATGGATTTAGGAGAGGCTAATGGTGACTGTAATTAATACACAGCCCCAGGCTAAAATGGCACAGCATAATGTCTGTCTGTCTCACACACACACACTCATAGAAAAACACACACTACAGGAGAGGCTAGTCCTCAGTTTAACAGTGACAATATATTAGGCAGTAAGAGAGGGAACGAGTGAACGCTTGTTGTTTTGTACCCCCCACGCCCTCTGTGGACCTGCTACTGGCAGAGCACTGAACAGGAGAGGGGAATGTTGCTATGGAGACCGTTTCCATCTCTAGCGGCAGTCAGAGGGGTGTATGCAGTGTGTGTGTGTGTGTGTGTGCCAATAGCTCTCAGACTTTAGTTGCTGATGCTAGCTGTAATTCAGCAGACAGAGAGAGTGCTGCAATAGAGTGAAAACCTGCTACTGCATCTGGGGGAGTGTGTGCAGTTCAATGCAGCAGCACACAACTTCAGACAATAGAGTCCCTGCAGACACAGGGGGGTTCTTTCCCTCACATACAGCTGTGGAAACGACAAAGCGGCATGCCTCCAAACGTATGTGTGCGTGTGTGTGTGTCCTCTACTTGTTTTATTTGATCGGAACAGAGTAGCTACATTGAGGAACGACACCAGAGGGATTCTCATGGCCGTGTGCCGATAATGACACAAGGTAGGAGGGGGCAGGCAGATCCTAATCGTATTTAAATCTAGAAGCTAATAATGTTTCAGGGAAGACACACTCTGACCTAATTACATCCTGAGAGAACCCCACTGACACACCATATTGCTGTCATGTATACACACTCGCAGGCGTGCCGGCAAAAATCTGGAGTTATCAGCCCTTTTTGAATCTGCCACATTGTGCATGCATAGAGGTTCTTACACACACACACACACACACACACACACACACACACACACACACACAGTTCTGTCTTCCCTCGAACCATCAAGCTAAAACTACTGGAGTGAATCGGCTTTGAGGTCAGCTCTCTCAAATCAAAGCTTTTCTCTCTTTTTCATTTCGTCCTTCATACTCTTCACTTTCTCTCTTCTCTCCCCCCCTTCTCCTCTCCTCTCTTCTTCCCTCATCATCATCTCATCAACTCACTGAGGAGAAACAGTAATTGATGGGTGCCGTTTAACGAGTTTACACACGGATACATCCTTCAATCATCTTGGTGAATGAAGAATTGGCGAGACGCAACGAAGCAGAAACTCAGAGTTACATGATGGAATGCTTCCCCAAATGAGTTTTTCTTCATGCAAATATATTCAAACCTGATGAGGCAATCTATTCTGACACTGATGGACTCTATTTGAATCCCAGCATGCAGTTACCAAAGATAAAATTTCTATTATAGGAAACAAATTGATTAGCAGCTGAGTTGCAGGTGGGCGGAGTCTCAGGGATGTTTTCCGCTTGTGTCAGATCAGATTTTATTACATGAGCATCAGCAGGTTCAAGGAGGACAGGAATTAGCAGCAGCCTGATGATTCGGCTAATCAAATGTGTACTTATACACACACACACACACACACACTCCCCCCTCTCTCTCTCACTCTCTCACACGCACAGCTTCATCAGTGGACCATAACGAAATGAAGCTCATAAATCCCATGGCCAGCCAGGTCTGACACAGACAGGTCAGCAGCTTCTTGATACATCAGAGAGATAACACACATCCATCACCAGTAATAACACACAAGCCTGTTAGGATGTGTATGTTACAGTATAAAACAGGAATGTGCTCAGCTCTTATCTGGTTTTATTCAATCTGAACCTCAGTAACCCTCCCTTCAGCACACAATATAGTATCATGAGTCCGGCTGATTGGATGGAAACATAGATATGCATTGATTCTGGACTGAAAACGCGGCACGAGGAGCCAGGAGCGTAGGCAGGGGAGGGAGGATATTGAATGTATTTATAGACGTCCAAGCATGCGACATCTATCACGCACAACAGAGAGGGCCACTAAAAGAAACAAGAGATGGGGGGAAAGTCTGTTCGGGGAGGATTGTTTGCTCTAAGTAGGTCAATAAAAGATTGTACAGAGAGTCTCCTTCTCAGCACAGGCGACGACAAAAATAGGAGCACCCTGGCTAACCTCTAGACAACATGTAATCCTGTCAGGGCTGAGAAAGGAAAAAACAAAACCAAGAGAGGCTTGATCCTGTGGCACTGCAAGGTTGTGTAAGACAGACAAACCCAAAATGGTGTGACTGCCTGGAAAGCAAGTTGCGTAAGTGCTGTAGAGTAATACCAGGTATAGAGGGAGGGATGTTAGCAACATGGTGTCGTGTAGGTGCTTTGTTAGACATTCAGAGGAGAGGATTACTGCTCTTGTGCCTGAACTGCCTGCGTCAAAGGATCAGGCTGGGGAATAAATCAGGTCTGCTTCAGCACTCTCTTTCGATGATAATCAACAAAATCGAGCGATCTGCGCCCCTCCCCTTTTTTTTTTTAATTTCAAACAAACATATTCAAAAGCACAAATTCTTGACGTAAAATCTCCTCACAATTCCTCAGCTGCTGATTACGGCTTCACTTCTCAACCGGCAACAAAAGAGATCAATCAGAATTTTGAATACACCCTGCTACCTGCTGGTCTGGTACCCAGCCATATGATTAAGGCTTTATTAAGCTTTATTAGCTGCACACAAAGCAACAGAGCACAATGCAGCTCTCTACATCTGAAGAGCACGACTCTTTGTAAGATCTGGAGTGAACAAGCTAATTAACCTGGTTTCTGCAGGATCAGCCCCTTGAGAGTGAAACAGAGTGTGTATACGAGTATGTGTGTGTGTGTGAACCTTTTTTTTTTTTTTTTTTTTTTTGGTGTGTGCGCTCCCCTCTGTATCCCCACACTCACCCACAGGGGAGTCGAGGGTGAAATGGGCGAGACGTGTTACTGCTGCACTTCTCACACTTCATTAACACTTCACCGTTGCACACATCGAACTGCAGACACAACACAGGGCAGGGCGAAGAAACACCAGAAAGACGGACGAAGAAGTGGGGAAAGAGGTGGAATCAGCGATCAATTCCTGCCTCTGCTAACATGAATACCAAGAGGAGTGATTCCAAATGCTCGTTATTTGGTATTCTCTTAGAAATTGAAGATGAAGGAGGGGGATGGTGGGGGAGCGGGGGCGCGTTGAATTATAATCCAACACAACAAAACAAAAGCTGTCTCTCCCTCTCGATGTGCCTGTCTGTGCTGCTTTGGTGCAATCTCTTTTATGTTCCTGTTTTCAAGGCTGGGGTGAATCAGAGATTAGATGGCATCAGTACAGAATGAAATCCTCCTTCTACAGCGACCTTATCACCAAAAACATGAAAGGCCCCTAGAGTGACGTTTCTTCCTCGACAGGACGCAGGAATTAGCTTTCAAAACTTACAAATGTAGCCCATTACAGAGTCCAGAAAGGTCAAACACTGCTTAGCCTTCAGGCTAGCGGTGCACCCAGTGACTCTCATACAGGACATCTATCACAGCGGCGCCTGACCAGGAAGTCAGTCGAGAAATAAGATTGTAGTTGTAATCATCCTACAGTAGCTACTCTGCCGGTTTTCTTTAATAATTCTCATTAAAATTTCATGGAGCTGCAGACTTAATAAGAAGCTAATCAGGGGATGAAAGCAGCTGCTGAATAAGGAGTGTGACTCGCCCCAACTTCACAGCTTGCCATTAAGCACCCACCACCCCCACACAATCCCCATACACACTCATACACAGACAATATCCTTCTTTTGCTATGTGGCCACGCAGCTCTGGGTTTTGAGTGTTTTGCGGTGAATAATGAATGGGTCCTACGGGTATGGTGGGCTAAGTCTTTTTTAGTACCGGGGTCCTAAAGTGTGGCCCCAGGCCGTTTGACTTGGCACAGGCTCAACTCTCATCAGCAGCTGCAATAAAGGCCGTGAGCTCCATGTTACAGGCCTGCATCAGTATTCAGCAGGGCTGGAGGGGTCACATCATACACAAGCTTGTACTCACATCAGACAGACGTGTACGCAGCAGAGAGAGAGAGAGAGAAAGAGTGGGCGGTGGAGAGACAGAAAAAAAAGGATTACATGTCCCACCAATAGATCTTTAGGTCATTGTTCCGGTGGCTAAATTGTAAAAGAGCAGAAATCAATACAACGGCAGACATTAGGTGAGGTCCTGCCTCACAGCAGGGGAGCTATTTACATTTTTACACACAGTGAGGTGTTCTGCTATTTGACGATTTCTTCCACTATGGGAACAGCGAAGAAGCAAAGCAGGAAAATTAGCCTAGGCTGATGTTGTAAGAGCGTAACAGTTCATTGCCTCAGCACACACTATTATGCACAACTGCAGTGAGACACGACTCATCCATCCTTGTAACATGATCCCCATGTCATCTGGTGGTGGATACAAATCAGATTCTGATTTCTTTCTCTCGACGAGAAAATAAGTAAAACAATTAATTGGAATTTAATGACAGAAAAGGAGTTTCTAACTACATGTGCATGTAATTTACGTACATGCTCACACAGTGGGTCAATGTTCCCGCCCACAGACCCACTGAGGCGTGGGATTGGTGCAAGCCAAAGGTCGGTGTGAGTGACATCATTAAAATGTGACATCATTAAAGTGTCCTGCCGTGATGGGCAAGCACGGCCTGAGGGGAATCCCAACCAGGGACCTGACTGTGTCTATGTGTGTGTGAGTGTGTGTGTGTGCATGCGTGTGTGTCTATGTGTGTGTGGTCTGAACAGACTGGGCCCATTGAAACATGTGCACTTTGCTCAATTTATGAGGACCAGAGATAGACCCAGACAGCGGCCTGTGTGATCTTTGGCTTCAGACTGGCTTCACACCACTTAGGAGACAAGGATTGAGAGAGTGAGTCGCACACACACACACACACATGCACACGCACGCACACATCTCATTCATGATAGATGAGCTGTGACGGTCAGTCATAAATTAAAGCCATAAAAAATAACAAAAGTAGCCCCTTCTTGTTTGGAAAGCACAGATGGGCAGCAGAGCAGACAGACATGTTTTACACCCTCTGTCTCTGTGACTCTTCGCTTGCTCACTCGCTCTCCTGATCCACTGAATGTGACAGAGTCACACAGTGAAACAGAGTGGAGCTTCAAGACAGAAGATCCCCTCCTGTTTTTCATCTCAGCACACACATCAAACAAAGATATCCATCACGTCCTCCCCCCACTCCTTCACTTCACTTCTCCTGCTCTGAACCAGCAAGTGTGTGTTTAAGAGTGACAGAGAATCATCTGTTAGTGTAGGAGTAAAGTGAATGATGAAGCTCTCCTATGTTTAAATTAAAAACAAAGAGAAAAGCAGACCGAGGACAATCTGCCTGCAAAGCCTCGACTTTGTCTCTTTTCCAACCTGCAGTGGCTTTTGTAACCTGAGCTCATGGTGGCTCTGACCCACCCTGGAGCCACATATACCCTCCAAAAACCTCTCCACACCCCCCATATCCCTCTACCTCTTGTGTACTGTAGATGATTTAATAGAGATGATTATATTTCATGTTTTCTGTCCTGTTTGTTCTATTTTCAAATCTCATGGTGAGTGGGTAGTAAAATATGTTGTGAAAGCTTTCCCTTGTGCTGCAGAGACTATTTTCGTGACTGAAAAACAAGAACACTGACTGTACTCACTCCAAACACCTTATTATCAGTTATTTGCAAGAAACTATCACAAATACCTTTGACCAGACTCTTGTGTGATGTAAAGTTTCAACGTTTAGATCGATTTTATAGGCCCTGTGTCATGCTACATTACAGCATCACATAATAGGGTTGTGTTCAGTCTGTATAAAACTAATCAGTCCAAACGGCTCCACCATAAAGCCCCCGGTAGTTTTATTATCTCTTTGATATCAACACAGCAGTAAACGTCCATAACCGATCTGCATAATCACTGAACTGAGGACCCGAGCTGGTAATGAGATTAATAGAGGCTTTTACCTGTAAATCAATGTTTTATGTTGATCAATGGGCTAAGCAGCTTGCAGAGGACAGGTGCAGCTGATTGGTGGAGCATCGGGGAACTATTAAGCATCAAACAGTTAACAGGCTGATAATCAAGAGGGTGATGTGTGTGGTCAATGAGGAGGAAACACACACACACACACAGGCTGATACACATGTGTAAGAGATGCATTTGTAGCTGTGAAGCAGAGGGAAAAAAGCTTTTGTTTAAAGCTTTGATTATACAGTAAAGATGCACTCAGTTTGTGTGTGTAGAAGAGAGTGAGAGGTCCAGATTTCCTCTGAAAATTGGGGCACCTTCTCTATCCCTGTTCAATTATTTCAACGAGCTCCTCTCCAGTGAGACAAAAAAAATCTGTATCATCATTAATTTATCATTTTTACTGCATCACATGTTCACTGTAGACAATGGGAGAGGTTTTTATTCCACTGCTGCCTGTAATACAGATTAAATCCTCATTCCCTTCGAAAATGATTGTCATCCTGAAATAGCAGGTATGATGGGAAGCCACCTCATCATCCTCTGCCATTGATACCACCAGCCGACATGCGAGAAATGACCAGAATTTTCCTCCTCTACCTCTTGAACATCTCATTTCCTATCTAATGAGATTAAATGTGACTTAATATATATTTATACTGACCTAAAAGCATCACAGGAAAACCTTACGTAAGGATATTTATTTCCAACTAAGGAGGGGTTTAAAGTTAATCAAATTTTCTGTGGCATCTGTCTTGTTCTTGTTTCTTTTTCCTTTGTTATTCCTATACTGTGACTTGTATTTTATCACTGAAATAAGCATCCCTCTCGCTACAGCCTCAGGTTTCTTCCTCCACCTTTTTTTTTCATCAACATCATGGCTTTGAATACCTTCCGTTGCATAGTTGTGGTCGCGAAGGAAGCTGTTGTTGATTTTCCGGGTGTCACTCTCCTCCTCCATTGATGAATCGGCTGCTTCGGGATCCTGAACGCGGCAGACCTGCTCCCATCCTGCCCGGTACCGTCAGCAGGCGGGCTGTGGGACCAGCGGGGGGCCTGTCATGGCTCCAAATCTCCAGTAGAAGCTACACAATCGCGATCAAATACCTGCTACGATGATGATGATGATGATGAGGTCCTGTCCACCCCTCAGGACGTATCCAACCACGCGCTGTCCGCGGCGCAGTGACAGTGCCAAATCCAACAGGGGGTTTAACAGTCCAATTACGCGCGTGTCAGCTCCTCTGGATCCAAAGACATCATCGAGTATCTCCCAAAAATATCAGAAAAGGGTCACATGAAATGTTTTTTCGCAGGTGTCTGAACCTGCAGCAGTAGAAACAGCGCTCTCCGTAAATCTCTTTGGCAGGATTGGAGTTTAGGAAGGCTAGATTTGCCCCCTCCCAGTGCCGGCGGGGCGGGTGGGATTATGCGTCAACAAGCTTGCTCCGATCACTTCAGTGTTTCCGCGTTAGACTCTCCTCAACAGAGCTGTATAGAATCGCATTTCTCTTTCTCGATCCTGCGGTGTTCTCCTCTTCCTCTCTTGTCTTCATTCATTCAGTCACCGGCGCCTGTGATCCCTCAGCTGACTCACTGCGCAGAGCTCTGCTGTAGTTACCCACCGCGCTGCTGCTGCTGCTGCTGCGCTTCAGCAAAGCGGGGCCCCTCCCATACTGCTGCCTGGCTCTTTAAAACAGCACACGAGCAGCAAATGTGACGCTCTCTCGAACCACCAGCAGCAGCAGCACAGACAGGGGGGTTAAACTCTTGTCTGCTCACAGCTTGATGACTTGGTTCGTGCGTCTAAATGTCGACATCTGCTTTATGGCCTAGTAGCAGGTTGCCTCTTAAGCCAGCTAGATCCTGCACCACCATCACCATACCTGCATGCTACTGCAGAGGCATCTATGCGTTTGTGCTTTCCTCTCTGGACCTGTGCTTGGTATGCATACTAGGAAGAGACAGCAGAGGCTTTATAAGTTCTGCTGTAGGATCAACACTTGACAGAGGGGGAAAAGTTCAGATTCAGAGAAATCCAAACTGCAGAGAAGCAGAGATGGGTTGAGATAGATATAAAGAGTGCCTGAAAAGAGGGCAGAAGAAAATGTAGAAAAAAAAAAACCCAGACGCTGATTAATTAGATTAGTAGGGCCGCCGTCTGTGCCTCTTTCAGGAAAGATCTCATTTCCATGCTTGAGTTTAACACACTACCAGCTTTCTACTTCTGGTCAAAGCATAATCTTTGATGAGTGTGTGTTGCATCAGTGTGTGCATCCCTGCCCTTATCTACTCACTTTACTCTAAATCTCCTCAGCTCCACAAAGGGACTGGATATCTCCCCTCTTGCGAGATTTGACACACACACAAATACATGCTCACACACGCACACACACATGCACAGCAGCAATAAAGAGATGGTGGAGCCCCCTCTCCTAAATGCATTAGCTCTCTAATCCATGCGACCATTTGCACACCCAATCCTCTGCTCCTGTACTAATGGGGATCTGGCTGTGAGAGATGCATGCTGTTCATAGCGTAAAGAAAGCAGGGGCCTTCCTACACATGCTATTTTACACCCCATCACCCTCCAACCTTCATCTCCATTGGAATACATTACAGGGCGTTAGCCACGCAGGGGGATAATGAAGGCTGCTGGAGCGGTCGTTGAAGGCCCGTGACTCTCATGCTTTCATATTTACAGTCATCTGCTTCCTTAATGAAATCGGCACGAAAACTCTGCCATCCTTGACCCCGGCTGAGTAGTCAGCGGTGCTTCCAATCTCTATCAATATTTAAACAGGGTCTGTGAGCACAAAAGGAGCACAAAGACTTGGGCTAAGTTACAGCTGAGCAGCAAGACCAAAAAAATGAAATTGAAATGGAATCAGTGAAAGAAACAATGGATTTAGTAGAGTGGAGCAGCATGGATGAGAGATTCAGGTTTGTCAGATTTTGTCAGAGGGTGAGGAGGGGGGCACAGATAGATGAAGGGTAGGTTGGGTACTTAGAGGCACAGAAATATTTGACTGTATAATGAAGGAATAAGTGGAGAATGCTGCTTGGAGCCAGCGCTTGGGATCAATGCAGCACCGCTAATAACATCCACCATCTCTCTGCCTGCCCCTGTCCCAATCCCTGTGCATATATGCCACTCTCCTCTCCCCTTATCCACCCTTTCTCTCCAACTTAGTCAAAATGGGTCCAGTGAGAAGCATCTCAGCAGCTTTTTTTTTTTTTTTCTCCTGTCTTCGTCCGTTCAGTCACAGCAGATGGCTGTGCATCAATGAGTCTGGTTCTGATCAAGGTTTCTGCCTGTCAAAAGGATTTTTATTTAAACTGAGCCATATTCATTCTCATGGTGGATTTGTGTTACCAGAGTTACCAGAGTTAATTTCTAATGTGGCGTGGGGCTGTACAAATAAAAACTGAGTTTGTTGATTTGGGGGCAGCAGCCCTCATTGGCTCTCAAATAGAAGCAGTCTGAAACCTAAAATTGGATTCCAGGTCTATACACATATTTTCCAGACCTCTCGTCAACACGCCTCAAGTTTCTGCCCCCTCACGGAAATTTAACGCTCCACACTTCTACCTCCAGCCTCTTTTCTCCTCTGCTTCCTCACTTCTCTTGCTCATTACTCCCCATCTCCCACTCAGCTGGGTAAGAGACCTGTGACAGCGTGTCTACAAACCCAGCTGCTGTGTGTCAGACTTGTAGGATATGCTCGGGGGGCCCCGGGAATTGCAGAGCGTGTCCTCAATTCTCCTCGAACGTACGGACAAAGTGGGTTAAATTAGGCCCGAGCAGCCCAAACATAGGGACACAATCACACAGCGATGATATTTTAGTCATGCCCAATTGCTTTCCTTGATGTGTGGTAATTGTTTGACCCAGGGAGGCCGGCGTGAGGCTACAGGCGGCAGAGACACTGTCTGCATACCAAGCACCATACATGCACATACATGTACACAGAGGTATAGATTCATGGCTGCACCACCAGCTCCACAGTACAATCATACACCTTTAGTAGAGTTCCTCCATATCTTGTGATTGCAATCACTGCTGCCTTGATCAATAGAAAACATCTAACATAAATAGGGGGAAATATTGATTATTTTGATGCAGTTAATCTAACAAATATCAGCTTAAGATAAATCAATGCAAACTGGATTTAAGACTCATATTGATTATCATATTTCGAGACTGAATAGGTATGAATAATGGAACAGCTTGAAGTGGAAATTTATAATTGTGCAAAAAAAATTGGATTAACTTTCAGACAGCAATTAATTTATTGTTTGCCTTCAAAACAGTTCAAAACCTACATCTGTAGCACTTAAATCAAACTGAAATAGAAAATCAGGACAAAAAACCATGAAATGATACCAAATACCTCTAGACAAAATAATTTCCACCATGACTGGCTCTCCAAAATATCTGCTCTGAATAAAATAATACCCCCTACATCCCCCTGTAGCATCTACATTAATTATCTTCTAGAAGGGGTCACCCTCAAACTAATGGAGGAAATCTTTAAAGTCACATATCGGTGTAACAAAAACATCCACACAGCCATAAAATCACTTTAATTATCATATAAACAAGCACTTAAAACCTTAGACAAAGAGTTACTGTTACTGAGATATCTTTAAGAAATATAGTCTGCTTAGCTGAAAGAACAACCTTTAGTGCAGAAATATTAATCTAATTAACAGGATTTTTCATGCTTAAGCTCTCCCACAGTCTAGTTTGATCAATTTCATAATTGCCACAAATAGGTTCAGCTAAGGGGGACCAGAGGACAGGACAGGAGTTAGCGTTGGAGTTCATGCAGATATCTGTTTATGTTTGTTTACATTATCTGAAGTTTAATAGTAGTCAGTTCACTGCCATCAAATCTCTGCTAATATGATGCATTTTTGCTCTAAGAACAACTGCTTAACCTGTTTACTGTCATTGCTGGCAAGTTGTGTATTTACTCCGACTGCTTTGTCATCTACCTACCATTAAATGTTTTTAAAAAGGTGTAGAAGACACATCTGGGCATTACCAAAGTCATTCATTGTTCTGGGCAGGAAGATAATCTCAGTATTTTTTTGTAGCATATAGTTTGGTTAGTACTTCAACAAAGCCAGCATGGTTGCCTCATGGTGCAGCCAGTAGAGAAGTCTGTTAAAATGCCTCTTTTTTCTGTCAAACATGACTTATTGTGCAACATTTTGATGGTAATCCATTCAATAATAGAGCGAAAACATTTCAGTCTGGACAAAAATGTTGTGTGGCCCAATTGTCCAACATTGCTTCCCCTGAGCCTCACCACTTAGGGGATTCAAAATATATATTATTATTAAACTAGATTTGATTTCCCACTATAATGTGCAGTGGTGGTTTTAAAGGAATAACCACCAAAATTAAATGAAAAAGTAACAGTAAACACACGTGTACTAGCTCATAGCATGGAGACAAAGTTTAATACAATGGAGTTACATTTTAATGGGCACAACTATACCTGATACAAAAAAAAAGTACGCCTAATAGTGCATCCTGGAGCAGTCTTTTACTTTGGATTACCTAACGTCTCAGTCAGGCATGATGTGCATCAGTGTTTCCAGTATCGTGAGCCTAAAGGGTTAAACGTCATGACCGGACTTCACCAAAACATCCTTTTGAACTTTGCCCAAGAAAGCTTTTCCTACTGTTTGAATTTAATACAGTGAAGCTTTTTTTTTATAATACAGTACTAGCTGTTACAACGATTACTACCAAATTACTCAACATTATTTTTGCTGGCGTCAGTCTCCTTCGTGTTTATAAACAAATCAGGATAATTATCATGCAGTAGCCTGAGCTTCTCTCTCCAAACATTCATTGTCTTCCATTAGCCATGCATCCCACTCCAGTATTAAGAGCAGCTAAACACATGGGGGGTAATAGGATTGCCCTGGTAGTCCATCTGTCAGAGGACTGAGCAGCAGCAAACCACGGAGACACAGCTCCCTGGCCTGGATACACCTGCTTAGTCTGCCCTGTCTATGCTCTTAGACATTTAAGTGTTTTAACATAACATCTGTGAGAATACAGCACGTTATAAGTGTGTAAATGCCACAAAGAGTGAGTAGAAGAACGCCAGAATAATTCAAGCACTGTTAGAAAACTTGACTTCCTTTTTTAACCTCCTGGCTTAGAATGTAATAAAAAAGCAGCTTCTGCTCTGTTAATAGAGTACAGATGGAGATACATGTCTGTGGCTGGTGGTGAGTGGGTGAAGCGTGATGCAGGGTGGGGGAGGAAAACGCAGGAGAGCCTGGGCGAGTGAATGAAAAAAGATAAAAAGATGAATGTATAGTTTTGGTAGGGGGCATTAAATCAAGCCTAGAGGCTGTCCCTAAATCAGCCAGCTTTACTCTTGGTGTCATTCCAATTACATCGAGAAGAGACTAATGCTCCATTGCTCCGAGACTTCAGACCAGCAGGATTGGATTTTCTGTTTCCCCCCTTGACTCTCCTTTCCCCTCCCCCAACCATCCAGCCCACCCCTCCCTCTAGCTCCCCTGATAATGTATTAATTGAAAAGAATGCATGTACAGTGATTAGCTCAGGATGGTGCGTTTTGGGTGAAAATTAATCAAGCGAAACTATTATAATTATTATTTTTTTTGTTTTGTATTTTTGCAGAAATGCAGTTTTTCTAAGGGGTTGGCTCAAGGCTGAACAGATGCACACATAACCCATAAGCAAACTTAAAAACACGCATACACACACTCATACACACCTGCATTTTTAAGTTTTTAGTCCTGAATTAAAAAGATTTAAGCCGGGAAGTGCAAAACATGTTTGCCTGAAGGTGAAAAAGCATGCACACGCTGCAGATTTAAATTTGTTTTCTGAACATACACTCTGGTCTTGCTGGGAGAAAATGACGCCACTTAACAGAAAATCATTGCATTGTACCTCTCTGGTTGCTAGGAAACAGCAATTGAACTGGCATTGCAATGCAGCACAACAGCTGTCTACATAATTGGACAATTAAGATCTTAAAATGTCATTATTTTGCTCATATTCATCTCAATAATGGTTCAGGCGCGTCCCAACACGTTCTCTACCAGTTGGGTTAATGGGCCGAACATGAGGAGTTCATGTTGGGAGTGACGCTGGATTTCATTAAGGGAAATGATCAGTGATGCATTGAGGGTGAGGAAACAAGTCAAACAACAAGGCATGGCAGCATTTGATTTACTAGAAAACCATGGATGAACACAGTGTGTGTTGTTAAGTCCTCTATATATATCCTACAGCACTTTCCTCTGTGCGGACAGATGACAGAGCGGCGAGTAGAAAGTAGGTTAAGCAGGTTAGCGAGTGACTACAAAGCCACCTCCCCACACATGAGCGAAGAGCCATGCATGCACGGCTTATGCTCAGTACCACGGACAGCTCCTCACAGAGCAGACGCTGAGGCAAACAAAAAAAAAACCCAAACATCTCTGGGATGGGTTACAGAGAAAATTCACCCTTAGAGGGGACAGTCAGATCTGGTTATTTAACTCAGCTATGAAAAAAAAAAAGTGACTCAGAGAGAAAATTTGTAATGATGGTGTCATCTAGTGACCAACCATGGAGCTGCTTCATACACCAATGATGAATCATTACATGAACATTAAATCAACAGAAGCCAAGACTGTTTTATTGCAATGTACAGACTGATCATTAAAAGCTAAATAAATACAAGAAATTTAAGACTAAATGTTGGTGCAGTTTTGTATGAGGATTCTGTGTGGTCCAGAATCAGCTGCAAGTTTAAGAACATTATTAATCAACCCTGTGTTACAAGCGTAACTTAAACTTGTTTTACATATGGACTCAGGATAAAGAATTGAACACATTGAAAGTTTAACTGGCTAAAAAAGGGCTGAGGTAAAAAAGAAGTGATCACTCACATTTTGACAGATACAGGGAACTATATTGTTTGGAAATCATCATACTGGTACAGCAGGAGTAGTCAAAATTAGTAGACCTCACCCTGTACAAACTATGAACGTTAATCAAAAAATGTTAAACCCTAGAAGGTATTTGCAGAGGTAATTTTTTAAAGGTAAAAAAACACCTCCATCTTTTTTATATGAAAGTCAGGGGATCTTTGAGAGTTCATCATCTGGGTCCCATGAAAATCTGAACCAATTTACAGACATCAATCACACTGCCATCTCTCTTGCTATCTCTAGAGCAGGAGTGGGCAATCATGTGCCATGGAGGGCCGAGAGGCTGCAGGTTTTCTTTCCAACCCAAAACTCCACCAGGTGATTTCACTGATTACCTTACCTCCAAGCAGAGAGCAGGAACTAATCAGTGAAATCACCTGGTGGAGTTTTGGGCTGGAAAGAAAACCTGCAGCCTCTCGGCCCTCCATGGCACATGATTGCCCACCCCTGCTTTAGAGCCAGGATGCTAGCACAAGTATCAAAATGTCACTGGTTCAAGCTTGTTTACTGTAAATGGTTCCGGGTGTTCATAATCTTTGAAGATAATAAACTGACTCTGTGTCCAAGACTGTTGATCTTAGAAAACATAAGATATTTACACTGGTGCACTGACGCTAGAACTGTGTATGTTTTTCATGTTTTGAAGTCTAAAAGTCATAGTATGTCAGGGACTTATAGTTACATGGCCCTGTGCATCACTGTTTAAAGGCTCTCGCTGTATTCAGAAAATAAACAGTCACACAAGAGCCGCAGCAGTGTGGAAAAACGCCTGACCCCACATCTGAACCCACTCCCTCCCTTTTTCTTGTTCAGTATGCCAGAGAGACTTGAGTCATGATCCAACCAGCCCCATGTGACAGCAGAACATGTTCTCTGTGCATCTCGGCTCAAGACCCCAACAACACACACACCCTTTAAGACGCACACTCCGAAGAGACACAGCTTTATTACAATAGTCCTCACACGCACTCAGTCAACAACAAAGACAAACACATGCAAGCGTGTCACACTTAGAGGCTGTAATCTCCAGGAAAATCCCATTTGGCAGAGCAGCTGCCAGCGTGGATCACAGATAGTCTGTAGTCGTGGTGCCCACAGGGTGGCAAGCTGTCCATTTTATCAACTACACAAAAACACACACAAAAACACACACATTTCAAGACGAGCTTAAGGTGGGATCAGGCCCCACCACTGCGCTGACAAATTCATGCCACTTGTTTTAATAGAAACATGTCAATTGGCTTGCCCGGTCAGTTTCTCATTTGAACAGGGATTAATTTTTATTGCTCACTGTATTGATCTGTCAGGAGGGATTTCTGTGGCAGAGCAGCCTCAGGGTTTCGCCGTTTCTGACGCACAAGTGTGAGGAGACAGGCTGGCAAAAATGGACTGTCCATCTGTCTGTTTATCATGCTGGATGTCTGTCAAGAACAGTTTCCTCAGCTAATTTGAAATGATGTAAGGGGTATAGGAAACTTATATTCCTTATAAACCTTTAAAAGTCTTGAGTGATCAAACACCTTTGTAAATGTACATCATAAAGTGTGCAAATGATAAAAATTCTATCTATCTATCTATCTATCTATCTATCTATCTATCTATCTATCTATCTATCTATCTATCTATCTATCTATCATGACAGTTTTGTAGTATGTATACACTGTCTATATACACTAAATTGAGCCTGTGAACATGAGTGATCTGCCTTCAGCATTAACAGAGCTGATCTTAGAGCACCATCAACTGGCGAAGGGAAGTATTACATCATTTAACCTGCTAAATATATCTGCAAACTGCAGAACATTTATCAAATACACACCATAGTATATTAGCTACTTGTGTGTGTCCTAGTGATGTTTGCATGGGCCAGTTGTCATCCCAAATATCTGCATCCTTGTGAACCAGTGTGTGTTTGTTATTGTATAATAGGGAGAGTATGATCTTTCATACCAAATATGGGAATAGTTTTGGGTACAGAAGGTTTAATCCTTTGTACACATTCTTGCAGAGGCATACACAATTGAATCTACATTTAGGACAAACTGCAAGAGTTCCTGTTTTTGTTGGAATAAGATAAAATTAAACTGAATGGCTGGGTATTGTTTGGATAGACAAAAAAAAACTCCAGGGAATAAAACATTTAAAGACAGAGTAGAACTAAAATATCGTGGCCTTATGAGGCAGTAAACAAATAAATATCTGTGAGCAAAAAATAAAGTATAATTCAATAAATTGCATGTTACACATAAGATACACACACAAAAAAAGACAAAAAAGTTTTTTAGTCACTGAAGAGTTTGGACAAGGACATGCAATGTATGAAGCTGAGTTAAAAACAACAACAACCCTGAAACAAAATGATTTTCATTTTAATGATCAGATATCAGATCTTTTACTTTTCCTGTGGGTGACCCCTCACCTCATGGGACCAGCTGTTACTCAACAAAATGTAGTCATGTGAAAGGCTGGTACCCTAAAACAAGCATGAAGGCACCATCAGCAAACTTTAAGGCAGAAATCTAGCTACATTTCAGTTTTTAAAAACTGTTAAGACAGAGATGAACTAGACAAAAGCAAAACAATTTGCAAGATTTGCAAGCTCATGGTAAAACAATGTAAAACAATCACTTTGAAGGTCCTTTGTACAATCAACAGCATTGATCTTCTGAGGATATCTTTCATATCAAAACAAAATCAATGTTGTTACTCAAATATCCCTAAAATCGATAAAGACATGGACTAAATTGGAACCTTGTGGATTGGAAAACAGCCAATGCAAGTCCTTGAGAAATCTGGCTGATAGATCAAGAGTAAAAAGAAACCCCTCTGTGACAAAAACTCATCCCTAACTCTGCAATAAGCACAAAGGAGTTAGTGTGCAAAAGACAGCAGCTTTGAAAGATTTCAGACAGCAGACGCCTCATTCGGGCTTTCACTAAACTTTAGGAAAAAGCTTATTGAGCCTAAATCATTACACCCATCGCTTACACTGGAACTGACTTTAAAAAAGGAATCACTTTGTGGTTGCATGGACTGGGGATAAAGACAGCAATCCTCTTGAAGCTCTGTATTTTCTCTTTCAGTTCCCCACATATCCTGCCAGCTGCATAAAATGCACCAAAGCAAATAACTCTCCTGTGGTTAAAACAATAAGTGTGTGAAGTTCAGCGTTTGGGAAAAGGAGGGAAAATTCTCAAACCCTTTAAATATCCTGGAGAAAAATAAACAGAATATGAATATGTAATGTCATACAGTCATAAACAAACATCTACTGTAATACAGTGTCTGCTCTATGGTATTTGTTTACTGGGTAAATGTCTCTGAGACTAAGGTATTTTTTATTCCTGTGCATGTGTGTGTGTGCGTGCATGTGTGGGTGCGTGCACTCTCCTGGGTGTGTGTGAGTCTCAGTTCAGATTTCAATCCATACGGGAAGCTTTTTTTTCTGCATCCTTCGTCCGTCTTTGGCTATCAGCTCATACATGAAGGATTACAAAGGGATGACTTGAAGATGATGTCCTCTATTTTTGTATCACATTTTTGCATTCGCCCCGAGTGAGCATGTTAGATGTGCTTTCCCTGAATGTGATGTGACTGCATCAATATGGGATCCATAATTTGGCCACTGATGGTCTAAGACGCCTAAGCAGAACTAATGACTCTGGCAACACTGAGACCACAACCTGCCAGCTGAGGGCCTGCAGAGAGATCTGAGCACCCACATCTCGTCCTCTCACTCAGAGGACGAGATGTGGGAGCGGCTCTGTGATCTGAAGTGTTTTCCACAGATGTATGAGGTCATGCACGTGGGCATAAAAACACACATTTCTGGGAAGAGTGGTGTTAAGGGGCCGCCCATCTCCTCAGTCAGAGGAGCCGCTGGAGCGGGAGCGGGAGCGGGAGGGGGGAGTCGACCTGAGAGTTTCTGCTCTACAGACACGCTTCACTGATGATACAGAGAGCCGGCAGACTGAGGGGATGCTTCTACTTGAAGGAGACATTTCCACCTTGCTAAGACTCTCCCTATGGTGCAAATCCTGCTCCTGGAAGCATACCACACTAAAAGCTTTTACATAACAACTTTTTTTTGTGTGTCTTTGATGCTTTTTATTCATTGTTACCTCTCTTTGAATGTAAAATGTAAGAAGTCTGAATTGTTACATCACACATGCATGTACAAAAATCTCCCAGTGAATGATTTTAGTTTGGGGTAAACAGTAAACAGCCTCTTTGCCAGGACAGCTTGGCCAAGCTGCACACACCGTCAATACTAATGACATCAGGATACAAAGTATCGCTATGGAAACGAGGAGGCCCTGGCCCTATCCCACATCCGCCTGTACAACCGGAAAGAGTGGAGAAAAGGTCTGACAGGGGAGGAGAAAGAGGAGAGTGAAGGTAGGAGGAATATAAGAAGAAAAGAGGCAGTGAATGAGAGTCAGAGAGATAAAGAGGGGGGGAGAAAAGGGGTGAGCCAAGACGTCAGAGAGATAGAAAAAGGGGGTGAGTTGGGGGGTGGAGGCATTGGTTGGTTGACGCTGGTTTGAAGCCAGAGTTAGTGTGCTCAGTATGAACACAGGCAGAGCAGTGTGCCGCAGCCAAGCCTTAGATTCAACTCTGCCGGAAAGGAGCTTCTTTTTATCCCCCCAAAATCTGCACTCTCATCTTCTCTCTTCTCCCCTCCTCCCGCCTCCATCACCCCATCCATCACCCGCTCTGTTCTACTGCCTGACCGCCTCTCTTAGACTCAGCAACACTTTCAAACAGGCCAGATGGGCACAATGAAATACACCCCACTGTCCGCAGCAAGCTGAGGCTCACAGTCATGTCACTTCTCTATTAAGTTAATTTATTTCTAAGCACTTCTGTCAAAGAGTGAGCAACAAAACCAGTTTAGAAAGAAATTCAACTTAATACAGCTCAGGATAGATTAGTCTGTGCGTGTCGGATTGTGGTCCCGAAAAAAAAAAACATTTACTGTAAGTCATTCCAGGTATTAAATTGGCTGCTGTTGAGTATCCTTATTTAGCCTTTTGTACTTTATCACACAACAGGCCTCCGGTTACGTTTTGTGCAAGCTGGGTCACAGAGCCATTTGGTCAGATCAATGTGAACCAATCAGGGAGAACCAGAGCTTAGAGCACTCTGAACAAAGCTCATTTTTATACACCAGAATGGAAAAAAGCTTATCCACACTGTGAGCTAAAGTGATACTGTGACTGCTAAGTTGAAGGTTAATGCCAGGTTGATTTTTGAAACAAGCTGTTGTTGTGCTGACAAACAACAAATTGCCGGACTGCACTGTCCAGTTTTTGTGTAGCTGTGCATGATCTCACAGTGGAGGCTGATTTTTCATCTTAATGTTGGATGCTGAAATGTCAAAAGAAGTTATGGATGACAGAGAACAGATGATGACACTTTTATTGTATAAAACAGATTCGCTCATTCCCTATAAATACAGGCCACATGAACTGTGAGTTTGAAAACGTGCCCCCATGAGAGATTTTTCAGTCCTGTTTGATTTCATTTGACGAAGACAGTGACTTAAATCTTCCTCAACCTCTGACTGAAATCACGAGTCTCTGTCTCTTAAGCTCGCCATTGAATATGTTGAGCAAATGAGATAACAAGTGCTGATCCCTCCGAGTCTTATTAAGTCACGTCTGTATAATCCCACTGGAGGAGAGGAGAGAGAAAAGAGGGGGTTTCTGGAGGATGTTAACAAAATCAGGAGAGGGATTTTAAATTTAGTTACGCTCCAGGGAGACAAAGATGGTCAGCAGGAATTTCTGCCCGATCTGATAGTTTTACAGAGTGCTTAAACAAATGCTAAACGAAGTAAAAGATTTCGCACCTTTCTCTGTGAAAGGGAGCAAACATTCAAACAATGATAATCAATGAAATTGAATGTCTTTAGCCTGCAGTGAAATAGTCAGGGACTGCAGGCAAACAATGTTAAATTGGTTTGCTGAGTGTTGCTAAAACAAAGCTACCAAGGCCAGCCTCCAGTACTTATTGCATGTTCATGCCGCGGTTCATGTGTCTGTGTTACATATCTCTGCAAAAATACTGCCAATCTGTGCAAAATTACAAGACCCCATATGTTGTTCCCTTTACATTCAGGTAGTAAAAGCAATACAGCCGTAGTCATGAATGAGAGATACAGCCCCAGCAAGGTGAATGCCCTTAAGACAGTAAACTACTGAAATATTGGGCCTATAATTATAACATGTTGATAATTAGCCTGACCAAATAGCAATTCAGATGCCAAACAAGTGAGGATGGAGATGACTGTTTAGTCAGATAAATGTGTACAGCTGGAGATGTCTGATGTCGTATTTTTATCTTCATCTTTAAGAATAAGAATAACTTTATTGATCCCCAAAGGGAAATTCAATTGTCTGTTGTCTCACATAATATGTCTCTAAAAGTTATCTACTATTAACACAAGAGTTATAAAGTTTGATGGCTGTTGGTACAAAAGATCTTCTGAATCTTTCTGTCCTGCAGCAAAGAGAGAGGAGCCGTCCACCATCATTGGCCCTTTGGTCCATCAAGTTGTAGTGAAATGGGTGATCCATGTTCTTTAGAATAGTCTCCACCTTCCTCAGTGTAGATCTCTCCACCACATCCTCCACTGAGTCCAACTTGAGTCCTACCACAGAGACAGTCTTTTTCACCAGTTTGATATGACGTCTCTCACGGTTTTCATTTTTTACCTTTGCAGGTTGTTAAATCAAACACGAATGATTTGTATACAAATTTATTACGTTCAGCTTTTGTAGTACGGGTGTAGGCATCCAGTCCAAGAGCAAGAGTTCCACCATTTGTCTTTCTGGTTAACGGGCCTGTACTGGTGCTGTCCTCTTAGTTTCAAGTGTAAAAGGCAACCAAGGAAGTAATTAAGCCAAGCAGAGGACAGGGGCAAACCACTGTAATATAAAACTAAATATCTTGAAACATCTTTTCTTTCATGAAAGAAGCCACCACCCATCCTTCTCCAACACCAGGTCAAATAAAATCAACTGCACAAGTGAATTACATGTAAAGTCAATGTAAAGACATGATTTGATGCAAGTTCTCACTGGGCGACCCAAGTGATGTTTCGTAAACTGCCTGAATTTAAGTGGGAATTGCACAAATAAAGTGAATGATGCAAACTTTGAAGTGTGGGTTCATTTATCTGAAAAATGGAGGACAATCTGATCTTGCTGGTGTGCAGCTGCGAAGAGTTATACAATAGGACTTTTTTTTTTCAATCCAAACAGAAATAAGAAGGAGTTGGCACAGTGTAAAATGAGTGAGGAGGTCAGATTATCTGGTGAAGTGTGCAAAAACAACAAATACTCACTGTTTACTCAACCTTAACTGTGTCAGATACAAAAAAACTGAAATGGCACATATTGAAACCCCTCCACTCTCGCATCAATGTATGCGTTTAGTCACTGGTGTAGAAGTTATATGCATGTGAATAGAGCAAGTTATTCATGCAAATTAAGCAAGTAAACACTAAACATTCAGGCATCCAAAATGTGCCAATAAAGCATGTAAAGGTTTTTTTTAAAGCACAACACTACAGTCATGAACAGACACATACAGTGGGTCTGCTACACAACAATCTTTATTGTGGAAATATGAGGCCAACTGCTAAAATCTGCTTTAACTGGAGTGTTCGCTTAAGGCTGGCTGCAAGACCTTGGAAATCCCATATACACCCGTGTTAAAAATGACAAATTTTACAGCAAACTTAATTGCATTTGCAGTTGCGTAAAAAATCTGTTTTTGTACACATTACATGGAGTTGTTTTTTTTTTTTTCTTTTAGCTCGTTTGGAAGATATTTGGACGATGGGCCCTGTTTAAACAATCTAAGGTAAAAAGTAAATGAGAGTGACCATATTATTCTAGGTTATAGTATCCTAGCAGCTGCAGCACAATTGTAGGAAGTTAAAGGAAGTTGAACTACAAAATAAGTTTCACGTGCTAGGATAGCAACACCACAAACTCACCAACGTCACATCCACTTTGCCATTGTTGAGATAAACTATGGAGTACAGCAAGCTTATGTCAGCAAACCAGAAAGTCATTATATCAACATTAACACTAAGTAAGGAATACTAATTTCAAACCTGTGCACCTGATTGCACCTCATTTTGTGACCAACACACCCACAAGCACTAAAGTCAGCATAAGTAATTACATAGCATGGGCGGTGGGCATTAAAATGACAGTGTACCATAAAAAAAGGACACTAGTGCTGAGTCAAGGGAGGAGAAAATAAGAGGGGACAGCTTCCAGTATCCTGCTACAAATAGATTTTCCCAAGCAACTTTTGTGTTGGTAGGTTAAATCTAAAAGAAATATTTGTTCTAACAATCCACTTTAAACTTGCAGAGGTCTTAGGAGCAGCTGCTAATGTTAGTCAGACTGAATCTAGTTCCATCTGTTCACTGTTAGATCTTTGATGAGTTACACCAGGCTTCGTGATCACATAAGTAGTTTTTTTCTGAACTTGTAGCCATGAGCATGCTCTCTCTCTCACTCGCAGTCACTCACTCTCTGATTCAGTCATTTAAATTGCCAATTAATCACATTCAGCCCTATCTCTGAGTTCATCAGAATGACTGTGTACTCCAAGAGACACTTCAGAGTTTGGGGGAGGAAAACTGAAGCGAGAAGAAGTAGAAAAGCTCTGGTATGCCATTGGACTCAACAGTAAGTATTTTGAATATGAACTGATCATCAGCAGGTGGAGTAAGACCCTTAACTACTGTGTAGGCTGCAGGAACTGATAAAGAGAAAACAACAAACATGTAAGCCATTGAAACAACTTGATATTTTAACAAATGTTTTCTTGCTAGTCCGGTGCTTAAGTATCTTCTGAGGATTCAGTCATAATAAATCAGTGATTCCTACTTGCAATTGTTGTTTTCAGATGTGAAACAAACCTTCATTTAGAGAAGGTCATCTGGCTGTCATTGAGGGTTTGTGAGTTCGTCAAAATAAAACGATGGAAATGATTCATTCAGTTCAGTCTGACTTTGTGAAATGAAACAAAAGCCCACTGATCCTGGTAATTTGTTGAGTAATTCATAATTCCCTTGGGAGGAAGGCAGAGTGCAGTTGAGGCTAATGAAGCTGAAGCAGACTGGATCAGTCCGATGGTTTCATTGAACTTATCAAGCATAAAATGACCATTTGAATAATGAACACTTTCAACTTGCAAGAATGGGGGATTTGTGCTCATGGAGACTCCACAACAAAACAACATAGTGCTTAGAAACTCCCAAGAGCGCAGGAAACAGAGTCTGACTCTCAATATTTCCTAGCAGACCCCTAAAAACCTCATTTAATATGTTTACCTGACAGTGTTGAAATGAAACCTTTGCCCTTGAGAGCAGGGATTTGAATAATTAGACTGTTTTCTGTAGCCTCTGGGCATCCAACCATCCAAGCTGTCCTCCCATCATATGTTAGAGCCAACTCCATTATAACATGCAAAGGCTGCCCCACTTTAATAAAGGAAACAGAGGTCATTGAGAAATAACATAAAAAAAAAGATGCCAACAATGATATCAAAGACCTCTTTTAACAGCCATGAAAACAAGCATCATTACAGTGATGTGAGACCTAAAACCAGGACTCAGACTCCAGTCTAGTCAAGTGAGGACTAATTCAAGGCCTCATTTCCAAGACTTCCAAGACTAATCTTGGACTTAGGCATCGACTTTATTCAGACTCAAAAGTTGGAGAGGACATGGGCTTACTCATTGATGGAGACTGTTTGTGTTTATTTTAATCAGTTTATTCAGATTGGAGTGACGGCTGGCTTATGTGTCCACCTGCATGTGTGTTCACATGCTGTCGCGTTGTATAACAGTTCCTGCCGGGATGCCTAAAGAGGTGCCATCATGGACTCGTGAGTTTTGCCTTCAAAAGCAAGAGCAGGGAAACATGTCTGATGTGGAAAAAATGCTGAAAAGAAGACAGGGGCAACATCCATCTATCATCCTGACTGCTTTTTCCCTACTAAGTCACAGGGGGGCTGGAGCCTATCCCGGCTGTCATTAGGCAAGAGGAGGGGTACACCCTGGACTGGTTGCCAGATTATCACAGGACTGACATTTAAAGACAGACAAACCATTCATGCTCAGACTCACACCTACGTGCAATTTAGAGTGACCAATTAACCTGACAGGCATGTTTTTTGGACTGTGGGAGGAAGCTGGAGCGAAGCCACACATGCATGAGAACTGGACTACATGAGATGAACCAGGAATTAAAATTACCAACTTGTTGCAAAACAAAACATGCTTTCAGCCCCGGCAGTAAATTCTTATTATACTGATTTATATGCAGTTGTTGAAATTTAGTTTAAAATAGTTAAAGTATTGCAATATTTTGTCTTGTGATATATCATATTGTCTCATTTACAAAGTATCATTTTTTTTTCAAATTAATTGCTAATATGAAGTTAAATCTAATGGAAAAATAAAATCAATTGTTTGTCCAGTGAGATTGGCATTTGTGATATCATTGAACAGGAGAAAGTTAGTACAACAAATATATATGTTTGTTGTTTGTATTGTTGTTTGTTTGTATTTTATTTTCATGTTGCACATCTTGTAAACCTTATAAATATATATATGTATATATATATATATATATATATATATATATATATATATATATATATGAAAGGTTTGCAAGATGTGCAACATAAAAATAAAATACAGCGTTAATAAGACAAACATAAAAGAAATCCAAATGCTAAATTAGCTGAAGAACTAAAAAAAATATATATTAATTGCAATATATTGTATCGCAATACTCACTGTATTTCAAAATGTTAAAAATTTCAATAAAATCGTATCATGGGGCAACTAGTGATTCCCACCCCCAGAATGTGACATGACGGGAGTTTTAACACTTTCCATAGTTATTAAGTGTCTGCTGTGTCTGTGCCTAGACCTGAGAGATCTTTGGTGTTTCCTTGCTGAAAAAATGTGTGCTTTGGTTAAAGGAAGGGTGTGACGTCAATCCTGCAGTTCAGCCTGCAGATTTCCCCGGAGCATGACTGAACATGGTGTCTGTCATTGTTTGACAGTTTCTACACAAAAACAGCGTTAGCAATAACATTATGGTTGGAGTACCAAAAGGAACAAGCTGATATTCAGAAAGTTAGTCCACACTGAATAGAACATGGGATGATACAGCTGTACAACTGCTGATAAGACTCTGTATTAAATCTTTTATTTGGCACTCTCTGAATCATACAAGTAGTTTTGACACTATTGTACTGGCCTAAATAGGAATGGATGATGACTAATCACACGTGATGGAAATTTCACCAGTTTTCTCCTCTGCATAACAACTACAGTTATAAATATAGTGTGTCTGCCAGTGTGAATACGACATTTAAACTTAGCAGATGCTGTTTATCACATACTGCTAGTGCCAAAAGCCTGAAACTAGAGACACATTAAAATATAAAAAGAAATAAGCAGACCCAGACAGACGGTGCGACGGTTTTCTGATTTATGACTCATCATGTGACATCATGTAGCACCCAACCATTCAGAGAATTGTGCGTGTTTTTTATTCTCTGTGTTTCTGTGGGTATGTGTGTGTTAGCAGGGGTGGGGTCGTAGAGCAGTGCAGAGGAATACAGACAGAAAGGAGAGACAGACTGGTACTGCATGTACTGCTGCCTAATACAGTAGCATTAAGCTACATTATTTATCTGGTGCTATGTCTCCTGTGTAGAACAGCATTCAGGCTGAACAGTAAAAGCCTTCACCACAGTATGACTCCAGTTGTGATGTAGTGTCTACCTCTCTAGTTATTGTACACACCTCTCTGCTCTGTCCGTGGTGCTGACTGACAGAAAACACAACAAACATTTTTCTATCTATAGCCATCTCCATTCTAGACAATGTTTTGGTTTGATCCCTGATCCATATCGACCGTTTTTCTCAGGTTATTCTGTACAAACGGGAGTGTATGACTCTGCAACAATAGGGGGCTATTTTCAGAGGGATATTGAAAAACTGTGCTGGGAAACTGTAAAGGGCAACTAGAGGCGGATCTAATTGGATCATGGCCATCGCTTCTGTTGGTGCGGTTGGTTTCCTTCTGAGATAAACTTGCAGCAACGTCTCTGACTGTATCTCCACTTCCCACCAAGTCGATGGCATTGTCTTTCATATCTAGTCCCAACCAGTGAGTGTGGTTTTAGCGAAAGTTATGTAACTATTAAAGTGTTTGTGTTTCATTTTTATGATCCTACACAGACATAATAGGTGTGACCCTGGCAAAGGAAATTAAATTAAGAACCGCCTCCCCTATTCCTTTCAGAAAACTTGAGTCAGCACATTTGGGCCTGAGCTCGTTTGTCTAAGGCCTCCTGGGAAATATTCACAACAACACACCTCTCCAGGGAACACTAAGGTCAGCCATAGCAGGCGCTCTATGAGATCAGAGAGGGAAAGAAACATCTGGTGCCTTAAGCCTGTTTGCCTTTCCACCCATAATCTTATTCAATTACCCCTGATTCATCCCAGGAGATTCAACCAGGTTTCCGTGTTCTTAATCATAACGCTAACTAGCCCCGGCACAATGTGAGGAAACTCGGTGATATCACACTTCCTGTTCCTTTTCGCTGGCCCACATGTTTCGTACGGCATCTTGTGTTCTTGTTCAGCCAGCAGTCTTCTTCAACTGCTCTAACCTCTCTCAGCATTACAACCGAACGAAGAGCAGTCCATGTAGGAAGGGTAGCTGACGGCTAGTTAGGGCTCTAAGTGATTGACTGAATAATGATACAGATAGTCTTCTCTTTCAGGGAACCAGTTGGCCCATTCAGATCCTTGACCGGTAAGACGCCGTCTACCTCCTTGCTGGGTGAAGCCACCTCGAGAACAGCACCCTCTGCAGTATAGGTCATAAATCCCGCCTCCTCCAGCCATCCCTATGGAACTGTGGACAAACTTTAGAGATTTATGACACAGAATATAAATGTTTCTTCCCCTGGTTGCGATGTTGACATGTAGTTACTATAAGACTGGTTTGTGCTCAAGTCCTCTTTTTTCTGTATAGCTCCATTTTAAAAGTTATTAGGGGGTTCATGTTTTCTTTGATTGACACCTGATACAGCCTATGGGTGTACGAAGATTGCACAGGGGGATACGCTGTTTGAGCCAAGCGTCATCAGAACGACTCTCTGTGACTCTCCCGCCGAATGCGCACAATGCTACTGCACAACGTTGGTTTCAGGAAGTTGAGAAAAAAACCGGAAATACCGAGAGCTTTTCGGCCTCAAATCCATGTACTGGCGGAAGGCGGAACCAAGTTGTCTATAGTATATACAGTCTATGGTTTTCCCCTATGCCATAAAAGACCATACTCTGTCCGTCACTATTTATTTCACGGTCACATTACTCTTAGAGGTGAATGATACTCAATGCATGAATCTGACCTCAAGATTTAAAGAGGGGCTTTTACAGCAGGACTACCATCTTGTCTCCCTCATTCCATCAGCACCTTTTATAAAACCACTGAGACAGACGGGAGAGGCAGAGAAAGAGGAAGCCCATCCTGATGTTCTATATATACCCCAATCCCAATAGCAGTCTGTGTCTTCATGCTACAGCCTGCCAGCCAGAGCAAAGGCCCAGCAGAGCGGCTCGATAAGGAGCCTCTTTGTCTGCCTCTGAAGCTCCCAACAGGAGCAGAGTCGATTCTATATAACACAAGGGGCATCAACACCAAGGAGCACCATTTTGAACAGGTCGGGGGTGAAACATTTATCCTGTTTCTGCAGATTGTGAAAGGATAAAGAAAGGAGAGAATGAGACTTGCGTCACGAGTTTGCTGTAATGATACACTGCCTCCTATGAGGCTGTGAGAGTAAAGGGAGTCTCAGTTACGCTGTAATTGTGTGTTTCTTTCCTTGTTTTCATGTCGACTTGCCGTGGAGAGCTAGCAGGAAGTGTTTGTGGTAAAATGAGACTGGATGAGTGCTGTGTGAGAAAGAGACAGCTTTGTTATGGTGTTTTTGTCTCACTGTGCTGGAGAACATCATGTTCATTACAGTTCCCACAGGCTCCTGAGATCCACCTGCTGGGAGTCAAAGAATGGGATTTTAGTTTCCTAACTACACATTACCTTTAATTGATATTGCTGCAAGTACACCATCGGGTTTTAATGTTTCAGCTTCCCTCCAGGCATCTATTTGTGTCCTGTCATTTCAGGGAAGTACAAAGGTGGCCATAGCAAAGTCCATGGGTAAGCACTTAATCAATACAACCACTTTTTTCACCTTGTCCTGCAGAATTGTTTCAAGGCAATGCACCAAAAAAGGAACAACGGCGGAAAGTGTCCTACAAAGAACCTTATTCATTCCAATTCATATCTAAATATCATAAAACTACATAACACCCAAGCTTTCATGCCTCCACTCTGTGTTCAATCATGACCATTTTCACATAACAGTTAACACTATATTACAAAGCATATGTCTAATGCAAAACACATGTAGTCCTTTAAACTAGGAGCTGAACTCCAAGTGCAAAATTCACCACTTTACAGTGCTCAGCAAAAATGAGTACACCTCTTCAGAGTTGTCAGAAAACCTTTAGTTTCACTTTCTATGTCAGACTATACAACAAAATACTCCCCCCAAATGTAGGCTGTTGATTGCAAACAAGATTTTTCAAGTTTCATACAAAAAAGTCAATTTAAAATCAGGATGCAAAAATGAGTTCACCCCAATCAAAGTTCTGGGAGCAAAGCTAAATTTTAGTTACCGTATCACCCTTATTTTCATTTTATGGTAAATAAAATGTTATGTTAAATTCAGCTTTGTCAAAGCTTTGGTAAATTGTACTTTTGCTCATCTAGATATTAAGTAATACATTACTTTCCATATGGGGTGTACTGACTTATGCTGGGCACTGTATACCAGCAGAAGTACTCACTGTTAGAGAGACTATGACCTAAAGTCAAGCTTGCACACTTTGGCCCATGATCAATTTCATAATATCCTTTCGTATGGTTTATGCAAGTGTTTTGTTGTAATTTTTATAAGTACAAATGAAAGGTCTGCTTTATTTGGACTAGACAGTCACGCTTGGCTGAACGATCTCTTGAGTAATGTTAATGCTGGACTCGGCAGCAATCCAGTTTATGGAATTAGTGCATAATTCAGAAAAACAGTTCAATAAAAACACAGACTAAGTTGTTAAAACCTAAATTTGCTAATACTTGGACCACTTGAGGGTTTCATAACAACAAACAGGTACAGAGATGCATTTAAAAAATGACTTTTTTTTGTCCATTATTATTTGTCACGATGGTGCCTCAGGGAGACTTCTGTCGGCATTTTATTTGACCTGGAAAGCTTTTCATATTAAAAATGTCTTTTACAAGAGTGCCCTGGTCAAGACAGCAGCATGTTCCAACAAAGTTACAGAAGTGCTAACACGGGTTCAAGATCTGGTCATATAACATAAATTATCATACAAAGCATATACAGCCTGATGCATCATCCTCCAAAGCCTTCAATCTGCTTTTAAAAACGTTCAGGGAGACCAGCTCCCTCAAATCCAACTTTTCCTGCAGGAGCACTGTGCCTAGAATTCTCTTACCCATTGCAAGATGCACTCTGGGGACAGACAGCAAAAGTAAGTGCGTACTAGGGTCACAGAGCGATGGCGATAGCGTCCAAGATTTTTCAAATTAATTACATTGTACAAATAAGAGGGTAGCAAGTTAAGAATCACCTCGTAAATGGGGACATGCCAGGGATTTAGTCAACAAGTAGACAAAGGAGGCCAGCCAACTCGATCATGTGGAGACCAGTAGTGGGTAAGAAACTTCAGATTTGTAATGAACCTCAGAGCTCCACTGTAAACAGTATCCAGAGAGTGAAGGATTTCAGTCGATGCATGCCTATACAAAAAATCACCATTGTCAATCAGAGGCATAAGTGTAGCCGCAATGAGTCTTTCCTTTGCAGCAAAAGAAAAAAGAAAGAAAAAAAAAAAAAACTGGACTTATTCCTGAAATAGAAGTTCAGTTGTAGCTTCAACTTTTTTACAAGTTCCAGTATATGAGGCTTGAAAGACCAAGAGTCAGTATTTAGTAATCTCAGTTATTTGTAGGAACATACAGACTCAATCACATCACCTAATAGACAGCAGGTTTAGTGGTTTTGTCTTTGAATTTCTAAACATCATGAGTTTAATTTTCTCAGGATTTCAGATCATTTTCAACTCATGAAAGGTATTTTGTAAAGGTATCAAATGCATCTTGTAAATGACAAAAAGCCTGATACTGTGTTGGAGCAGAGCAGTATTATCCACATATAAATAAAAATTTGCATTTGAGACATGTTAGCCAATGGTATCAACATAAATTTAAAACAAAAGAGGTCCTAAGATGGAGCCTTGAGGCACACTATTTATTAATTTAAGAGGTCTAGAGGTGATGCCTTCTGTGTACACACACTGCGATCTGTTGGATAATAGTTTTCAAACCAGCAGACAAATTGTTCAGACAGTCCAATTCTAAATAGCCTCTGCTTCATGATAACATGGTCCACAGTGTCAAAAGCATTATACAAGTCAATAAACAATGCTGAACAATGTTCTTGATTGTCTAAGGAATCAATAAAATCACTGACCATCTTTAAGGCTGCTGTCTTTGAGATGGTCACTCACGAAGGATTCTGGGCTAAAATACAGAGTTTAGATATGGGAATACTTTATGCCACCAATCATAAATAAAAAAGACACAAATAATAACTATTTCCTGTATATAAAATGCTAAAAGGGAATAAAGCCTTTACTGCCTCCAGTGACTTTGAATGGGACTGTTTTCTTTTGCCAAGAGTACTACAGTAAGTAAATGTTGTTATCTCCTGGAAAGTAGTAAGAATTACAAATTCAGAGTCTGGCCTGCAAATTGAATGCGTAATGTAAGAAGCCAGATGTTTTATGATGCAGAGGCCATCAGACGCAATGGATTCAAATGTGGCAGCTTCTTGGCCCCAATGAGCTGAGTGTGATTAAAGTGAGTATACGAAGCACTAAAGGCCTGTTATCACAGATTAGAGCTCACATTAAAAGATTTTTTTTTTTTCTGCCAAAGTACATGCCATGTGGATCATCAATGAAAAAATATCCTAAAATTAAAATGTATGCACCCTCAATGGTAGAGGTTTGCACTCGGAGTGTGATTTTTGCATTATCTTGAGCTTGCCCAGAATAATTTTTAGGTGATCTAGAAAATAAGCACAAGGCTTGTCAATGTTGTAGGCCAGACCAAGGCATACCATGGTGCCACTCTATTGAGCTCTTTCTGTGTACATTTCGTGCTTTTCAACATTGGGAATAAACACTATGGTTAGATGTTAAGAAAACAACTGAAATAAAAAGGAAAATAAGCATGTATGCAAATTTCAAAGCCCCTCCATCAGATACTTTAAGCAATGCAGCCTAAAATTCACCAAGTGTGTCTTTGCACACCAAAGCGATGACATTGGGAGAACAAAAAGAAAATGTCACATCTGACTCATACACCTTTCAAACATCAATCCTTCTTCAAAAACAGAGATATGTGTTGTATTATACTATTCTTATCTTTTTCATGAGGGGAATTTCTTTTTCCACATAACTGGAGGGTTTGCTGCAAAAGAGAGCTTGAGGCACTTAGACAGGTATGAATTTAATGCTTGAGAATATTTTAGAGCTACTTTTTGTGCCACAAGTGCTCCCATGTGTATATTCAAATGTAAAGGTAGACTAACCTGTCATGAGATGTGCTGTTCTGCCTTCAAAAAAACATTTTTTGACTGTCTATGACTGGAAATAAACCTTACAGTATCATGCTGATGTCATTAGGGTTGCCTTACCTTGTGCATAACTTTTAAAATGGCCTGTTAAAAACTTTTAGTCTTTACTAAGCAAGGTCTATAAAAAAAAAAAAAACGGCATAATAGGAAATGAAGGGCTAGTGTTTTGGGACCTTTTGTAGAGACTCAAACACTTAATATCTCTGCATCTGCTGCTTCAATTTATTGATCTCTTTCTGGCAAGTGCATCAACTTTATGGGAGTGCAATACAATCACAAGAACATCCTGCTCCTTTAAGGACATTTTCATTAATCTTTATGTTTGTTTGCTTGCCAGCTTGGTAAAAGGTCAAGTAAAATGTGTTTGTGAGCAGAGCAGCAATTTTAAATGCTTCAAGATGCTAAAATGAGTTTTCAGGAACAGCAGTCGCTTCTTATCACCTTTCTCTCTGGAGTACTTTTTAGCACCCTTTGTTCGCTGTTTTCTCATCTTTCCCCCCTCCAAACAGAAAAGCTGAGCAAAGTGAAACACATCACTCACGTGTACAAGTGTGTGGAAGCCTCATGAGTGTCAGTAGTTTGTCCCTACTGGCATGCAAGGACAATAGGGCTATGAGGAGTGTGTTGTGAGCTGTGAAGTGGGTGTCTGTCAGGGTAACAACATAACAGGATGCATGATAACGGTGCATACAGCAGCGTACAATCTGTTTCTCGCCAACCAAATTTCAACTTGGTGTCACGCTTTGTCAAAATGCCGACAGAAGTCTCCCTGAGGCACCATCGTGACAAGTTCGCTGCTCTTCTTATGAATAAAACAGCCGTGAAAAAGTGCAAAACCCAAAGATACATGTATACAAATACACCCACATCAAAGAACATGATAAATGTCAACTATAGACATAAATCACAAAGAGTGTCTCGTCACAGATCTTAAATATTCATTATTCTGCTTTTATATGTCACTCCTAAACAAACAAAAAAAATGAATCTGGAGCTGATATTACAGACTTTACAGCAGCTCGAAAGAGGAAGCAGAGGCAGGACTGGTTGTCTGATTGATGCCAGTGAGGCGTCAGTTGGGGACGCACATTTTTCCCTGACTCAAACATAAAACAGCAGCAGGGAGACACACATGCACACACAAACACACACCCATCAGAAACCTTTAAGACTTAATCCATCACACCAGAACTGACAGACTGATGTGAAATGGGAAAAAGGAGGACACCAGGGGACAAAAGAACAGAAAAAATAGATAAAAGACACTGAGACTTGTGCAAACTTACAGAGAGGTTTAAACACATAGTCACAAACAAAAAGACACAAGCAGTCAAAAACTGTCTGTGTACCCCTCAGAGAGTGGACCCAGGTGAATCCGAGTGATGCTGGCACTCTGCTCTCCACAATGGCCCAGATAAACAAAAAGAACACACACACACATATGCACACAATATGGTCCAGCACAGGGCTTATATAATGTTTTTCCACTAACATGGTAACTGCACACTCATCTTCCCTGGGGTGAACTCTGCTCAGCTGGAGCCGACATGAATGCTGGGGGATTTTATGAAGGGGGTGGGGGGGTGGGGGAAGGCCTTGAGAGGAACAAGAAGGGCAACAGCGGTGCATGGGCCAGCCTCCTCATGACCAGGAAGACTACCGGAAAAGCAAAATACAGCTACAAGGTCAAGGCAAGAGGAGCAAACAGCAGGAGTAAACAAAGAGGAGCGTTGATGAAATGCAAACACACATTCATGCCTTTAGTTGTGCACAAATTAGGCAGACACTCGCATGGATCGCGTGCAGATGAGATGGCCTGTGCAATTTTTACACGTCATGTTTCCAAGGTCATCTGCTGTGTCATCACTGCCCATTGGCCCGCGGCACATGAGAGTCAACATCTCTGACCCGCTCTCTATGTAAGACTGCTTCATATTTCTCCATGCGGAGAGCAATGCAGGATCTCATATCACATTACTAAGGCCGAGGATTGGAGATTTACAGATCTATCATTTCCTCCATTACACCGCTCTCTTATCACCTGCAGAAACTCTGAGAGTCAGTGAGAGGATGTAAGGAGAGAAGGGTCGATGATTGTGTTTGTTGACTTCATCTCTAGATTCATGAGCTCCTGCTTATGACAATCATATCTCTGCATTTCATAGCAAAAAAAATATTTGTGGCTGGGAATTGGGTAAAGCTGTAGCAGTGTGTATTGCGTAAACAGTTGAAGCCATATTTTCACCAAGCACGAGCCGCTGTTAAAAAGTAATCAAAAGAAATATAAGCTAGGACGCACTGCAGGAGGGTTTGGGTGTTTGGCCTGGAAACAGTCTAACTCAAGTTTCACTATCTCATGGTTACCAAAACTTTTGGCTGACCCTGATTTTCTTCCTGTCTTGACTGAGGTTAGCCGTCATGAAGACAGTACTTAGGCAGTACTTAGAGAACACTTTCTGGTACAAAACAGATTTACACTGAGCAGCACAAGGATTTATTTTTGCTTGATTTTAAACACTTTTTCGGCTTTTTCTTTTTTGGCTAAGCTTCCAAAGATAAACCTCTGACAAATATACCTTTGTTTTAGATGTCCACTTTCTCCACACTCCTCCAGCCATAATTATTTGACCTTTGAAATTGTGATTTATCCATTTTTCTTATTTCATAATGCACATTTTTCTCTGTAAATTGTTCAACACTTTGTTCATTTGTTATATAATTGGGTTTTTGTATAATTGCTTTGTTAGCCCCTGGATTGTTTGATTGTGATTTAATCAAAATATAAAAGTACACCTTGAGGTTTGCATTAATCATGCAAATTGAGAGCAGTTTTGTTGTACACTGAATTACCATTCAGAGTTGCTCTGAAGGTGAGGAAGCACCAGAGTAAAGGTTTGAAAAGGGAGCGTTCAATGGACGTGATGGAGCAGAAGAATATGTGAGTGAGTCAAGACTATAGAGTATATATACATCCACTACAGGTCTTTCACTTTCTGGAATTAACAGTAAATAGGTCAGAACCAAGGGCTGTTAGAGGCCCTGTGTCTGACCCTCACACACTGTGCTGTACCACACCATCTTCCTTCCTGTGCCAGAGGGCTGAGGGCAGCGCGCACACAGGAAGCAGGGCAACCATGCAAAGCTAAATAATGCAGTGGCTCAGTCTCCACATTATGACCCAGTAAATGGCTGGTTATACAAACACTCAGACCCTCTCGGGCTGCCCCGGCAGACAGCAGAGTGAATTGAAATGCCCTTGCAACTATTTTATTGCCATCACAGAAGAGGTCAATTCACAATGTAAACTCTGCAAAACTGTGTGCATGCCAGGTGTATAACCTGGTCAAGATTTTATCATTCAGGGGAAATGTATCCTCTGAATAAAGTGAATCAAATCTGGTGGCATCTACTAGCCTACTGGTGTGCATGCTACATGGGTTATCTAAGCAAAGTGTGGCAGGGTGAAATAAATGCATTAAAGAGCAATGGAAGACACTTGTCATGCAACTCCACAGACTGAGTGTCTCTTCTGGCATAGGCCTGTGTGTGGCATCAAAGAATAATACAATTAGAGTCACTCTTTACACCAGAAAGCCACACAATCACACACATCAACATCTTTAGTCATCAGATAGGCTCTCTCCCAATCATCTGAATTTATAAACGAGTCCAATAACTTCACGCAGTGTGACAAATCTGCAGTGTGTCAGCAGCCCTACAACTGCACAATCTAACTTCTCCACACGTTTACTGCATGTCATGGGCAGAGGAGATGCCAAACATTCATGTCACATACTCAAAGTAGGCAACTAACATCCCCTGACAGCCCTCTCGGCGTCCCACCCTACCTTCGGTGTGGCAAGTGGAGGACAGGATGGTGCTCGGAGGGCGGAAGAGGTACGGCAGATAACGGGAAAAACATTTCATCTTCTTCTCCGATGCTTGCCAGCGGCTGAAGAGCGTTGCGTTGCAGGCTCCACATCCGCACTGCCGCCGCGACAGTCAGCCAGAGAGGAACCAGGGGAGTGCGGGAGGAGAGAGAGCCTCTCTGTCCGCGGCGCAGGGGGCTATGACAGCATCACTTTTCGCAGGCAGACAGCGCAGGCGGGCGGGCAGACAGGCAGCGGGCTCCGGTGAAACTGCGCGCCGCCCGGGGAGCAAACAGCGCACGGTGTCAGCGCTGCCTCCGCTTCCGTGTCAGGAGTCCACTCCGTGAGTGTGTGAGTGAGAGCAGGACGGGGGGTCGCCTCCTCCGTCCTCTTACATGGGAGGTCAGTAAATGTGTGGTCTGCGGGTGTAAACATCCAGTCTCATACTCCCCCCTGTGCGTGTTTGGTTCTTGGCATAAACAGAGCAGTTCCCTTCAACTGAGGAGAGATGTTGTCCCCGTGGTTCCTAAAGGCTACTTCATATCTCTAAGCCCACAGAAGATTTTTATGTCACTTTGTTCCGCTGCAGTAGCTACTTGGGTCAGCATATGCTATTGTTGGCAGTGTATTCCATGCAACAGATAACAGAGAAGTGATGAACAAAGGCTAAAACTTGATGAATCATAGACAAAGTTGCCTCAAACAACTCACAGGATCATTGACTAATTGGGTTTGGCGCCATCTGGTGATATTTTTTTGTATGAAAAGCAAACGATCACAAGTACAAGTACACAATAGAGAATCATTTAACATATGACACCAAATTATTTCGTCCGAAATAGCAAACATTTGAATAATGATACCAAACATTTAAAAAGAAAAAACAATGCGGCTTTAAAGCGTAACCACTACCATTCTGATTCTAATTTAACCCACAAACCTACAATTATCACGTAAAATACTTTTTACATCACCTAACGTGTGTCTGTTCAATATTTACTTCGAAAACGTATTTATCTACTGCTTTCGTATACTTTTCACTGACATCTCGCGAGACTTGGGTGTGAACTAATGCCAGCGGAAGTACTTGTCGAGTCTCTTTTCCGCCGGCCATAGAGGAGCAAACGGCAGGGTAAGGTTTCCTGGCGAATATTATCACTAAAGTTATCAACATCCATCCTCCTTGCTGTACCAAAGTGTACCCTGGTTGCAGATTTTACAGTTCGACAACAGTATAACAATTAAAATTATGTGATTATTAACGACAATGTGACAATAGATGACTGATTAAAACATCCCCGTACTTGGTCCCCGTTAGCTCCGATAGTATCCGCATGTCGGCAACCGAGACCCGAGGTTCCTCAGTCCTGTTGTTACCGATTTATACTGTGATTTTTGGTGGTTAAGAGGATTTACTGTTGTAGGTAACACGACTGATTCTATGTGATGAGTTTTGACGCTCAGGGTAACTAAAGCTTCAGTATGTGTCATGTTGTGCTTACTGAATACTGTTTTGAAGCTAACTTAGCATTTAGCTCTTAACATTTGACACATCTCGCCAGCTTCATCACCACACTTAATGTGTTGTAAACTGTAGTCACACAACCATTATGTTTATTTTGAAGTTGTATGCTGTTCGTCACGTGTTTATATTTGTCACTGCTAATGAGTAGCATGCATCTGCCGACATTCATGCGAGATATGCATTCAGTATTACGCTTTTAGCTGGCAAGCAGATGTGTTTGTGTGCCTGCACCTTTAGGCAACAGCAGTTTTGCGATTCTGTGTTGTAGACTGTTAATAGTTGTCCTCTATTAACAGCATCATGAAGCTGAACCCATTTGTCACATCCTCCCGCCGCAAGAACCGCAAGAGGCACTTCAATGCCCCCTCACACATCAGGAGGAAGATCATGTCCTCCCCTCTGTCCAAGGAGCTCAGACAGAAATACAATGTGAGGTCCATGCCCATCCGCAAAGATGACGAAGTCCAGGTACGCTTTGTCCACACAGTATCTTGATATGGGTGTGAAATCTTAAATCTGCTTTCAACTGATGCGTGTATATTTCTCAAACAGGTGGTCCGTGGACACTACAAAGGCCAGCAGATTGGCAAAGTGGTGCAGGTCTACAGGAAGAAGTACGTCATCTACATCGAGCGTGTGCAGAGAGAGAAGGCCAACGGAACCACAGTCCATGTCGGCATCCACCCCAGCAAGGTGAGACACTGTTTATGTAGGTTGTTTCTGTGAAGGTTGTCATTGACTCCAGGATTATTCAAAATGTAATCAAAAAGGAAATTGGACCATGGTGTTTGAGAGAAGGTTATGGTTAACACCGTCCCTGCATTCGCTGCATTTATGCATCATTGACAGTGTTGGATTGATGCATCAGCTATGTCATCTGTTCTTAATCTGTTCTGCTCATCCCATTCAGTGTAAAGAGAACTGTAGCATGGTGGTGCAGTGTCTAATGCTGTTGTCTTAATGCAAGAAGGTTGTCCTAATCAGACAAGGCAGGGGTCTCTCTGTGTTAAGTTCTCATGTTCCCCTTAGTGCATGAGTGGGTTCTCTAGGTACTACAGCTCCCTCTAACAGTGGAAAAACATGCTCATCAGGATAGTTGGTTACTCTACTTAAAGTTCCTGTAGGTGTAAATGTGCTCATGATTGCTTTATCAGTAATAATAATTATAATAAAATTTATTTTAACACGCTTTTACAGGTGCTCAGAGACGCTTGCATGTTAGACCTGTGATATGCTGGCAACTTGCCCAAGGAGTATATCCTCTGTAAGACATCTTGGTCAGTTGTGCATGTCCTCAAAGGTTGCTAAATGCAAATAAACTGTATATGACATAAATGTATTTACTCAGTGGGGTGAAATGGCAGTGTAGAGGCAGGGTAGATGTAACAGAGTACAGTGTAGCTGGCATCACAAATGAACAACACATACTCACTCTTCAATCAAGCTTGTTTCAGTGGCCATAGGTCACACTGTCTCATCCTCACCTCTGATTTATTGTATCCAACTTTATGTCTTTGACTGTTTACATTACTCTTTTGATGTGTCCAGCGTCAGATTCCCCATGCAATTAAAGAGATATTCCTTGAAGTCACAGTCCTAAAATGACTTGCATGCTCTTAAAACCAGGGCATCATGTTTCAATAGAAGTGACTATGGCAGCAAAAAACTTAAGGCCTCTCATCCCACAGACTTTTGTACAGCTTATAAGGTTTCTAAATGAGACATGAGATTTTTAAACATTAACCCCCCTCCGTGGTTGCACAGCACGAGATACCAGCATGTTTCCTGCGGATGTTATTTAATGATGTCTTTTCTATTCTTTTGATGCACTTAATCGTGGCCTTCGTTTAGACTCGAGGTTTAGTGTTTATAAAATGTAAAAAGAGAAGACTGATGCACCAAAGAGCTAGAGGGATGCAATTTTGCAAGACTGATGTTTACCACAGATAAAATTTTAAAAAAGCAGATCAGCCCCTCAGCTGTTTGTTTCTCCACAGCTGCATCTTTGGGGCCTGTTTATAGATCAACCTGTTGCATCTAACTAAAATTCTTAAGGCATCAGGAACTTTTTGAATTGAGAGCAACACTGTGCACATTTACAGACGTGATACACTGGCTTAATTGATAGAATTTCTAGACACGCCAGGATGTAATAACAAGTGTCTCATGCATTGAACGGTCAAGGAAGGTAGACTTGTCAACAAAAAGCTACACCTGTAATATCTTTTATTGTATAGAATATATTTTAGCCAAATGCCACTTTAGAGGAGAGAAGGAGAAGGGAAAAAAACCATTTCAAATTGCCATAAAACTAATTCGAGTTCCCAATCCTGGTCTGTGTTAACTAACGATGAAATTACACATAATGATTTGGCTACCATTGCAGGATGCTTACATAGGCTGCTAGAGAACTGGTAGTTCCAGTGTGTCGCCCCAAATATTGAATCTGAAACCTCACTGTCCTTCCACTAACTCCATCAGAGCTGTCTTCTCAGTTTGTTTTCATGGAGCACGTGTGACACCCTACTACCCCAGGGAAAACCTGTGGTATTCCTTTTTAGAATGATGTCAGTCACACTCAGTCTGACCTGAATGTTTAGACTGTGTTTGCGTTGCAAAACATCCTATCCGTCTGTTTTTTTACCACATATGGAAGTGGTACAACTGTGATTGGAAAAGATCAGATTTGGTGTGACTTGTAGTGTTCCAACTACCGGTAAAATGTCAGACATGAATAACACGTGAGCCAAAAGGTCTGATTTGAGCACAACTGCTTTCAACTGTGAGAACATAGCCTTTACTGCTCTGATCTCAGTACTGACAGAGTAACAAGTGTACGTTTGCATGGCTCGAGCCCTCTGGAGTAAAAGAAAGTGTGTTGGGTTCAGTTGAGTAAAGCAGAAATGTGTGTGTATGCTAGTACTTACAAAAGATGTTCTTGTTGCTATTGGTGTGAATGTGACAGCATCACAGTCTGTTAAGTTTAGTCACAGTTTTTCAGAGGAGATCGTCACCTGCTTCTTTATTTCACAGCTGAAGTACCAAAGGAATGTTGTTTTAAAGTGTCTCAGATATTGTGAGGCTGGCCTTGCAGGTACTCTGTCATGTAGGTGGGAGTTGGAGAAAAAAAACTTAACTGTTTGGTGAAGCCTGTTGAAACTGAATCACAATAGCACAACCTTTTCCCTACTCCTCTTTCAGCTTTCTAATTTGCCTCACATGTTTTGTGTATTTGACATTAGTGTGCACCTGTCAGATTTGTCGGTAGCCATAGTCATTGTGCTGTCAGTACACTGTCAAGGCAGTCTCACAGATGTGACTAATGAAAACTGCTCAACAGTTTTTTTTTCTACCCCCAAAGACTACATGTGAAGTAGTGAAAAAGCTTTAATACTTTTAAATGACATTCCTTTCAGCTGGTGGTCTGTTTTCAGAAATGTAATGTTGGTGTAGCATCTGCATTAAACAGCACACAGGTCCAGGTAGAACTTTTGTAGTTGTGTTCCATTCAAGGCCTAAAAATAAGATCCTACCTTTTTTTTTAAATTTAATTTGCAAAATGTCTGCAAACCTGGTGTCATTCTGTCATCTTAGGTTATTTGTGGATTTTTGAGAAGAAAACGTCTCCCTCTCCTGGAATGAGTCTGTAATGTAAGGTGGACAGAGGCAGGGGAAGACTTTGAATTCTGTCTAGATGCTCTGTTTACGTGGGCACCATATCCTCAACTATGTGCAGCTCAACTACATTAGTTATGGTTTTCCGCTGAATCCTTGTAGTGTTGCACACAGCACAATAGGAAAACGATTGCCTCAATGTTGGCTGTGGTGTAGCAGGTGACAATGAGGTCTTGTTGGTCCTCTAGTGACACACCTTCTCTCTGCTGCATGATTCGGATGCTAAAATAGGATGTGCTGCTGCCTCTAGTTTCAACAGCCTTTGATCAAACCTTTTCACCAAACTGGTTTGTTTTGAGGTTGATTCTGCCAAACGCAGTCAGCTCCAAACAACTGACATCTGTTCCTCTTGGGGAGCTAACGCTTCATTAATGTCTGCAGCAATGTTGTGAATGTGTCTGTGGAAAGTAAGAGGAGAGTGAGAGCGACTAGAGTTTATGGGGTTTATTTTTGTTCTTGGTATCATCTTAAACCTCAAATTCAAATCAATAAAAATCAGCCCTAGGAAATCGTAATGTCAGCGCATTGTTTTCAGGAATCCATCTTTTTTTTATGAAATGGATGCCACTGACAGTACTTGTTTACCAACTCAGTTTTATTTGTATTTCCAGGTGGTTATCACCAGGTTAAAGCTGGACAAGGACCGCAAGAAGATCCTGGAGCGCAAGGCCAAGTCTCGCGCCGATGGAAAGGAGAAGGGCAAATACAAGGAGGAGACCATTGAGAAGATGCAGGAGTGAAAATGATCTTTTGCTATCAATAAACTGTATAAATGGACCCTTCCTTGTGTGTGTCTCATCTTTTAGCCCTGACCCGTGTGAGGAAAAAAATGTACATAAAGGGGTATGCATACAACAATATTTGAAGTAGTCAAAGTAAAAGATGGTGCCCGTGACAAAGAGGTGTGTTTTCTATTCTCACACAAGACATAGTGTTCAGTAAAAAACAGGGCTTTGGGTGTATCTGGTAGCTGTAAAATATCTTAAAAACCACAGTTTTGTATGTATTTGTGCTGGCAGGTATTTTCCATAGGCTGTATATAGAAGTATGGTGCAGTATATACAGTCTATGGTATTTTCTCTCCAGTGAAGCTGATAAAACACGTGTTCACAATGAAGTCTAAAAGTGGGTCTTTGTGGGGCAGTGAGCTTTAAATACTGTCTTAAACCTTGAAAATACAAGATGCTTAAAAATTAGCTGGCAAGACGAGTCAAAACACTTAACGCACTGCTCAACTTCAGCATCAATGTGAGCAACATGGGTGTCATATTTCACCCTCGGATTGAACATTTCCATTTCCAAAAAGTCTGAAATATTTAAAATCTCAAACTACTGAGACTCACCCATCGAAAATGTACATGTTCGACAAAAGTAAGCGCTGTTCTGCAAAAACAAAATTCAAGTCAAGCCCTCAGACATCAAGCAGACAGATGACTGAATGTTCGGACAGAAACGGCAGCAGTGACTTTAGTTCCGCCCTCTCTGTCAACGGTCATGTGATCCGTGCTGCTCTTTCCACCGTGATCCTCTCACAGCTGGACTGTAAAGTTTCTGAAGTCAAAAGTTTCGACTCTGGTGATATTACCCGCTTGTGACAGCACACCACCATGGCGGAGCTTAGTTTTGTCATCGCCATGTCTGTGGTGACTCTGTTTTGGGGAATTATCGGAGGAGTAGTGCCCTGGTTCATCCCTAAAGGACCGAACAGAGGGTAAGTTTGTTAGCTTCGACTTAGCTTCACCTGGCTACAAAGAGGGACGGAAAGTTTTTATTTGCTGCTGTCCCGTGACTCTCATATGAAACACGTAGATAGAAATTTCATGAAACTGTAAATAAGTCATGAAGTGTCGTTTTAAAGGTTGGAGAAATTTAACCGTGTGATAAAACTTGACAAGCTAGTTAATAAAGTTTGTTGTCGGCTAAGTAAAGCTAATTTGACAGCTCTGCCGCTTTAAATCTATATTTTAAAGTTGGATTATCCACATTTTCTAAATTATTTCTCAATAGGCGAGCTGATTTAAGGTCGGATATTAACCAGAGAGTTAACATGTTTCCTAACTCTGGAAAATGTGCTCATTTTAACTTCCCTTATTTCCCAGTTTGTCAGTGGCATGATCACGGGTTCATCCTCTGTATGTTGATGAGTTGCCTGTGATCAGCTTTGCGTCCACTTTTGCACTGACTTATTATGATTTTAACCATTTCTAAGTGTTTTTCTCCTGTTTCCACAGAGTGATAATCACAATGCTGGTGTTGACTGCAGTCTGCTGCTACCTGTTGTATGTATTATTCTTTAAATGTTGCATGATTTCCTGAACAACATGTCCACATTGTAAAAAGACGAATACATAAGTCAGTTGATCCATAGACAGAAAATGTTTGGCGGTTGTTTTACTTGATTTCAAGTAACCTTTTTCAGCCATAAAATGTGTAAATTGGCTTTTATTCTTCACTTAGATAGACGTTATCAGGATATATTTTGGGTCAGTCTGTGCAATTTTATTTGTTTCTGTCTTTTTAAAGACAAGGGGTTAATAGAGAAAGTAGTTCTCACATTATCCAAGTGTACTTTTTTCAGTTTAAGCGCTTAAAATTAACACTGTAAACCACAAAACTAACATAATGGTTGCTCCTCATTGACACTGTATTACATTACATTTTACTGTTGACTTCAAAGTAAAAGTATTTACATGTTTGTTGTTCAGGTATTTCTTCTCTTTTGCTTCAAGTAATGTCAAAGAGGAGTTAGTATTACTTTGCACATAGCTTGTTTGTTTTCTGATTAATTATTTAATCGACAGTGCAGTGTTGGTTAGCCTTCAGTGTCGTGTTACATATCATAGGAGCAGCAGTGTGGCAGTCAAGTTGTTATTTAGTTTTTGACCAACATAGTTATGATGACAAATGTAGAACATAATTTAATATGAGCTTTTATTAGGGTTGAAAAATGGCTCCACTCAGCTTAACAAGTTTACACACATGATTGAAATGTCCTTTCTGTCATTCAGCTGGTTGATAGCGATCCTGGCTCAGCTGAATCCATTGTTTGGACCTGCTCTGTCCACTGATACGATCTGGTACCTGAACTTTCACTGGCCTTGAATTACCTGACAAGGATTCCTGACCGTGCAGGTAGACCTTTGCCTCTCAAAACATGATTAACTGCATCCACATCATGCTAAATGGATGTGTATATGCTTTAAATACTGCACTTGTACATCTCCTACAACTGGTGTATTTTCTTACCTGATTCTATTTGTTCTAACATGTTTTTTATTGTAATTTCTGACAGAAGACAAGGACATGCCGAAGCTGCATACCAATGGGTGTTCGCTCCTCATGCCACGCAGAGATAATTTCTTCTGAATTGCCTTAAACTCAGCCCCTGTGTGATTACTGAGTGGTGCCCACACTGGTGCCTTGTACAAAAAAAGATTCCCAAAGGACCACTGAGAAATCTCCCTGAATGTGTTTACCTTAAAGCGGCTGTCACTTGGTGTTTTTTGATTTATATTTAATGTATATTGTGTTTATTGCTGTTGATGATATGAATGACCCTTCCTTCGAGTGTGTGGTGTGTTTGATGTGATTTCTTTTTGTTTAGCTGTATAAGTAATGGATGTAATCCATTCAGTAATTGTTAATTAATAAACTAATAATGAATTCCAGTTTTCTGTAAAATTCTTATGCCTGTTTTGTGAGCTTTGCAAAATGTGTTTGCAATAATCTCTAAAACCTGCTGTGAGGAACGTTAGTTGGCACCCCCAGTGGACAAAGGTGAGACCTCCTTTCTTTGTCCTGTACATATGAAAATAGTGCTTTTAGACAAAAACCTAATTCGTTTGTATTTTTACACATCACTTGTGAGTAGTTTCAGAGGGGAAAAAGTAAAGTTGTTTCTTCAGTCTGCTATCAATCATCTGGTCTGCTTCTACTCCCTGTTAGCAGATTTCAAAATCAAAAATTCCTAAAATTATGTTGTCAGCCTTGTTGCTGATAGTCTGGCCTGTTTTTGAAGGTCATGAAGAGGCTTCAGCGTCAATTTCTGTCAGTTCCCCAACCAGATGAAAACTACCCACAGTGCCTTTAAATTTCTAGTCCAAACTAATATTGGTTTAATGTGTTAATAATTTAATGTTCCAAATGTAAACTTTTAAGAATTTATGCAGAGTTGGAGTTTTGTGGCATGAAATTAAAACCAGTTTTGTTTTAAGGGAAAGTACCAACATGCGAAGTCCAAAATCAGGCTTCCCGCTTGCCGTAGCTGCAGCTGACTACGTTGGCAACATGGCTACCACTGATGTCCACGTCCGAATATGTGAGCAAGAAATTCTCAAATATGACTTGGAAATCAAAGCTCTCATTCAGGTGAGGACATTTTGGTGTTCAGTTTGATCATTGTTGTTCGTGTTCTGAGGTTGTCAGTTAAAATCGTGCTTTTGCTCAGTGTTGTGTTCATGCCGCACGAGTGTTTTCAGCTACGAGTCAGCTGGTGTATCGACACTGCTTTCAAACTGAGCTACGACTAATGCAGAGAATCCACAGGATGCGTAATAAAGACACCTGAAGCGTAAAATCACTGGAAACGCCGGTCTCAGTGTAAAATTTACTGCTAACAGTGTTCAGATATGTAAAGAGATTAAAACTAAAATGAAAGTGAAATTAAAGAGGAGTAGTACAAACCTGTATTATAATCCAAACCTGTTTTTATCATGTGAAGATTTCCCTTTCTCTGTCTTTATTAACAGTTTTTTTTTAAATCCATGCAGGATAAACGTTTCATCTAGTATAGGAAATAGCTCACATTAAAAAAATAAATAAATAAAGTTTAATGTCCCAGGCAAATTAAAAATAATAATACAACATAAAGCACAATACAGGGAAGGATAATGTAAGTTGCAAAAACAAACAATAATAGAGAGATAACAGGCAGATCAGTTGACAGAGAGTAGAATTATCGCAGACACAGAGCTGCTTTACTTATTAATGTCTTAAGTGGCCTAACTGACAGGTTATCCAGCTTCAGAGCATAATGCACCTTAAGTGAGGTAAGTGCTAGTTCAGAATTGAACTTTATCATCAAAGTGTTTTTTTTTGCACTTGCAAAAACAAAAACAAAGGGTCATATCTGTATTTATATTTATATATATGCATATATACATATATATTTATTTTATTTTTTCTTTCTTAGTTTCATTTATTTAGTTTTTGTTTTGTCCCTTTGCTTTGTTGCATTATTCCTTTTATTAGTAAGTTTTATTATTTTTAAATGTAATCTGTTTTAACTCCTCAAAACAAGCACTCATACACACACACACACACAAAGTTAAACTGTCATCCTACCTTGTGTCTGTCTTGTCTTGTCTCCCCCATCTGTTTGTTAGTTTTTTGTCCCTCACCTGTCATGTTCCGTTTTGCATCACTTAAAAATATTTTTTTTAAAAAGTGTTTTTTTTTTTTTTGCTTTTACAAATATTGCTACATATTGACGGTAACTTCACACATTACTTCGTGCATGTGACTCACAAAGTAGGCCTATGCTCAAATCTGACTAGGACATCAATGAGTGTGAAGGCCCAGTGAGCAAGCTGACAGAGCTGAACGCGGACGTGAAAAAGAGTTTTCACAGTCTTAGGCAGCGCATCCAGGTAAGAAACATTTTGGCGAATGTGCACCCATCACTGCTTATTGAGGCTGATTGCTCTTGAAAACCTTTGTGTTGGATTATTTCTTTCACAGGATTTGGAGCAGATGGCGATGGAGCAAGACAAAGAGTCAGACAAGCAGGCTTTGATGAGTCAAGTAGAAGGGCACAGAAAACAGATGCTGAGGTAATCAGATTTAAGTATACAGTTATCTGACCTTTATATATGCTGTCTGTAGTTTGGTTTTTCACATGGCGATGTTGAGGAAGCTGCCAGTGCTGCAGAGGAAGCATGGGAAAATTCTGCTGCTGCTTTCTGAAAACATAATTTGATGTTTTGTTTTGAAATCATTCTTCAGTAATCAGACAGTTTGGAGGAAAGCCAACCTGTCCAGCAAACTGTCCATAGACAACATGGAAAAGAAGGCTCTTCTGAATGGAACAGACAGCGCTGCAAGGCAGAGGTCAGCTGACAGTGTGCTAAATATAAGTAAATGAGACTCATTGAAGGATCAGTTCATGATGAGCATTTTGAAAAAAGTTTTCTTACTGCTGCTGCTGTGAATGTTTATTCAAACGTAAGACATCTTTGTAGTCGATTCAGATTTCACTTATTGTCTCTATAGGAAGATGACTAAAGAGAACCTTGCTCAGACAACCAGTAACATCACAGAGAACCTCATGAGCATCAGCCGAATGATGGCGCAGCAGGTTCAGCAGAGCGAGGAGACTATCACGACGCTTGGTTAGTGAAGGAAGTGGGTTATGTAAAAAGAGTGTTGACTTTTTAAACAAGGAGTATATGCCAGGTTGCCATACTGCAAGTTATTTCAAAACTGTTCGGCTACCTTTATTCAAAGAGGTTTAATTGATTATTATTATTATTTTTTTTTCGGTTTAAAGCAACCTCTTCAAGGACAGTCCAAGAGACCAATGAGGAATTTAAGACCATGACGGGGACCATCCAGCTTGGGAGGAAACTCATCACCAAGTACAACCGTCGAGAACTGACCGACAAACTGCTTATCTTCCTGGCGCTTGCCCTCTTCCTCGCCACCGTCCTCTACATCCTCAAGAAGAGACTGTTCCCCTTCCTGTAGACCAGGTACCCTCTGAAGACTCTCCCTGTTCTTCGTACAGTGCTTTCCATTGTCAGCTCGAATGATTCAAACCACACTGAATCAGCTCAGAGGAATGTGGACGGCTCAATGATGAAGTGGAATACCTACTGAGGGTCAAATATTTCCCAGAAAGAGTACGATAAATGCACACACTTATCGCTTCAAATTGTGTTTAATTTATTATAAAAGATTTTTTATTGCTAATGCAAAACAAATAGTTCATTGTGTGACAGTAATGCTGTGCATTACTCTTAATGAAGTCAGTTAAGGGAAGAAATAGATGACCCATATTAATCTTTTCTTTTCTACATTCCTTTCAGTGGAAGTTGTTCTCAGATATCTATAATAATGGCTCCAAGTTTTATTCAGACTTTTCCAAAATTGCAAAAAAATATATTGTCAACAGTAAAGCTCACATTCATGAAAAGGGAGCTAGTCATTTCTTAGACAAAAATAATGTAGAAAGAATATATGTTAAAATTTATAAGAACTGACTTAGTGTCTGTTTTTCTTTTTAGTTGATGAGGCTTTTATTGGCAGTCATGACTTTAAAAAAATACTCTTTTGACCCGATATCAGACTTTTTTTTTTACATTGAAATCTGTTTGAAAAAAGTTGAATCATCTTATATAAAGTGTTTTGACATATCAAAATTCATCCCATTAGATATGGGCCACATATCTGTATAGGAAGTGTGCCCTTCGTGACTGAGGCCAGCTCCTACTCACCCCTGGTGCCTGGGGTGATTAAAAAACAGGAAAGATACAGTGATAAGAAAAAATGCTAATGAGTTTGAAAAGTTAACTAAAAAATGAGGCAGAGTTATGCCTTTTAATAAAATGGTTATCGGTGCAGCAGAGGTGTGAAACAATTTTTAAACAGCCAAGAAATTTAAGTCACAGCGTGCAATGTATGAAGACGGCAAGTCCAAAAAAAACCATCTGAGAATGCCGGTGAGTGCGTCACTGAAAGACGAGTTAAAAGTATGCCAATTACCAGAGCCGTCATCCGTCCAAAAGACTGCTGTTTATTTTAATTTTATGCTATTAAAATAGGAAAGCTTTGTCCTAAACTTAATAGTTCAGTTGTGCAATTTTTGTGTACTATACATAGCCATGTATGTAAACATAAAGGTATAATGACAGAATCATGATGACTTACTATGGCGACAGAGTACGGGAGAGGCTTTTAACTGTAACACAATAAACCTCAGTCATTTAGTTTTCACCTCACAAGCTAAATAATCAGAACAGTGCCTATACTTCTAAATGTGTGTCTCCACTTGTCCCAATGTTTTATTCACCAAGAAGAGCATTAAAAGAGTTTGCACACACTAACTCATATCTGCCCGTGTGAGCCGGACTCTGGTCTGCAGCCGAGCAGAAAAGCTCAGTGGAGCAGTGGCAGCGATCACACTGGCAGAGATAGAGCAGCATGCATCCCTGCCTTTCTTCAGATAAGACCCGGAAAAGCAGATTAATCCAACCCGTTTCTCTCTCTCTATCCAGTGTGGGTGGAGGGTGAGGGGGGATATTTTTAGGTTTGTGTGGCATTGTTATCTGACGTTGCCTTTTCAACACCTCAGAGGAGAGAGGGGCCGGAGCAGATACATGACCTTGCTCCCCTTTCCGAAATCGCTTTGCATTACCATTTTGTGAAATGTAATGTGTAAATCCTGACAGTTTGGTGATCAATAAAGTCAAAGTGGACTAGATTGATGTTTGAAACACCTATCAAATGTGTGTTTGTGCTTGTTTAAGAAGGAAGAGACAACATGAAGCATGTGTGAAGGGTCCTGAGAGAAGCCTAAGCATCTCTTATTCATGTAAAGTGGAGGCAGTGGGTTAGAGCAGGTCTGTTCATATAACTGCGCACTTAGACGGGGCCTCTGGCTCTCTGTCAAGCAAATTGGACTATTCTTGCATTTAGCACTGTGATAGTGTCAATCAAGTGTATGGGTTTGTATCTGGACATGTAGACCAGGGTCCCAGGAGAGAATACACGGTACCACTGAGAGCTGAGAGTGTAAACGCAGGAACCAGACTGTCTCTACAGATCTGTAATCCTAATAGAAATTCTACAGGTGACGCCATCTTTATTTTTTTTTTATTACAAGTGTTACAGTGTCAGCGCAATTTCTGATTGCAGAAAAGTAATTTCGGCTCAGTTTTCAAAAGAAGTTCAAAGGTTATTTTTAAAAGATTAAATATACCGTTGAAGTGTTGGAAACCCAGTCACATTTTAAATTTGCCCTCATAACTTAAGACAAAAACACAGATTCAGTACTTTTAAAACCCAATGCAGTTCTTAAAAATCAAATCTTTACTGTTCCATGAATTTTAAAACTTTTTTTTTATTATTTCTGCAGCACAACAGTGATGAAAAAACATTCACTTTACTACAAGGTCATGGCTCAGAGCCATCCCTGTCCCATCAGCTTTAAACACATGTCGAGTGTATGTTCGGATGACAGCGGGTTATAAAATTTGTAAACTTGCTACAACCTTTTCACCCTGTTGAAACATATTGAAGGAAGCCTCCTAATAGCCACTTGAGCATTTTAACTAGACACGAACCATATGGGGGTTATACAGATGTTCAAGTCCTTGATGTGGATATAGTGTAAAACTGCTACATGACCCAGAGGCATGGATAACATTATAGTGGCTGTAAATATGAAATCAGTTGGTACAGTTGTTTTGAGATGTGTATGATTTTTTTGATAACTACGGGGTTGACTGGGAGGGAATAAAACAGTGCCACATATAAAATAATACAATAAATAATTGAATTTCAGCAATATTCAAAATTATAATGCTACAATAAAATAGTTTTTAAGAAAGTTCTCCATATTTTATGAGTATTTTGAAGTATTTTAAAGATTAATTTACACTTTGTAGGATTGCTTTTAAATATTCAATCTGATTTCTACCAGACTGTCTATATCCCAAAGAGATGTGAAAACATAAGAACTCAGATTAAAAATCATCAGACACTTATTAAAATCAAAACAACCTCCAAAGAACTATGGATGGGTTTCGTCTTCATTTCTGCCCAAGTTACTTTTTACTACTTTTACAAGAATAAATAGAAACATGGACTTATCAGTCAAAAAAACTGGTGCTGAAAACCAAAACGAAAGATTATCCAAAGAAGTTGGTAAATATAAGAGAAGTTACACAAACTCTACAAAACGTTGACTCGTTAAAAGGCATGCACTCAGTAAAAATCCAGTCAAAGGCGAAGTTGTATTATTTCACCACGTCCTGATGCCGTGTAAAGAGGAGACGCCGTTACTGGAGGAGAAAGAGTTCTGGACATTGTTCAGCTCTCCTACTGCAAAGTTCATGTAGTTCCCGCTGTTGTTGGACCCCTGCACAGTTTGCATGCTGGCTGCGGGATAGTTACAGGCATAGTTCGTGTTGCAGCCGGAGCCGGTGTAGTTGCTGAAGGCCGGGTAGCTGTTGTAAGTAAAATGGTTGATGTGACCCATGCTGTAGGAAGGGTTGTAGGCCGCCGTGTCCGCCGCCAGGCACGGCTTACCGTCCCGCACCAGCACCGGCACAGACACCCTCCTGGGCGGAGGCAGAGACACCATCTCCAGGCTCTGGTCCTGCCGCTGCCGCTTACACTTGTACCTCCGGTTCTGGAACCAGATTTTCACCTGTGTAGGGGTCAGTTTGAGGACTCCGGCCAAGTGGTCTCTCTCTGGGGCGGACAGGTACCTCTGCTGCTTGAAGCGGCGCTCGAGCTCATACACCTGCGCTTGCGAGAAAAGCACGCGCGGCTTTCTGCGTCTGCGGGGCTTCGGTCGGTCTGGATCCTCCGGTTTTATATCCTCTACAGGGGCTATGGGAGGACTGAACTCCTCTGTATACCAAAAAGAAAAAAAAACAGTTATCTGTAAACATGAACTCATCACAAATCCCTTTTTATATTTTAGATAGAATTTTAAATACAATCCAGGGCCTGAAATGGTTTTAAAAACAAAAATCTCAGCACAAGTCATACCTAAAATGATTTCAACACTGTAAGCATTAAAAAGCACGATACATAAACACTGGATGGATCATAATATCCAAGGTTGCAGTTAATTTGCTTGGAGCTTCAAGTCTCTTGTCCACAATTGACGAAGCTGTTTGCCTATACTTTAAAGAAAAATAGCAAAAAATATATATATTTTTTTTATTTACACCCACTTTTAACATCTAAAACACGGATAAATTCCTTCTTTTGCTTCCTCTCTTTACAATTCAAGCTTCTGTTGTCCTCCAGCAGGCCTATATTAAAGTGCTCACCTCAAAGTTAGTTTGATTTTAAATATCTGATAAAATGCTCTGAAACATTTTACCTATTTTATCCAGTGCAGAAGCATTCCTTGCTTTACGCATCGGTTATATTTTCCTTACATAAGTGCATATGAACCTGTGGGCCTTTTAACGCATGAAGGCCTACAAAATCAAAATTCTACTCACCTTTTCGTCGTTTCCCCTCAAACGAGTCCGATTTTCCCTCCTTCACTAAATCCATCTCAAAGAGTGATTTCCCATAAAAGGTGTTCGCAAAGTTGAGCGCATTGCCTCTGCCGGCTCTGGACTCCTGCAGGTCTTCTCCAAACAGCGAGCCGGAGGTGTTGGAGGACGACATGTCCCGGAGGGGCTCCTGCTTCAGACGGGCCAGCATACAGGAGGAAGAGGAGGAAGGAGTTGGTACAGTGCAGCAGTCCATGCGAGAGGAGACATCCAGAGAAGACACCAAGGCGTCATGACTGTGCTCCAGGTTTAATATGTCCTTTACAGAGAAGGGAGTTGACGTGCTGGGACTGGGAAACATGACCAAAAACTTTTTTTAAAGCTACCTATTAACCTGTCACATTTAGGCAACAAAAAGAATCAACAAACCCACTCTCCTTCCTGCTAATATTTACTGGACTTAAGTGTCAGTTCGGTGGAGAGGACTGCTCTTGAGTGAAGTCTGCATTTTGAATGTCATCTCTGTCTCCAAACTTTTTCCTCGGCCTCCCTCTCTTCACGGTGACGAAGAGGAGGAGGGAGCCAGTGGGACCCTCTGTATGGAGCAACTGGTACTCCCATCTCATGACGTAGAGGGATGTCTGGTGTATGTAAGGCCTATATGTGTTCAATCATTGCACATTCATCCAAACTAGCCTATACGCCAGCAGAGAACTTATTGTACTTTCTTTTAAGCAAGCAATGGATTTTTTTTTTTCATTTTCTAGATTCATTAAAAAAAGTCATTTCTATTTTATTCTCCAAAGTATGTATGTAAAAAGTAAAACGATTTGAATGAGCTGTAGTTGTAGTTGTAGTTGTGCAGTTGTTGTAGTTGACCATTACGCACAAAAAGTTTTTTTCTTTAAGTCTACATTTGTGTTTAACCTTACAAGTCACAACAACATCCCACTTGGCAGTATTCTGGTTCAAAGCTTGGGAGAAAAACGGTGATCATAACGTTGATCGTGCGGGTGCTCGTGGGAGTCTCTTTCCGACTGGAAACGGGATAGACAACAGGTTAATGTCCCTGAACACGGAACCTGAAACCAGCAGCAACACACTCTGTCTGTGTCCAAGAGATTCTGGAGCCACTGCCTGCCTTATCAGGATGTGATAATAGACGACAACAAACCTGTTACACACACACACACACACACACACACACACACACACACACAGAGTCCCACCCACGCTGCAGGCCAGGTTAATCTAAAGATGTGTCACTCATGCACAATTAGTCCAACTGCGCTGGCAGCAATTGTGGCGCTTATGTTGTTTCCTTCTGTCTGTGTCTTTGCTTGTGTAGAACCTTCTCTCAAATGTGAGTAGCTTTGGAAAAATGCATTTGCTGAATAATCTTGTAATCTTTATGACATCCACGTTTGAAGTTACCAAACAGACTAATATTTCTGATTTCAAGCGCTAAATGTCCACTCTGGTCCACGTTTGACAGTTCCAGTTAGGCAAATAGGCTCCCTGTATCACGCTCAGGTGCACGGGCAACCTTCAGCAGAAGCAATTTGGATGATGACAGCAAGCTTTCAATTGGAAATGTTTAACTTAACAATAACAAAATATTGAGCATTTCTTGTGACAGGAGTAAAATAAAGATATAACCGTGCGTAATGACGCGTAATCTTCATGTGTTTCACCCCCGCACTGTTGGCACTAAACCTGCTATTAATGCGTGTGGAGACGGCCACAGGAGACAGACAGCATTATCGTTTGTTTTATCTTCAGCGTTTAGCGCAGCCACGGGCTAAATGGGTCCCCCTGTCTCCGACCCAGCGATGGTGTTTATAGTTTTAAAGACTATTTGTGCGCCTGGCGAGCTGATGAATGGCCGTAAAAACTGTCTCAGGCGCAGTGAGAGTCAGCACTGGCCCAGCTCTTGCTGTAATAATTGTGAGAAATAAAGTAAACAACAGACAGAGGAGGAGGCGAGGGGATACATGGTAATGGGATACGTTTTTTTCACTATTGTAGATTTCTTCAGGTCTTAAAACATTTATAATTTCAACATTTTCTGTCGGTTGCTCTACGGTTGAGTCGACTGAAAATTCAGTGGCTTGTTGCTGCAACGATAAAAAAAAAAAGTACGCTACATTGCGTCTTCACTTCTGCCGGATAGTGAACTGTAAATTGAAGATGACAGGTCTGGCATGTGTTTCATATCCCTAATGCTCCATCCTGCTGCAGCCTCGCGCTCCCTTCTGACCTGTCTTTCTGCAGCACATCTCACACTCAGATAAAGCTTCCGATAAGGTTGCTTAAAAACTTCCGCTGCACGAACCAGTAGGTATTTTGAGGGTGTGTGTCTGGCTGCATGTGTGTGACCAAACTTACATTTTTGTCTCTTGCCTGAATACTCCTGCTGGCGCTTGACGCCGCTTTAAAACAGGCGGATAGTCTTTGCCCTGTGGCCCCTGTGTGATTTAGATCCATTAACTGTTAGTGTTTGGACTAATTGGTATGGAACAGGCTCATTAGGATGTAATCCGGTTAAGAATGACATAGCACACATTTTACACTTTCTCCATCACAACTGGTTTCCCTCATGGCTTTCTATTGTGTGGTAGTGGTGAACAAAGTGGACTATTAGGATCAGAATCACTGAATACTTTATTTATCCCACTTTGTCTGGCAAAAGTACAACTCGTGTTATTGAGTAAGTTAAATTTAGTCTTAAGAATGGTCTCATGTTGAATTATGCATTTTTTTTTATTACTCTTTAAAAGTGAAGTCAGCCTGACTTAATTCGAACTACATAGTTGAATTTTAATTCTTAATTCATCAGATTTCAGGAGGTAACTTTTATGTTCGGTCACATGTTTTGGTGATCCAGTGAAATGTAACTTTGCAAGTCAGAAGTGGCTTAGTGAAATATATCTTGTTCAAAAAGTAAAGGACAATTTAAATTATGGGAAAAGAGGATATTTAAGATCTTACATGTAACATACACGTGTAAGTATTCAAAGCCCCTCACCAATGCTGAGAAGCTTAAAGCTTCAGTGCAGAACTTTTGGTTTGTGGCAATTTTGTGGTCAATGCAGTCTTTACTGATCTTGCCATCTACATGCCTAAATAGAGTCATCTAACAACAACAACAAAAAAATCTCATCTTAAATTTGTTGTGTACTGTGAATTTTTAAAGAAAATGAAAAACAGAACTGTCACTTAAACTGCTTGGCTGACACCTAACTCTTCATACTGACTTCAGACATTTAAATTATCATTAAAAATCGTTAATCATGTCACTGATAGCCTTTTTTTTAAATTTGTAAATCATTAAAAGGCATCTGCATGAATTCAGCCATTCCACTGATGTCCAAAAACTCTCACAGGAGCTTTAATAATAATAAAAAACACATACAATACCATTTTTTTAAAGTATACTTTCAGTATGTGTTTACAAATGTACATAGTTGAGTGTATAAAACCACTGAGAATGTTCTCAATTGACTCATGATACATGGCTGCAAGCCTTTTAAAGACAAACCAATGAGATAATAGTTTAACCATGTCTCTGTAATAAACTCGCTCTTATGAACACACAAGATTGAATAAAGATTCAGTCACACACTTTATTCTGTAAAAGAGCACTGACAAATATGCAAAAACTTGAGGGTGATCTGCAAGATTTAAAAGTTAAAGAGGACTCCATCTTAAAAAAAAAAAGGTCTATTCCAGATGTCTTCAGAGCCAGGAACTGCCAGGGTCTGTTTGAAGATCTTAACAAACACAACACTCTTAAAATGTGCAGCAAGGAAGGATTCACACATTAAAAACTAAAGGAGTACAGACTGAAGTCTTGGTTAAAATACAAGTATTAATATTGAATCATGATAGAACCAAACAGACAAACAAACAAAAAAAAAAGCAGCCCTTTCATCCCATTTTGGATTATCTTCAGCACAGTCACTTTACACTGAATAAACTCCCGACTGCTGCACTGGAGAAGAAGACACTCTTTTTTTTTTTTGGTGCAGCCATATCCCTGTGAACCACTGTCAGAATCAGTAAACACAATACGAACCTCTTCAGCTCCCACTGAAACAGTTTTGCGCTGTGTACATTTGGGATGTGGAGTCTGAGAGCTGCTGTCGCTCACCAGACAAAAATATCATTAAACAGAAAACACAGCCGTCTCTTAGCTGTTCTAAACAAAGTAATAAAAACTTCAGAAAGTTTTACAGGTAGTTTTTGCTTTGCTGAAAAAAAAAGATAATACATTCTGTGGATGCATATCATTTATAGTTTGAATAAATAATTAACACCCTACACCATACTGTTAAAATGTCACAATAATCCAACATTAATTTATACGCAACTGCAAACTAATCAAAGACTTTGGTAAGGAGGAGTCGACAAACACTGATCATGACTTCACAAACGGTAATCGTTCAAAGCTGCAGACAAATGCACTAAATAATTCCTGTGTCTAAGACCCAAAATAAACACTGTTTAAAAGCAACAATGCTGATATAGAGACATTTTCCATAATTATATAAATAATAAAATGAAGTTCATTTATGAATTCATCAACTTACAAATATATTCTCTTATGTGGCCAAGGAGAATCTGGTAAAAGGCTAGGTGTAATTCAGGGGAGGGGGGGAAATACGAGACAAAAATATTATTTAAAAGAAAGAAAAACAAGAACTGTTTCCTTTGTTCAGTGAAAATCTAGATTACCCGTCACTAAAACTCTGATTCAAGAAGCTCTATACTGACTTCAATCTGAACAATCATCTAAAATCTGAAACGCTTTTGTTCCACAAACATTATAAACCAACACCTCACCAGACATAAGCCTGCAGCTGTTTTCTGTTATAACAATCACAACACCAGACTCTACAGCACTTTAGGAGTACATTATTATGAATTAATATCCCCACCTGTTTGGCTGATGAGGATTGCTGTTCAATCTGTGGATCCTGGGCCTACTCCAACTCTAGCCTCTGAATCTCACCCTACACCACCATGTGGACATTTGAAGACCACACATGGCCTTTGGCTCACTGAGTCATCTGATGGATGTCCTTATTCTGAAGATAGTGTGGTTTTAAAATGTAAGAACGACAAAGGTGAAGATCTTGACTATAATGGGGTCATCATAGTGTGAATTTAAAGCCATTTTCACTTTTAATTAACGAGGCTGACCAGAAGTAATATGGCTTTCATTTGCAGTAACGATCATTTTAACATGTGAAGGGTTTTTCTAGGTGTACCAGTTATACTGGCACATGTAGAAAGAACATTTTGACTCTTCAAAACTGATTTGAAAATACCTTTCATGAATAACTGATACCAATATTG